TTCTGCATAAAAGTTTCGGATAAAAAATCAATATTCAAACCTCATAAATTAAAAAATAAACAAAACAGATGAAAACCCGCAGAATTTAACCGTAAACCATTGGTTTGTTAATACCCTCTGGTTCTTTATCGTAATTTCCACCTCTGAAGTATATGTTTTTGTATCGCCGGAGGAGTGAAGTTTTGGTTATATTTTTCAGATGTTTTGGTTTGAGACGGAATGGATTGAAATGAATAGGAAGTTGGGTTTGGGTAATGGCCGAAATTTAGGAGATAATGGCGGTTTTCGATTTTTGAAATCAAAAAAATTGCGGATTGCAGGGGTTTTAATGCGCGCGTGTAATTCACTCAATGACATAAATTGTAAATAGTTCAATTTGCCCTCATTCCGGGCGCATTTCTTACACACTATATAATAATTGCATCAACCCATCACCTATATTATAATTGCATAAACCCATCACCTATATTATAATTGCATAAACCCATCACCATAGTATTTTAACTCAATTCCATATTTGTAGCTAAATTATAGAAGTTTCAGGTTGGCCTAACTTCTTTAATTATTTTAATAAATTATTAATGTAAAATTCTTTTTCAGTTGCGTTTTTTTTTAGGAGGAAGAGATCCATCCATCGGATTTTCAAGGATTTGGTCGAATCAATATAGGATTTGGATTTTTTCAGTTGCTTTTTTTTTTTTTTTTTTTAGTTTTTATTGTTTTGTTTTGTACATTTTTATAGCTAGAAAATTAAGAAAACGCCACATACGATAAAATCTTATGTGACATGTGCTCCTTGACTTTAGATTCCTCTCTCTGGTTTTTGCCTTAGTATAGTATATAGATAAGAAACGTGAAAATTAATAATTAAATAATTCAATCGAGTTGAAAAAAATTAAATAACCTAGAAGAAAAAACTTGTATTAGCTAATTATTTTAATTTTATTTTTGTTTAAAATGGTAAATTATTAATTTTCATGTTACTTTAACTCGAATTTTTCTTCTTTATTTCTTAAATTTTTTTTTTAAAAAATTATAATCTAGAAGTTAAAATACAAAAGAAAAATAAATTTTTAAAATTTAAAATTACACTACCAGTATGTACAAGTTAGGAAGTATAAGAAGAAGAATTGTAAAAAAAAAAATAATAAAAGATTAAAAATAACCAAAATACCCCTGAACCCAAAAACATGTGAAAAATGGATTTCCGTCACTATTTAACGGTCAAAATTAACAGAATAATCTAAAATGGATTAAAACTTTAGTAAGGTAACCTGTGTTACAAATAAATTTGATTGATGACGTAGAGTGGAAATATATTAAAGGTTGATGACTTGTTTTAAGGTTCACTCATAATATTTTTATGGAAGAAATCATAAGAGTTATGATAATGAGATTCTTTACATACTTACATGTTATTCTTAAATCATCTCCAGTCATATTATTAACAAGATGGGATATTGTTAATACGGATAGACTAGCACATGATATGCTTACTCTTAAAGTAAGAGTTAGTTGATCTCGTTGACTATTGTGTGGCGACACAAAAGCAAATATGTGGATGCTTGTTGGAGAACAAGTACATTGGATTGACCTGCTTAGAGATTGTCATAAGGTAATCTATTTGAGTGCTAATGGAAATAAGACATGACGTAGTGTAAGTGATCCTTCGACTTGAGATTGTAAGAGTCTGCGGAGTGTGGATTACTATGTTCTAGCTCTCTTGGTCCTTAACTTTAGGTGGTTATGTGTGCTTTTAGAGTTGAGTATATTATGAAACATGGAAAAAAGTTTATGATCAATAAAGGATTCACCACTTTTAATAAAGAAGAGTATATCCTTTAATAGCCACTTGTTGGAATTATAACTCGGAAATGTTTGCGCAAACTATAAGTAATTTTAGAAATTTTTCTAATTTCAGCTTCAAATGAGTTATATTTCTGGAACAAAAAAGAATTGTCATAAAGAGTTAGTACTTACCCTTACTCTTGAACTAATTTGGATATAGGACGGTGAATGGATAATAATTACACGGAATCTGTGCATGGAAAGGTGAAGTCGATCACATGACTTTTCCTAACACTTAGGTGGTCATGATGCCTGGCTAGAGGCCAATCTTGATCTATAAATATAAATTTTTAATCCTAAAATTCTCATGGCTAATTGTCTTTAGTCTAAGTTGGAGTTTGTTGGTTTTATGTCCAAAAGTCAATTAATATTAGGATTAATATTTATATTTATTGCCAACATATTTTAGGAACTTAAAGGGTCACACACAATAGGACAATTAATTGGGATAAGTTAGGAATAAATTTATACGATAAATTAATCACAAGGACTTATTAAATAAATAAGATATAATCTTCATGGTAATTACCGAGACCCATAGTCTTATATAAATAAGTCACAGACATAAGTTCTGGAATTAATCAGTCGGTTCCATAAACCCTAGTTATAATCCAGAGAACTAGCCGTCATGCCTTGTGTCTTTGTCACAAGAATTGTTCGTGTGGGTACCGTTAGAGGCTGGACACTTGAACAGCTTTGTGATCAAACTTCACCACGTGTTGATCGTGATTGCAGGATTAACTGTAAAAGGCACACAATTCCGAACTGTTTATATTATTCATAGATTACAAAGTGATCTTGGCATGAAATCAGTCTGTGTTTATTCCGCTCTATTATGATTGATTTACTTACACCTTTATGATGCTTCTGTCAAAATTTTAAACAAAGAATAATTTGACAGGAGAGAGAATGGCTGAAACACCTGCATGGCCTTCTATTTGTAGTCTTTGTTTTCTGTACGGGGTAGAATGAACTTCATTAATATAGAAGCAAGAACTTCCAGCAATTTGTCTATATATTGCTTGGTGAATGAGTTCACCTGAACTATCTTCCATCTTCTGTTTTTAGTAAAGTTGCTACGTTCATCTTTTTCTTTCTTTGTCTTGGCTTGAGGCATTACACGGACCAGATTGCCTCTGTTTTGCAATTTTACTGCTAAACCACATCATCTTAGGAAAAACAGCCTGAGTTCCTCTATTCCTTGGGAGCTCGCCCTCTTCACTAGTCTCTGTTATCTATGTTTGGCTTCAATTCTCTTAAATGGTCCCTTGCCGCTGTTATTATTCAATTTGGCCTATTTGTACGATCAGAAATTGTACTCCCTTTCTGCCAAAATTATTTTCCAATTTGAGATTTCAATTTTAGTATAATTTAAACTAAAAATGAAAACTCAAATTGGACAATAATTATGGGACCAAGGGAGTATTATAATAATAGTCTTTCTGGTGATATTTTGATTTATCTCGTAGTTGAAGGGACTGGATTGGTTGCATTGGACATAGAGAATAACAGTTTCACTTGGAGAATTCCAGCTGAAATTAGACGTTTGACTAATCACGACTATTTAATCTGTACAAAAGCAAGGTCTCAGGACTCCCACCAGAAATTGGCAAACGGCGGAGTTTATTTTTAGAATACCTTTCTTGAAACCAGCTTCCTGGTCCAATACCCAACACTGAACACACTTTGGAACCTCACAAAGCTTCAAGACTGCCGACCGAAAAGCCAAAAATGTTCGTACAAAATTAAACAAATGCTATACTATATGAGAAGCACGAGAGTACAAAAATTCCAACATAAAAAAAAAATAATAATAATACCAATAATAAAAAATAATACCGAAAAAAAATAAGCAGCAACTGAATGTCTCATTAATGATCATACATTATATTGTAATTTAATGGAAATGAAAAGCGAAAGTAAAATACAAATTGAATGAAATAGTCGCCAAAAAACAAAAAAAAAAGGGGGGGGGGGATCATTTTCTTATTTTTATATGAATTTGAGCCTAAAATTTTTCATCTTTTTTTGGAAGTATGTAGGGTAGTTTTCGTAATTGAATTCATTATTTTATTTAAAAACTAGTGGTAAAACTAAAGCTAACCGAATTTCAGCTCATTTAACAAGTTTGACTAAAATATCAAATTGTCTGGACCAGTATTTTGTTTAGATAAAAATTCACAAGAATCATTATCTGCCCCTTCGCTTTCAAAAGGGAAAAAAAAGAAAGAAAAAGAAAACAATAAAAATTTCCCGCCTTCGGTCTTCCCAGTTCCCAGTACAATATCAAGAAAATGCGTTCCGAAAATGAAACATAACAAAAAGAAAATGCTGTTCGAGGTTGTCTTTTATCACTACAATTTTTATTTTTTTATTTTTTTTTAAAAATACTGTATTATTACTACCAGATTTCAAGGGATAGAAAAAAGGCTATTAGTATTCCCGGCAGTATATGTAGTACTACTTATGTCCCATAATTATTGTCCACTTTGAATTTTTATTTTTAGTTCAAACTGTACTAAAAATAAAATCTCAAACTGGACAATAATTTTGGGACAGAAAGAATATTATATTCCTTTGACCCTATTAAAGCAGAAGGCATGAAGCTTATGTGGCAACTAAGTATGCATCTGTTTTGGCTCCAATGTACCATATTTCAGATTTCAGGAGTTTTTTTGCCACGTGTAAGTCTCTTTTAATTAGAAGTTATATATATATATATTTTTTTAAAAAAAACACATGTTTTACTACAAATAAGGATCAGTTACATTTTAAACGAATGGATATATTAATTCAAATTCAAATGTCCAATCGTATAGTTTTGCAGGCTTAATATAAACAAAAAATAAAAATACCTAAATCCAGCAATTAAGAATAATGTCTTATAAACTAATTATTTATTATTCCCTTATAACCTCAGATTTATAGGTATATTTTTTTAAGCCCCAAATCATAGCATAAATGATACATACGCTAAATTAATTTCTCAAAAAATAGTAATTCAATTAGATTTTAATAAAATAGTAATTTAGAAGGGGCGCCCGGACATCTGCCTGGTCCAAACATCTAGTTCATATTATTACTAATTCCTTCAGAAGTGTAGCCAGTAAAGTTAATTCCAGGCTTCGTCTTCTTCGGTGCATCAAACAACGATGGGCCTAAGGAGGAAGAACCGCCGCAAGAAGCCCCCCAATCGGGTATGGACCCCCGTCTGCTTCTTCCTATTTCCTTGTATTTATATTTTTATTAAATGTTACAAAAAGTAAAAACCATCTGTATTCCTGGATAACTTTTATCTGAACGAAATCGGCTAGAATTAGGACAAAAGTCGATATCAATTTACATTGTCCTCATCCAGTTGATTCTTTGATTGCAGCCGACTAAACCTACATCTGATCCATCGCCGTCTGGTGCTGACGCCGCCGTGAAAACTGAATCTGATCGATTTCCCTCTGGTCCTACCGCAGCTCGAGTTTCAAATACTATCCTCACTAAGGAAGCTGACCACCCAAACAACCAGAGCACCCCGAGGAGGTATTTCTCTGGTCCCTTTGAACTCACTCTTGCTATTCGAATTCCCAGACAATCAGGGGTCTATTTCTTCTGTTTCCCCCTTTCTTCCTGATCCATTTTATTTTGTTAATCTTGGATTGAAGCCGAGAAGCATGAAACCAACCGCTGCTCCTAAGGATCTGGTTAGTTTCTTTCCCCCCCTTTTCTTAGGAAAACTAGAAAAGTTATTTGTACGAGAAGTTTTTGTTTTCCCTCCTTTTTTTCCGTTTGGTTTGATCTGTTTATCTTTTATCCCCTTTTGTTGTTGTTATTTTAGCCTCAGAGAGAGCCAATACGCAGAGAGTATCCAAAGGGATTTACAGCCCTTGCTTTTGTTTGCAAGACTGGTGTTCTGGTAGCTACTGATCATTCATATCATAGAATGGATGGTGAGTCATTTTACTTTGGTATATCTTTGTATTTGCATATGTTTTATATGTGTTTATCAAACAAAGAAAGTTAACTGCTCTGTTGTTGTGAAATTTTGCAGCAGAAACATTTGTTGAGAATGTTATTGATTTTACTCCGCACGTGCTTGTCACTGTTTCTGGAACTCTGCATGCTAAAACTTTTCTCAGAAGGATGAAGGATGATGTATGTTTTTCCTGTCCTTTCTGACACTATATTATGAATAGAGGGTTGTCACCATGTAAATTTATTGTCTGGATAACAGAATTTATGTTCTTATATGCTTAATGTGGCTGTCTTTGAGACGATTGATGAATTGTTTCATTTAATGATACCATAGTACCGCCTGCTACAAGGTTCAAAGGGGATAAAATCTGTTAGAGAGGTGGCAAAGTGGGTGGCCTGGTTTTCATCTCAACGTAATTTGAAGTATTTCTCTGCAGAATTTCTAGTTGCAGGATGGGACTATGAAACCAATGTTAGTACCACTCTCTCTGGATTAGTTTTGGTTGCTAGGCTTTGGCCCTCCTTGTACTCATGAATTTTAGTTTTTGTCGCCTTGTAGCGTCCTAGAGTGTTCTTTGTAAATAAAGAGGCTAGATGGGCTGAGAGAATAATGGGTTGCACTGGATGTGGTTCCGAATTGATTGGAGTTAGTTGCCGGTAAGCTTCTTTTCCATTTGATTACTTACTGGTTTTTGTCAATTTTACTCATCCTGATTTGTTGGTGTTTCTTTGTACTAGTCTCGACCAGTTGAGTTATGACAAAGCTTCGAAGGAGTCTGAGATGATGTTATACATGGCTGTACATCAACTTGCAGATTACAGGAGTTATGGTGACTTTACCATTGAATGTGGTGGTTACCTAAGTGGTATGTTTGTTGTCTTCTCGGCTTTTTTGCTTTCTTCTTTTATTTTCTGCTTCAGTTTGCCTTCTGATGTGTATATCCCTTTCTTGTTTTAAGGGTACTGTGTAGGAACAAATGGGCTGGAGAGGGTGTTTCACAATGTACCTCTTATTGAGCAAGTTGAAAAAGGAGAAGCTCTAAAGAAACTTTGGGAACTGGATGATGCAATACGTTCTTAAGGATGGGGTTGCCTGTAATTTGTGCTAAAGATTTTAATTTGGCTGATAAATGACGTTGTTTTGGGAGATATTTGTTCGAGAGCGGACAGCATTAAATGATGTAGTTTTTGGCTGCAAATCTTTGTCCAATTACGATTAGTGGCTTCGATATCATACTAACTACTGCCAATCGTTTGTTTAGATGTACTATTTCCCGCGTGTTGTTCATCTGGCTTTACTTGCTGCTTTTGGTGCATGTAATGTGTCTCTTATTTTTTATTAATTCTCGCGTTCAACCTTCAATCATTAGGCAACATTTTCTTCTCCGTGGGGGTGGGGGGTGGTTGGGTTTGTTTGAGGTGAATGAAAGAAAAGAGAACTCGTGTACTACTTTACGGTAATACAATTTGGACGCCAAAGCTGCAGCCGTTCCACGATTTAGAAAAACGAATTCTTCGAAAAGAATAAAGTAAAAGAGAATAAACTTATACTTTTGTAATTGAAAACCATTAAACCAATATATTGTTTGGAACAGCCATTCCTATTCATTGCATATAAAAGCAGCAGATACTTCTACCCACAAAACTTTGAACCTAACCCCTACCCAAGAATGCTTTTCCATAGTATCAAGAACCAATGCAATAACAATGCAATGGTTTCCAAAAAGAACCAATGGAATAACAACACTGTACTCCTACTAAATTAAATTAATGTTTTCTGGCTTTCGAAATGAGTATTTCTAATATAACAAACTGAATAATCATTTTGAACTGGAAAAAGTGGACAAAAAACTATTGTGTTTTAAGATACGATATACATGGACTGTGTTCATATCTCTATACGATTCGCAAAATACCATTCTTTGTGTTAAAAAAATAATCCATATTCAATTGAAATTACAGCTTCGCTTAACTAACTCAAATCTACATCATGTAAATAGAATTGAAATTCGTAAGAAAAGAGTCCGCCAATAGAATTGTTCTCAAGTTTTATATATATATATATACACACTGGGGAAAGCGAAAGCTTTGGACTACAAAAGCAACTCTTAGTCGAGAGTTGTGCCTGGGCAATTTAGCAGCATTTTCTCCGACGTCAAAGGTAGCGGGATAGACAAAATATACGAGCCCAGGTGTCGAAAGACCTGACTTAGCTAAAGAATCAGCCGATTCATTTCCACCCCGTTTTATAAACATCATTTCTACTTCCCATTGATGGGTATCTATGAAATTTCTAATTCTAGGCAAAATATTACTAACTTAATAAGAGCTGGATTCTGTGTTGATTGGCCAGCCGGTTGGGCCGAGTCCATTTGTAGTTGAATCCTTTTGAAGCTCAAGGCCCAAGCTATACGAACCCCAAAGTAGGCGGCCCCGAACTCAGTTTCAAGGACCGAACACACTCCAATTTTGTCTGTAGAGCCAGTAATCCAAAATCCTTCATGGTTTATTAGAAGCCCGCCGGCGGCCGCACCATTGATTAAATTTTCCACTTGCTCCATCTACATTCAGGCGAATCCGGGGAGGGATTGTTCCCAAGTTGAACCGTAGAAGGTGCGACAATTGAAGTTAGAATTAGCTTCCTGAAAATGGTCCAGTAAGGGCCTGTAATTTAAAAGAATAATGGACTTATTTTACGGTCCCAAATAGTGTTGGCTGAGATTGTATTATCATGTTTAAGTCCTCATGGACTGGCCCAATAATTCTCATGTTAGCCTTCCGAAATCTCTCATTTCTACTTGGGGATACTAGCCAATTAGCCATCGTTCTTGACGACAACAAAATTTATTCTACCCGGTTTTGTTTACTCCCTTTTTCTGTTTCTGTTTTCCGGAAAAAAAAAAAAACCAAAAGACACCGCGCCTGAGATATTGATAATTGATGAGACTCTAACTGGATGAAATATTACCAAATGGTCAAAATATTATATTTTGCAATAAAATGGCTGCCTCAAAAATCAAAATGACATTTCAATAAATACAATAATGGAAAAAATTGTTTTTTCCCCATCTGTTTATGGTGAAGTGATATTTTTTTGTGTGGAGTATCGTAGAACAGTTTCATACTCCTATGTTGTTAAAGTATGACTTCCAGAAAATGTTTTGCAGAAACACAAAAAAAAAAAAAAAAAGAAAAAAGAAAAAACATTTTTTCATTTGGCTATAGACATGTCATACGCCTCACGTTTTCAAGCTTCTAGCATTAGACAATTTCTATTTTTGTTCTACAAATAAAAGACGTCTATTTCCTCAAAATTCAAAGTAAAACTCCCGCAATAACTCAATTTAAAATTCTTATTTTGGAACATAGTTAGTGCCACAATTTGGCACCAAAGATATGGCATTCCTCGGTAACCCAAATAAAAGGAAAAAAATTGTTAATTGAAAGTTGAAACCATTAAACAAAAAGAATGCTTTCAACAACCATTCCCATATATAATCATTTTACAATATGTATAGTTTCATTACATATATAAAGAAGAGAAGATTTTACAGACAAAACTTTGAACAATCGTACAACTTAAATAGAATTTTGCCCCTCCTATTCCCTATCAAAGAATGCTTCTTTTTTTTCTTTTCTTTTTCTTCTTGTATCAAGAACCAATGCATTTCCAGTACTATGCTCCCCTACCAGTGTGTTCCTATCCTTTTTCCTACTAGACTTTATGAAACCCCAAATAAATACATTTCAAAAAATCAATCTATAGCGATTTATATCTTCAAGAAAAACGAAAGAATGATTTACAACATACTCTAAATTATCCATCGTGCATATTAACGAGGATAGAAATCCAAGAAAAAGAGTGCTCGAAGTTCCTCGGCCTTACTCGTGTAAAAATTGGAAGGCTGGATTCTCGAGTAGCTCATCGGCTGGCTTGACATCTAAAAAGTCCTTGACTTGGAGTGCATTTGAAAGATCATCAACAGAGAATGGAATGCTGCATTGAGAAAGAGTCATTGGAGTTATTTACCTAGCAGCCACCTTATCCATTTACTAAGATTGGACCAAACAGTCAACTTGGACAATGAGCACTTGGAAGTTGAATTGTCCAACCATTGAAAAGTTCTCTAATAACATGCTTTACTCAAACCACGGACAACCATTAAATTATTCACTCAAGAAGCATAAATATCCTCTCACCTGGAATTGTCATCCAATAAGAAGGAACTGCTAGCAGCATTATTTGAATCTTCCGTCATAAGAACCCTCATGCTGGCTATTACCTGCATCAAATGGGAGATAAATATTCAAACAATTTCTTCACATCGAGAGACCACACGAACTGAGCGATCTTTTACAGATACAAAATGGCCACCCAAACTTACATCTGGAGACACACTTCGTGTATTGTAGTTGTCATCCCAGTATAAAGTACATATTCTGTACAGCTGTTGGACGCTAAGTATCTGCACAAATCAAGACAGTTTTCAATGAGAAAAAAGAGGCCCACACATGTCAGCTAAAGACAAACTAACCAATACTATTATACAGTAGCAGTGAGATCTTATATGCTAGAAGACGTCAAACAAAGAAATAATAACATGGAGAATCAAACAGAAGGCTGAGAGTGGACTTACTGGACACAAATCATTGGTTATCTCATCATATGATATCCTGTACTTCTGATGAATAACCTGTTCAGAAGAAGAGAACAGGAAGCCAATCACAATGAGAGCAAAAAAACAATTTAATAAAAAACACTAAGAACACTAAGCTCATAAATCAGAGTGCTGAAACAGAAATTCCATGATACTTAATCAAACAGGAGGCATGGCCCGGAAAGGTATCCAACTTTAGGCCTAGCGCCATATGCTCAGAAATTTAGGACTACTACTAAGTTATGGATGCAAGTGTATAGCTCTTGTTGTCGTATTCTACCCCGTCAGGATGAGAGCGACTTATAACTGGAGGGGGGAGGGAGGGAAATCCCCAGGCAAATTAGGGTTGATTTTCTTGAGAAAGTTACAGTACTCCCCCTTAATTCATGCAAGTGAGGCACCAATTTCATTCCTATGACTGTGTAATTCTAAAGAGCCCAGGATTGAAGACAAACACAAAAACGAGGATGTGTAGACATATCTGACACTTATTACGTGTAGGAGATTCGGCCTGAACTAACACCCCTATCATTCTCCCTCATAGCCAAAAAGTTTTTGATGACACAGAAAAGCTTTTCAATATTCAACATAAGACCAGGGCATTTCAAGAACCCCATAAATAACCTGATTACTTGCAACGACTCAGGGACAACAGTAAGAAGAGACAATAAAATAATCAAACTTACCAGGAAGCCAACAGCTTGCCGTATATGTTTGAGCTCATCCCAAGCTGACCCAGCATACTGCAACCAAAGAAAGCTTTGAATAAAATGAAAAGAGCCTCGTGCATTAAGAAAAGTTGTAAACTTGGATGACTATATCCGCTAACTTTTCTCAAAGATGAACGCAAAAATTCTCCAAATATATGTCGAAAGATACCTCCTCTTTGGCTTGGGCGCACCATAGCTCTAACTCAGCCAACCCGGCTTTGACATATTCTCCATTGCTGAATGTACAACACTCACGACGCAGAAGGAGACTGCATTGTCAAAAAACACAATGGCTCAAAATCCAGAACTAATAATAAAGGTGCAAATAAAGATACAGAACCTCATTACCTGTTAAAGAGTTGCACATTAATGTAGGAGAAAGTTTGGGTGAATATCTTCTGAACTAAAATAGGCGGCACCTGAAATTACAAAATTTATAAGATTTTCTTCATGCTCTGAGCAGGAGAATAAATACTGCAAGAAAGAACCCTTACAAAATTTTCTTTAAGTGTACAAAGAAGAGAGTTGAGGCATTCAATAATCCCCTGCCAGTGATTTGAAGCAGATTCTTTACTAAAAGACCGGCCAGACCTTAGTACATTTCCTTTGGATGTTCGTGGTGCCTGAATATCCATGGTAAAAATTAGAAAGAAATCAAAGCTTTCAAAGTAGTCTGCCAATCTCCTTTTCAAATTTCAACAAAGAAACTACTCATACAAGGACCGAAATCATACAAGACGAAGAAAATTAGCTGCTTTTCAGATTTCTATCTCAAATGGGCCATAAGAACATAGGAAAACAGCACAATTAAAAAACTAAAAAGGGTTTTACTCCAAGTCATATGTATGTTTACTATTAGCAGTTTCAAAAATAAATCTACGACTCTGAGCATTTCTCAACATCATGGAGTATTCGCAGAACACACAAAAGAAGAATTTCAAAATGGTAGAGCTCAAACAAGAAAAGAACAAAAATGACATTTGGTTAAAGCAGATGATGGCACCTGGATACACAATGCAAGAAGTGTATTCAATTCCTTCTTCAAGTTATCTCGGATTATCCCATATATTTTCTCAACATAAGCTGTCAGCTGCTGCTTGAAAAGCAGAGCTGGATATTTTGCTTCGACTTGACGCACGACCTCAAGTGCAGCTGCAGCTGCACTAAGGTTTACAGAGGACGAGCGGAATCCCTGAAAAATTGTACCCAACAATTCATAAAAAAGAAGATCCAGCATATAGACAAGCTACAGGATCAATCAAAGTAATGATATGCATCAACAATACCATCGCCATTCTTCCAAAGAGAGAGGTTGGGGTTTGCTGTTTACGGATAGGAGTTGCCCCACCAGCACCTGCAGCTTTTAAGCTTCTTTGGAGTAGGAATAACAAGGTAGATGTGTTCGACAGCCAATACGCCATCCGATCGTTACTATCTTCTTTCTGTAAGAAATCAAAAAAATGTCTAAATATCTTTTTCCCGATTAGCAACTGCCTGACCTATATTTCCAAGAACTGAAACAAATATTTATAGGAATACAATGGGAACCTACAAGAACCCTCTAGTTAATCTCAATTTTTTTAAATTAGATTTCAATACTAATCTTGATTTGAGCAACATTTTCTTCCAACTATCAAGACGAATGAAGGTGCTAAAAAATGGGCATATTGATGTCAGGCAGGTACCTCAATAGCTGAACCAAACATTTGAATCAGGCGATCAAAGACACTAGTTCTCTCCGCTTCAAACGATTTCCAGTGAAGAAGACATTTGTAAATGGTGAATGCTGCGACAGGTTTGCCTTGACTAAAACCAAGATCTTGCATAGAACAATCAATAAGAGCATCAAAGTCTTCCTGTTGCAAAGGTCCAAAATGCAACAATCAATCAAAAGAGGGGGAAAAATGTGAAGAATAATGAATGAAGATCTGAATTTTGATGTACATACAACTTGGCGATCAATCGGGGGTTTCCTAAACTTGCTATCAGGAGTTTCAAAATTTTTGGTGGGTGAGACGCTAGCTTGGTCCTGCAAATTCACAAAAGACTCTTTTATGTTCAAGAAGAAACCAGACTTTAATCCTTGCTTCAATGAAATGTAGGAAGCAATATAAAAATTAAAAATTACATTTACCTTGTTTTCCTCATTTATATGGTGGTGACCATTTTCCGATGCCTGCATAAAGTTTGAAATAACCTTTTGGTTAGAATTGCAAAGGGACCCATAAAAAGGTTTTAATTGTTGTAGGAGCTATTCACCTTAGATGCTAGAGGTGGTAGATGTTCGGATACTCTTTTTGCAGGTGTTGACAAGGCTTGCTGCCGAAGAACTTGGTTTTCAGACTCAACGTCAAAGATTTTCTCTTCAAGCCTATGGAGAAAATAACAATAAGCAAATGATATACAGAACTCCAATATAGTCATAAATCAAATAAGTAGATGCAGCTTCATAATTGTTAAACCTTTGCATAGCAATCTTCATTTGAACCATTTTGGACTCGGCTTCTAAAGTCTGCTTCAATCTTTCATCACTGAGCTTGTTTGTCTCTTCAAATTTTTTTTCCGTTTCATCAATCTTCTTCTCTAAATTACTAACCAAGGCCTGTAAAAGTAAAAGGTGAACCATTTTAATTCTATATGAGTTCTTACTAAGGGTCACATATAACTTCGGAAAAACTTACCTTGAGCTTCTCGTTTTCAGCAGTGATTTTATCCATCATTTCATGGTCAATAACAGGAACTTCCTGTATAACTGGGATTTGCTCTGCCGCTTGCTTTGCTGCCTCACGTTCCTTCTTAAGGATTTCTTTAGTTTCTTTAAACTGAAGCTGCATTTCTTGCAAAGCAGCTTGTAGCTTTGCATTTTCTTGCGATTTTGCTTCTTCTATATCAACCTGCAAAAGAGAAATGGGCTGAAGGATAAAAATCTACAAAGAAAATCACTGACACTTAAAATTCAAATAACGGAATAACGAAGCAACAATTTTAAACGTATCATCCCATACATAGTTTAAGCATAGAATGCTAGGCTCTATATCCGATATTTGTTGCATCAGAGAATTTTGCGCAATAAACAAATTCCATGTTCACTGACTACACTTCCATGGCAAGTAATGATTCTATGTGCAACTTCAATTCCAATAGATTGACTGGTTTCTAAAGGCCCATAAAAATACAGGAAGTAAGACAGTTCAAATCTGTTATTGGAGGGTATCAAGGAAAAAGGAAAGGAGCTCTCTTCCTGTAAGGTATGACCAAATCTGTTATTGGAGGGTATCAAGGAAAAAGGAAAGGAGCTCTCTTCCTGTAAGGTATGACCAAATTTCAAACATAAACACTGAAAACATCATCTACTTTACCAAATAATCAACAGCATCCATGCATCGTGTTTTATTATCCTGGCCTGACTAAAATTGCACATCAATCAAGGGGTTTTTTTCCAACATTCAAGAAAAGCATATTCTAGATGAAACATGCACATATTCACATATTTGCATGTTTTACACAAAAGACGCCTATTGGAATTCTGAGCGTCCCCCTTCCTCTGCATATCCAAAGAAAACAATCCAATGATAAAAACTGGGAATCCCAGAGTATTTATAAATAATATTTCCGCACAAACTTACCCTCATACGTTTCTCAAGCTGCAATCTCCAAGTCAATTCCTCAACTTGCTTCTCCAATTTATTCTTCGCAGCTTGGAGAGCGCCAGTTTCCCTTGCAGCCTACAAAAAGGATAACAATCGAATAAGCAATAGACAGTTGAAAATTCAAATTAGTAACTAGGTAGCTGTAAGAGGCATAGTTCCGCACAAGCATATTTACTACCAAAACATCATTTGACAAAGAAAAATCAGGAGATCTACGATCTCTGGTGTCATTGAAAAGAACAGCGAATTAAAGAGTCCAAAGTAGAAATCATTAGTTTGAACTATAATATTATTCTAGGGATTGGAGCACCAGGAGCAGGAGAATATCATTATATTAATGATCCTGGTCGATGGCATGCACAAGAATAGTCATTGTAATAGTGACAATAAGAATGAGGGGTCACCATCTTAAGTTGTCGCAGTTCTTTCCGAGCAATCCTAGCCCGCCAGGCACATTGTGTGGTGATTGCAGCCTTCTTCATCTTTTTGTAGTCTGAACGAGCTAAGAGCTTGCGACAATGACTCTGCAAAATGTAGAATAGGGACTTTTCAAAAACTAATATAATATTATCAAACACGTGATATAAAATTAAAATATTAGTGAAATCATGCAAATAAGTATTTTCCAAATTTCCCAAGGGAAAGCAAATCACCTGAATGATGATCGCTGCTTTGGTTTGCCTCCTGAAACGAAGCTCGTTGCGTGCAGCCATACCCCGCATTCCAGTTTGAATTGAAACAGCAGAAGAGTGTAATTCTGTGTAAGCCTTCCTTGCCAGATGCATGCGCAGAAACTTCTGTATCTTAATAGAAGATGCTTCTCTTCGCATGCTTTCATAAACTTGCCGAGCATGTTCCCCTGCATTACGGAAATACAGACCATTAAGGCTAACATGTTTACAATGCACCACTCAATAGAAACCAATTAAACAGAAATCAGCACCTCTGCACACAGATTGCATAAATATTGCTGATCGTCGCAACAATGTAAAACTTTTCCTAGCCAAGTATGACCGAACTTTCCTCTGGATGATGCTAGCTGACCTCCCCAATACCTCAGTCCTGCGAGCATCAAGTTCAGCCATCTGACCAGCTCTCAGGAAAACCTTTGTTTTACCAATCTGCAGAAGTGGTTGGAATTAGCAAAGCAAAATCCTAGTAACCACCAAAACTGGGGATCAAATTATTAAGTCATCAATGATTTTTATGAGAATTATACAAACAATAATGATAAAGCCAGGTTAGGCCCGGATCCAAGCAAAGATGATGAATGCAGGATTGACTGTTTCATCTTACTCTGTTATCACTGGCACAAAAATGCTCTGAATGTCATACTGTAGGGTGTCACTCTTATGTCCCAACTCTCAATTTATACATTAGTAAGTTACGGTAGCTAAATGTACAGCAAAAGGCAAGCACAAGCAGAGAATCCCATAGAGACGAACCAAACATTGCTTTGCATGTACTTCTATAATTAAAATGCCGAACAAAGGCACCAGATTTGAATCTTTATAACAGTATGAAATGCTCTAAACAAAACAAACAGAAAGCATCAAGATGGTGGAGAGCACCATATATCAACCATCAATGGGGGACAAAACAAAAACTACCACTTTAGGTTAAAATTTTAGAATAGACCTGATAATAAGGAAATAACAAAATGGTAAATTAGTTACCTGGTAACCTTCTAGGCCCACTTTCTCCAGAAGCCTCTTGCATGCGGCGACCTCATCATTACTATAGAGAATTTGATAACAATTGTCGTCAAAATCTTTATTTATTCGGCAGATGTGGGGAGAGAGAGAGAGAGAGAGAGAGAATGTACCTCCCATCCAACACTTCAGGCGCAAGAATTCCAAAACGATCCAGGAACTCAATAAAAGGTTTTCTAGTTGGATATCCAGCACAGCTAATCCTGATTGCTTCCATGACTCCCTGGAGGGAAAACCAGGATCAAAACCAAAAAACTACAAAATACAAGTATCATCTATCTCAAGGATTTTAAAAAATCAAAAAAAAAAAATAATATCTTACTCCGCAGCGGAGTTGCTGTAGAACATTCTGATTCTCAAAAATAGCTGGTTTCAGCAGATTATTAGGCTTTACACATCGAATATAATGTGGCTCAGTGGTATTCAGAGTTTCGAGCAAAGATTGCAATTGTTGCTGCAAGAGAGCAGGCAATAGACTTCGTAAGAAAATCATCACAGTATGAGAGATATACAACTTCCAGACAAATCAGTATAGTACCTTGAACCTTGAACCAATTGAAGAGAACTTAGATTGTTTAGAGGACTCCTCACCCGAAGGTGGAAACAAACCCGCTACGAAGGAGCACTTTGAAGCATTCAGAAGATCCTGATGCTCTGCAATAACATAGTCCTTGTTTTTGTCCAAAAATAATTCTGTTTGATAAGTAACCTGTTGATATCAAGAAAGTAGAACTGATAAGTAACCTGTTGATGTCAAGAAAGTAGACTTTTCAAACCAGGAGATTTCATGTCTTGAATTCCATATGTTACATTTCTTTTACAAGTGCCAGCAGATTTTATGTGAGAATATGAACACAATATTACAATGATCTCTCAAAGGGAAATGTAAATAGGACGCACATCACCAGCATAGTGACAAATGGTGAAGTCGGAACGAGCCAATTTGGGCTTGCTGAAGCGCTTATGATTTTTGTATGTCTGGTAGAGCTTTTGCGCGAAAGTGTCATGGGTTGATCTGGGGAACATGCTGTTTCACAAAATTACAGGATCTCAATACAAAAAGTTTTGCAAATAAAGCACGGTGAGAGTATTTCTTCCTATGCTTACCAAGCTTCATCAAGAAGGGCTATAATACCACCAGGTTTCTGAAAAAAACAGTGAGAAAGAAGTTAGAGAAACATATGAACATCATTTTAAGATAGCAGCCGTTTAATAAAATATGTATATTTTACAACGCCAATACAAAGAACCTCCCACAACAGTTGAAATAATGAACCAGAGGAAAATAAGCAAAATGAACAACAAAAAGCAGCATGGAAACTATGGATGTATGCTAGAGAAAGAACTATAGGCTTAAAGGTATTAAGGTGGTAACATGCAAAGACTGATCGAACCTTTTCAATTAGATCCAGAACATCCTGATTGTCGATAAATTCGATATAGCTCCAGTTGATCTCTTCTTTTGTGTACTCTTCTTGCTCCATTTTAAACACGTGCTGCGGAAAAGGTGAAGATGTTAACAAGCGGTATTATACATAAAAACAAAGCAAAATAGGAAAAAAGAGAACCAATAAAAACCTGGTTGAAGTGCTGCTGAAGTTTCTCATTCGTCAAATTGATACAAAATTGTTCAAAGCTGCACCAACAAAAGAAATAAGAAACAATATCGCAGCTATCGTCAAACAATCTTTCCAACAACAGCAACTTTTCGAGAATGTATTCATGCAGTAGTTTAAATGAAACAACCAACGACCAAAAGCTCTCTCAAAAAGTATCGCATAACCTTCACTTATGATAAAGAACTGATTATACTCTCTTAAATAACCATGACCCAAAAGATATCAAAATGAAGAAGAATGTCGAGATGGTGCTCAGAAGTCAATAGCCCCCATGCCAAAACTAATAGGTTTCAAGAGTTACTCGCATGGCAATTGAATGCTTATCAAAACTAGTGTTAGAAACATTACAAGTAGATCTTTCTGATAAAGGATCTTCCACTTACTTGCACTTTGTAACTCAAACCAAAATAAATTGTCTCAACCCCATCAAGCAAAATGCTCAACATTTGCCTGCCTAAGGCTGACAGGAAATGAAAGAACAAACAAAGATCACTAGGACTAGGCTTTGTGACAGAGGCATGCATACATCAACCATTGTCAAGAAAGGGATGAATTACGGAATTCGGGAGGGTGGGGGAATCAACTGTCACACAAACTGAGCATGGAAAGCCAAGACTTCATTATAAATTCAACTATACAGTCTGGAGCCCCTACGGCCAAGGAAATGTTAAAGTATCTACACAAAAGTTCAACAGTTAAAGCATTTTTAGACTCAGCATACCATTGCACCAACTACTGTCAACTACTAAACAAAAAGCATACCACTTAAGCACCTGTTAGTCTTGAAACTCTCAAATCCGTAGATATCCAGTACTCCAATTAAAAGTTTTGAATCTGGATCTTGACCAATTGAATTGTTGATCTTATCCACAAGCCTGCAAAACAAGCCACGTCACATCAACTATTCACAACTTTTCTGAAACAAAAATGTTGAAAGTTGAAATATTGATTTTACTGGTGCTGTAGGATATAAGTAATCATGCAAGCTTCAATATCTACTCAACTACCGGAACATTTTCAGTCTACTCCTAAACAATAAATTCCACTAAAACATGCAAGAATCAGAAACCTAACTTAACTAAATTTGAGAAATTCCAACACACAGCTTCTATTTAGAACCACCAATAATCAGTTCAATTGGATGTAAAGTACTCGCATTGGGCAGCAGGCAATACCTTCAAAATAGAAAGATTGTTTTCCTCTATAATCTTTAACTAATTCAACGTATTTGATGGAGTTCCGCAAAAACCTTCGTAAACTAATTACGTAGCTGAATTCAAATTACCATCCCCTAATTCAGATGAGAGACAAAAAGAAACTACACAACTTCACTGAGGTTTATGGATGTTTGTTTAATTCAGCGGAAATCACCACATACCAGTCAAACAATCTTGAGTATACAACTTTGGCCAAAGCATCTCTACTGACAGTTGCAGCTTCAGGATCAAGCCACTTGGTGATGGTTTCATCACGAGTTACAATAACACGTTTACAAAGAGAATCCTCTAAAGCCTTTGCATCACACCTTCAAGGAAATTCATAACAAAAAGTATTAGCTTTGAGAAGTCCGCAGAACTCCAGAGGATATCTGCAAATGCTGCCAAATCAGAAATTTACATAAATAGCTCTGCTGCAGTTCTCAAATGAAACCACGACTTTTCATCTTTGGGCACAGATGAGTCTATCTCCTTTCCCTTTGCAAACTCGATATTGCCAAGATGAAGGATTGCAGCCACAACGCGAAATATACCATCCTATAACATATATCTGAAATTAGTAAATAAATAAAAATGAAAAAAAAAGTAACATAAACTTTAAAGATGGGGCAAAAAGAAGAGTTTCCCTAACAGTACCTGTTCCTCTGCACTGATTCCAACAATATCCATAGCTTTCCTTGTAGCCGTGTACTCCTTGGAATCATCAACCCCATCTAACTGATAGCAATTTGTTTGGTTCAGATAATGAAAGGTTCTTGGGTCTCCCAATTTGTACCTTTGAATATCCTGAGGGACAGTAAGATGTAACAGAAGTAAATAAAAATATGTATTATCCTGAAACACTATCAAGAAACTAATTTCTATCAGCTATACAACATTAAGACTTTGAAGAGAGAGAGGGAGAGAGAGAGAAGAAGAAGAAGCAACAGCTATACAAAATGACACCAAAGAACAATGCTCTTAAGGATGGCATCTTCCCTATCAACCTCATCAATTAACAAGTTCATAATAACATTCTATTTTATACGACGGAAAATGCGAGCATCTAAAATTACCCGCGAATTTTTCATTGTACCAACAACAATTGTTGAGACCACAGCATTGCAGAGCATTTGAATGACATTATGCATAAAAACAATAAGTATTACCCAAAGGATCAGAAGCGGGAAAGAAGGCATACTTTCGACAATTAATCCGTCTAACTATCATTAGCAAGGTTTAGTGGTCTACTAATACACAAGTACCTCTGGGGGTGCAGCACAAAGCATGTAGAAACAATGATAATTTCGTTCTGGGTCAGACACTTGACAAACACGTGATCTCTCAAGCAAATAAGTTCTCACAGCAGCTCCTGAGATCCTTCCTTTATTATCAAACTGAATCTCCACAAATTTACCAAAGCGGCTGCAACACATATGAGAGTTTATATATTGACATTGTAAGAACAGCAACACAAATGACGTGAAAAAGATTTACATCAAATGCGCACTACATGGCAATAACTGAAACATAAGTACAACAAAAGCGCAAACCTGGAATTATTGTTCCTGACTGTTTTTGCATTACCAAATGCTTCCAAAACAGGATTAGACTGAGAAAGAAATTGCGTGGAAACAAGTTAATTATAGATAGTACTTCGTTTATTAAAAACCAGAAGTAAACATACTGTGATTACTGTGGATAATAGCCCAGATACATGATATTATTCTTTACCTCTAAAACTTGCTGCTCAACCGTTCTGCCCTCAGCTGCAGCTCTACCTCCCATGTAAGCTAGATACCTCATAAGCTGCTTTGTGCTTTCTGTTTTGCCTGCCCCACTCTCACCACTAACTAAAATTGACTGGCTTATTCCCTCATTCATCATAAGTCTACATGGACCCAAAAAAAGGGTTTCTCAATTACATGTGTGATAAAATGCCAAATGGTCCAGGGATTAACTTTGGAGGGAATTCATTATGAGAGATTGAAGGAAAAGAAATGTCAATCTCTACAAAAATGCATGGAGACATGAATTTAAATTTGAATGAAGAAACATCAGTATTTTCAGTTTTTCTAGAGGAAGGTTCAAAATATCTTGAAAAGTTACAAACAAAGAGGGCCCAGTTTTCAAACCTGTATGCTGCATCTGCAATAGCAAATGGATGAGGGCTGAGCTCCCCAAAGGAGGCACCTTTATATTGAGCCATCATATGGCTATCATAGAGATGGGGCAACCTTGTAAAAGGGTTCACAGCAATTAATATATTCCCTGTGTAAGTCTGGACACTTAGATAGATTAGTACCTATATGACTGCGTAATTTGAATTCTAGAAAATACATAAAGCAAAGGGAAAGAAGAAAACAATGATGCGAACTTACATATATCTCATTAATATCATATCTACTCCTTAGATTATACAGCACCCCCGGTTCATGTAAGTAGGCCAATCTAGTCATATCATCCACTCCACATGGTGGTGCCTCGGCATCTTTAGGATAAACATTGGTGGCCTTGACAACAACCTACGAGAGAATTGAAGTTTTATTTACAATTAAATTGTTTGTGAATAAGCAAGCATGTAAATAAAAGCAGGAATACAACAATCAATGATCCCTAAACCACCATACGGCTTATCATAAAAAATTGCATAGTCGACAACATTTAGCTTTCTACAGGAAATTACAGCTTGAAGATTTTTATTGAAATGCAGATGTATAAGATATCATACCGTCTTCCCTGAAGTACAAAGAACTTTAATATCTTGACCATGGACCTCCAAAACCTCCCCATCTATCCAGGCAACGCCCGGATCTTCCACCCAAACAAGGGAACCTATACCAATACTGACTGAAGCAGCCTGCAAAGTTAACACGGTCTAAGTACTCTGACAATGAAGACAATAAATTGAAGACAGAAATAGCTATACAATTTCAGTAAGACATTTCTAACTCTCTGAAGCATTACTCCTTGATAAGATGAATCCCCAGGGAAATAAAGATTTTCAGATAGTTACAATTTTACGTGAAAATAAATGCACCTCGTCAGAAATGTACAATAAAAACTCTGCAATAACATTATTTAGAGGAATAAACATTTGAAACCCATTCAGTGCCAAAAACCCTAGTCCGCACTAGCAACCAATTTTGCTCAGAAAGGAATATTTCACCACTTACCTTCAGAGGTTTTTCAACAAAATACAGGATCAACTAAAATCAAATTTGCATCAATATTTTGACAAAACTGAAAATTTAAAAGCCATTAATTGGAAGCCAAAACAATAGGCAACAGATTTTAAAATAGGTTAAAAAACATACTAGGCACAGCAAGAGTGCCTAAAGATAAAAATAAGCTGTCTCCAAACAAGGTCAGGGATGAGAATCAACTGCGAATTACTTTTTCCGAAAGTATAGTAATTTAAAAGATAAAACCCTCGAGCTTAACAGTTAATAAATCCAATTATTAGACTTCCAAAACTCATGGAAACCATAATGTCACAAGAGAATATGCTCAGATCAGATACTCAAAACTGTTAAAGAAACTCCAGTTTTGGCATCACAAAAAACATCACCAAGCATAAACAAGTTGTTTCAATAAAACGCAATGCCCATAACTCCAATCGTAAATCCTAATCAGCTAATGCAAATGCTGTTGATATGTAGTAGACTGATATCCTCTCAAATGTATATCCTCAGAGAGATTAATGAATTCTTGCTGATGACAAAAATTGCATCCTTCCAAAAGTATATCCAAACAAAAATTTCCAATTTCCAATTCACTTAAAAGTAAAACTCAAAAAACCATATACTCACAGTTCACACAATACTAAAGGGTAGTAAACCATATCTATGCGATAACCACCATATGCATAAACTATGCATATGCCCAAACCATCTAAGAATGCTTATCTCAAATTCTAATCAATTGAGACTATTCCCACCTCCTTTCTAATGCATCCCTTACTAATTCTTGCCAAGTATGGTGTGTCTACACCATCAAAATAAAGCCAAAAGACAGGGATGGAATAAAATGTAATAACGAGGTTGGTACCAAGTATAAAGCAATGCAGACAATATTGCATGTGTTTTTCATCAAAAAACAAATCCTGAATTGCAAAGGAAAAGAAAGAAAAGCTTTGAACCACAAGAAAACAATTCCAAATGCTCAATTCACTTCCGACTTAATTTAAGAATGTAGATTGCAAAACTGCACAAATAAATACGTAGTAACTGCAAAATCCTAAGAACAAATCCAGAACGAATGAATACAAATTAGATTAACTACTTAACCGAAAAAAAGTAACGAAGATCAAACCGCAAAAATCTTTAACAACCGAAAGGAAAAAAAATAAAATAAAATAACGGAAACACTGAACGCTATAAATTGAACAAGAATCCAATTCTACCATTTCTGAATAGCTGCTATCAGATCAGAGAAGTTGAGATAAACTTGTCGGTCGATCAGCTCTTAAATCTTTCCACCAACCATACCCAATCTAATGAAGTTTCCCAATCAGATGCAAACTGAACTGTAACTCTGATCTTCAACCTATGTGGCACTTCCCCAACCTTATCACAGAACAACAACAACCACCACAAATGAACTCCTTCTCTCCCTTCTTATATACAATATCCAATATACCTTCCTCGATTATCTACCTTTCCAGAAAACTGCACAAAAAAAAAAAGAAAAAAACACCACAAAAATGGAAGATCCGGAGAGTGCAATGAGCTTCGCGTAAGTCCAACTTTTCTTGATTTTTCTCCAATAAATTTTGAGAGATGTAAAACTAAAGAATAAAACTATGGAGATTAAGCAGATTAAAACCCTTTTCTTTGTTCTGAAACTCTCGAGTTGAGCCTTTTGGACTTTCCCACCGCGTTGTAAGGAGCGAAATTTTTTCGTCTAATTTTTTTTTTTTTTGTTTTTCTATTTATTTTCTTTTAATTTTCTTTCTTGGTCTTTCCCACGTTGTTTGGGATTTGGTCCGTGTTTTCGCTTAAACAAAAATCTAGCTGCTACTGCTTACTAAAGTTAATTATAACTCTGTTAAATGTATTTATCTTTTTTTTTTGCATTTAATATAAGCGGCTGCTAAGTGAAACGAGTTTCCGGAAATGCCCCTGGTGTTTTAAGGTTAATTACCACGAGTGGCAACATTTCGGACAGCTCAAAGACTCTCAAAGCCTGTACGCGGGACAATGTTGTTTGTCTGCTCGGATTTGTCCCTACTCCCATTTCCCATTCGAATTGCCAGAGCGGAAATGCTGCTAGTAATTTTTAGTGATTTTTTTTTTCTTAAATATTATTGGACGACGTCGGATTAAGTAATCAATATAAAGTGTACAAATGATGTGCAACCAGCAAATTGTAATGGCCGACAAATTACTTCCTAATTTTAGCTAAAGTTCCAGTAAAAAACAGTTAGACACAATCACACAACCGATAAGGGCGAAAATTACACTTTTTTTTTTCTCAACCCCTTTTTGTCTGTCCATCACTAGATAAATATTTGGCTTTGTGTCCTTTTTATTACGTTTTAGTTCCTATAAACCTGTTCAGTATTTTAATTTAGATTTAAATCGAGAGAAACTTCAATAAAACCTAATGTTTTATAGAATTAACCTATTTATTTATTCAAAAGTGATTTTTGTAGTTTATAAAGAGAAAGTGAACTATGTTTTTCGGTTAATTGTCTTAATAAAAATAATTTCGTTACGTTGATTTTGTTCGACAAAAATGAATTATTTTTATAAGAATGAATGAACATAATAACTATATATAAAATGTTATCGTTTGCAAAGGGGAAAAAAAATTTAGTGGCTTAAGGACCTAGGGCTGCTACATTCTATGATCCTCAATAAATTCCTTTTGTTTTTTGATTTTTTTCACTAGCTAGCCTCGTCCCTGTAAATGAATGAAAAGAGTTATGGTGCAAGGGAGAAAATGCAGTAAATAACTTTTGATTGTAAATGGTTCAATTACATTTCCCCCTCCCCAAATGGTTCATCTCGATCATCAAATTCAAAATACATATGTGCTACGTGAAAAGGTAAGTGTCACAAATAATGGTGTGATTGATTTTTATCATCCAAATAATCTTTTTATTTTCAATCTATATTAATATTGGCGGGATGGATTTATATGTAATTGATTGTAGATAATGTTTGCTTAAATTCTAAGATTTCATTCATACTCATACTACATAACTAACGCATTAATCCTTCGAGAAAAATATGCAAACATAACCAAAGTCCTTATGTCGCGAGTAAAATCTAATCTTAGTTGATTGAATTGTTTAATCAATATTTAAAACTAACCCATTACAACTATTATTTATATAGAAATTATTAACTTAACCATTGAGCAGTCGTGTATGGTACTTGACATATTAAATAAAAGTATTTATCACAAAAAAGATATATTGTGTTTGAAATTTAACACAATCTTCGTTTATTAACACACTTATTCAATTATCATACCGTAAAAATAAAGTTAAAATATAACTACTATTTGATGAATATATACTACGATCACTGAGCTTGTTTCGATAATCACAATAAAGATGATAACAAACCAACCAAAAACCATTAATGTAACGTTATATAGTTAGTGTTTTTATCGGCGCTTTTTAATAATAAAAACTATCATGCGTATCTTTTTTCTTTAAAAAAAAAAAAAAACTATCATCCGGATCTTTCTTTTATTGTTATAAAGAAAAACATAACTAATAAGGAACTATGTGAAGTTCGTTATATGAACCACCAACCAATTTATAATCCTCATGCATAATCAAATTCACCTACCAAAACAATATTAATAGTTTTACAGATAAACACTCACATTGCACAATTTCAATAGATAAAATGATTAACTTTAATAAAATATATCATAAAACAAGATAGTAATTGAGCGGTACATAAAATAAAACTGCCCATGATATGTAGATAGAAGTTATTCTGATAAATTTTTCATTTTACCAATCACACCTTATTACAATATGATTCTTAAATTCGTAACATTAGAGTTTCAATTAATGATTGTACCAACACAAAAAGAAATAGACGTTCATACAATAAATTTCTTCACTCATCAACCATGAATATTCCTTTCTTAAGTTTAATTTATCTAACTCTTTCTTCAAACCAAATTAATTAACGGTGGCCGCCCTCGTATTTAATTAATTTGAGCCCTAATCCGCGGACTGAGGCACCAACTATTATTGTCAACCCTGCCGTATATTCTAAAACACAAATTTTGGCAGGTAGAGATAGTAGTATCACAGTAGTAGACCAAGCAAGCAATGATGAAATGATGATCCCACAGTAGAATTGCTCAATTTATATGTTTCCTGGTTATAAAAAAGGAGCAATTGCTGTTTCTTTTCTTTGAAGGCGAAAGGAATACATAATTTTACGCTTAATAATGAAACCGATTCCAAAATAATTGACGTCAGCGTTGTGAAGAAACCTAAGCAAAATATTCAATATATGGTGGGAACTGGGAATAAACTTGAAGTTTAGTTGATGTATTAAAACAGGATGAGGTAATCTCAAACAGTTGACAACTACCAACTAAAATCACTTATTGAGTTTAACTATTTTTTTTTAATGGCTCGTGTTATTAATTAAGTTTGCCTTTTTTTCTTTTTTTTTTCTGGCAAATTGTAGAAGAAAGAAAGATTAATTAAAGAATAAAATATCAAGATGTTCACAATAATTTCGAGTCACCAAAGAAATTACCTATCAACAATGATATATTCAGACATTACAGTGTGTTTAACGTTATCACAAAAAAAAAAAAACAATGATATATTCTATCGCACCGTTTGTTTTGGTACGTACTCAAAAAAAATAATTTGTATACAATGTTTTGCTAAAAAACAAAAAAAAAAAATTCACATGCAGATTTACAATATGTTCACATCTTCAATCATTCGAAAATATAGAATAGCTTCAGTTTGGGTGTTTGTTAGTATTTGGGGGGCCTAAAATGGCATATTCCAAACGTAACTGAAAGTGAAGGACAGTCGCATTCATACACTTTTGCTGAGAGATGTTCCCACTGGAAGGGCATTCTCGGAATTTCATCAGGAAAAATTAGGTTTACGACAAATATTTATGAAAACGATTAAATAGCATTTTACATTTTTGTTTGTTTAAATACTACAAAAAAACAACATTAACCGCGCAGAGTATGTAGGGAGCCAGAAAATAAAAGCTAGCAGTAGAAAATTAGAACCAGTCACAGCCTTGTCACAAAAGCCCGGAAGACAGAGCCAATAAAAGAATGCCAGGTAAACACAAAACTTTACATCGGCTCAAAGGGACAATGCTTCCACAACGCGCAATTTGGTCCGGTAAATAGTCAACAGCTCGTAAAAACCGTTGGATCGTTCTCAAATTGCAGTAAAAGTAGCGCGTGTGGAATAAACACTGGTGGAGCGTTCGGAAAGATATGTGCTTAGGTGCACGTTGTTGCGCCTCCTAAGACATGCATGGTTCGACGCATTTGAGGACGTGCAGCGAAGAAATATATTATTAATAAGCGAATATATTTCGATATTAAATATGTAGCGAACGGTGGAGATTACGTGGTTTGTTTTCGGTCGGATTGTAGCCGTCGATATAGAAAGATTATGACGACTGGCTGAGTTTGTGTGTGGTTTCGGTATCACCGCCACAACAGACGGGGGAAGTGATTTTACTTCACGTGTTGACCAGTGTTGACGAAAACTTTTTTTTGGACAATCAAATCCAGCACTTTACTACGATTTGAAATTTCATCAGCCACGAGTTGGAGAAAATTACTCTCTCTCTCTCTCTCTCCATCTTTTTTTTTTTAATTGAAATATATATAGACAATTTGGCAATTTGACGATTTTTTTTAAAAACTTTTGTATTAAACTTCTTTAAATAATTTTCCTTTCCAGCAAAAACTTTCTAATTTAAGAACACAAAAGCTTCGTTAGTGCAATAATTTGTTTGTTTCTCACTCTTGATTTTAGAAAATTATTCGGATATCTAATTAGTGATTAGATTTGAATTGCTACAACAATTGTTTTTAATTGTTGATAATTTTAGAAAAAAGGGGGCAAAAAATAAATGAAAATGAAATTACTATCTTGTACCAATAAAAGAAAAAATGAAATTACTCTCCAATCCATAAGAGAAAAAAAGAAGAAGAAGCCGAAGAAGATACAACTGGGGCAGCTTTCATTGGGCTGATCCTTTGATTCTGTAAGAATCTCTATAACTGGGCTCAATGATACTCAAATGGGCTTAATTATCATCTTCTTTCATATTTGCAGCTTCATCGTCATAAGAACTGTGATTAATTAACTCTAGATAGGCAGATTATACTACTTTCCGGGACCGGAAGAAATTTTTGTACTCCAGTTAACTAAATAGTTCATCCAGTGATTAAACTATCCAGTCGATTGAACTATAATCATTTTAATGCAAAAAGAAGAAAAATCATAAAAATAAAATCCTAATGGTAACATTGTAAACTGGAAGAAGAGGAGCCAATTGGGACCAAAAGGCTGGTGGAAGCCGTACGATAATGAAGATCTCTTCCGACAAAGTAGCCCAATGGAAATGATAATAAAGAATGGGCATGCCCATGCTCCTACAGATTCAGAGACCAAGGACCATTGTACGTAGATTCAGTATCATGGTCCAAAAGCCTACTTCTTATGAGCTTCAATATTCAGAAAGCATGCCTTTTTCTCATGTTTTGTTCTTTTTTTTTCAGGAAAAAAAAAAATTAAATCCAAAGGGTAGCTAGCTTGCTCAAAGCCTTAAAAGCAATAAATGAATTGTATGATGGAAAAAAAATTGAAAATTGACAAGGAGACACATAAATATGAAGTAGTAACAAAACGCCAAATAATCCTATACTTTTTTTGGTACGTAGAGATGTATAGAGAGGGTAGTATGTGATGTCAGTATGGGTTCTTTTTGTGTTTCTACTTTAGTGAAACAACTGCCCAAAGTTTCCTCTTTGTAGCTCAAGCCCAAACTCCAGCCTTTGTCTCTTCTGTACCCAACCATTCCTCTTCTTCTTCTTCCATCGTCTCATTCCTCTTTTGTTTTGACCGTTCAATTTGGGAGGGAAACAAATAAGATCATACTTATGTTTATTTACAATTAGCATTTCGTTACTGGTTATGTAGAGTTCTCTTTAGATGTACCTACTCGGTTCAAATGATCATCAATTAGTATGAATATGCTACGTTTTACATTTTAAATTATCTCATTATTTTTTACACAATTTGGAGTATTGTTTTATCAAACAAATATGATGGGGGAAATATGACCTCAAATAGTTGGATGAAACTTTTATGAGTGTTTCAAGATTAAAATTATTTTTTCACAAAAGTATGACGGGGAAATATGACCTCAAGAAAGTTAAAATTACGATAAGACAATATTTTAGTGAAAAATGTGTCTGAGAATGCATTGATTTTAATCAACGGCTTCTGATATCAACTACTCCCTGTAACTCAAAATTATTATCCAATTTGAGATTTCACTTTTAATACAGTTTGAACTAGAAATGAAAATTTAAAGTGGACAATACTTACAGGACGGAGATAATATAAGTCTATATAACTAGGCTGTTTGGAAAGCGAAAGAACACAAATTCGAGGTGTAATTTGATCTCTAACATGAAGATTATGACTTCATTATGAGAGATGTAATTTTGGAAAGAGAGACACGAATTATTTTTATCTTTAGTGTCGAGGTGAAGTCTATATCGGAATTTCGACATCTCAATGCATTTTTGGTAGAGTGGACAAGGGCTATATATAGGCTAGCTTGTGCCTCCGCTCTTTTGAGCCCTAAACCCATGAAAAAGGTCGTCTCTGTTTCTCTTTCTCCGTGAAGAAGAAACAACGCTAGTTTTTTTTTAAAAAAAAAAAAAGAAAAAAACAAAAAACAGGAAGAGTGTTTATCATCTGCTGTTTCCCAAACATCTCGACTTTTTACAGCAACCCAATGGAATGACCGTTTTTTTTCCACCTTTTTTTTTTGTTTGTCACAGATAAGCAAAGATTTCAAAATTAAGCCGGATTACCCCTCGGTCCAACTAAGAATGTAACTACACACAGGTTGTTTATTGACTTTATTCGCTTAAAGGAGACACAAAAACCGAAAAATATTACTCACTCCGTCCCATAATTATTGTTCAGTTTTACTAAAATGAAAGATTTTATTTTTGGTCAAACTTATTTACCTTAAACAACCGGATATACTCCTACATAAGTAATTGTTTAACCACTAAGATTTTATGGATAATGTTTTTTACTAAAGACAAATGTGTAACTTGATTCATAAAAAATTAAATTGGACAATAATTTTAGAACAAAATTTTTTTGGACACAGTAGACAATAATTATGGGACGGAGGGAGTACGTAATAAAGTAACATTAGTTAGGTTATATTAAACGTACTCGTAGACTAATGTATGTTTATTAACCGTTCATAAATCTCATTTGATATATAGATTGTTTATTTAGTTAGAACGATTGTTGTAATTAGGGAATCAAGATGTCTATATGCAAGTTAATGGTATCAAAAGAAATTTATAGATTCCTGAAGTGCATGTAATTAGCTGCATCATTTTAGTTCAATCGTGTCACGTACTCTGTTAGTCCTGAAATTATTGTTTAGATTGACTTTTTTATTTTTAATTTAAATTGTACTAAAACTAAAATTTTAAATTGAATAATAATTTTTGAAACGTAAAGAGTATTAACCAGAAAAAAATGTTCATTCACTATAATCGCATTGAAGAATTGGAAAACGAACAAGCATGGGATGCAAATGAGAGGTTCTTACTAATGGCATTAAAGAAAATGGTCGATGGATGAAGAAGAAGAGTACTAACCGAAGTTGGATATTTGGAGGTTGGCGCCTAATAAACGAACCCATCAAAACACAAAGAAACAAAAAGGTTTATTTAAAAACCATAAATTTCCCTCCACAAAAAACGAGACCAAAAAACCGAAACCACGCGCCTCAAAAGAATGACAACATAACGTTCTGAAACTCTCTCGCCAATTCCGACGCCAATAGAAGAATTACACCACCAATTCGACCCACCAGCAGCAAAAGCACTCCCAAAAAAATGTCTCTGATTCCAAGTAGCATTGTGAAACGCGACGCAGCCCCATTCTCCCTCTCTCAGACAGCTACCTTCCATCGACATTACTCACGGGCCTCCAAAATCCTTTAAATTCCGTCCATTTTATTTTAATAAATTATATTTTTTTAATCATATTTTAGTTTAATTAAAATGAATACAAAATATGATTGACTCAATATGTTTAAGACAAATATTACACATGAAAAAATCGATGAAGGGACACATATGCTATTCAAAACTAACCACATTTGAAACCTAAATGAGAGAGATGTGACATGTGAAAGAAATCCTAATGAATAATTATTAAGAATTTATAGATTGATTTCAAGGTTCGGAGTATTAATATACTCCAATCATTTAAGGTTTCCATATCAACAAATATCATTTTTCATGAAATATTTTAGTATAGCCATTTTCATGTGTAAGCTTAAAATTTTTTATTAAATTATATGTTTGGTTGGTTTTATCAAAATTTTTATTAATAAAAATATTCATCTCAACATACATTTACATTTTCAATAAAAAATACTCTCTCTGTCCTAAAATTATTGTCCATTTTGAGATTTCATGTTTAGTATAATCTACAAATAAAAATTCAAACTAGATAATAATTATCTAAAACACAAAAAAAAAATCATACAATAGCATACCAGATTGTACAAGTACCAAACTGAATATCCATCCGCTAATGGGGTTCAGGTGAATATAATGGCAATTCTTTTGGGTGATAGTATATTTTCTGGCATCGGAGCAAGAAAAGCAACGAAAGTGAAATTCTGGAGACCTGGGGTGACGAGATTTTCCGTGTTCTCCATATCATAATACGTATAACAAATAAAATTATGGGATTCTCTGGCAGATTCTGTCACGCGCTACTGCACAGAGCTTCTTCTCTTTAAGAACGTCACCCACGCTCCTTATCCGTCCGTGTGATGACTCCCTGGAATTGACCGGCCAGAGAGTAGCCGGATTCTTCATCGGTAAGATTTCTGCATTACGTTAGTATAATATTGAGTATTGTCTTTTTTTTTTCCCTTTTCAGGTAAGGGAAGATACTCGTAACTCCTCTCTGAAAAATTGACTTGTAAATTGTACTTATGGTATTTGGAAGCCAGCTACTTGACAAAAATGACAGCTCGGATTGTGTGTAATTACTTTATCATTTCCAATGGTCACCTTTGATATTAGTGTGGTTTTTGGCGCTGAAGTCCGTTGCTTAAATGAAAACGTTGTACAGAGTGTGTTTATAACGTTTATAAGTGATTGTTTTCAGTTTACAATATAGTACAACAAAATTTGTTAGAATACTATCATAATCTACAACATACCATGAAAATTAAAGGAATCAAACAGAAAAAGTGTACCACGTACAATTAAAGACTCTGAAAAAATGTGTTGCTTCCTATTCAATCTGACAGAACTATCTAATTAACCGATGAAGCTAAATGGATAAACAGTGTAAACCCCCTAACAATAACAATATTCTATCTTCTCTGACGAGAATCATATAACAATAATAAAGTAACGGTTGATATGGGGATGTTATTCAATGGGGGTCAACATGAGAATTTATTTCTCTTCAGAAGAAACACGAGAGAATTTACTATACTTTCCTAGTACGGTTTTGAACCGACGCGCTCTGTTGTACAGCTAAGTCCGCGAGTAGGATTTCCCAATTCAAACAAGCTAGCTTGAATGAATGAATTTCTCTCTCTCTCTTTCTCTCCTTTTGCTCTCAACACTCTCACTAGTCAAGTCTATTTCTTTTTTGTCTCTCCCACCAGTCCTATTCTTTCCTATCCACTATTATTCACCTGCTTCCTTCACTTCAAAAACCTTCTGAACAACAAATAAAATTAAAAATCCCTTCTTTATTCTCTGCATTTCTTCATTCTTCCTTCCTCCATCCATACCCTTCTGATATTCAACATTATTCTGGCTTATACAGCAACAGAATGAACCTTAACAGTAAAGAAAAGCTGGTGGTAGAAGTGATTGGAGCCCATAACTTGATGCCAAAAGATGGTGAAGGTTCATCATCACCTTTTGTAGAAGTTGAGTTTGAGAGCCAAAGACAAAAAACCACCGTGAAATACAGAGACCTCAACCCTGTTTGGAATGAAAAGCTCGTTTTTTCCGTCAATGATGCTGCTGACCTTCCTTACCGGACGGTGGAGATTAACGTTTTCAACGAGAGGAGGTCCAATAACAGCAGGAATTTCCTGGGAAAAGTCAGGGTCTCTGGTTCAAGCATAGCTAGAGAAGGGGAAGCATTAGCCCAGCTTTATACTCTGGATAAAAGAAGCCTTTTTTCTCATGTCCGTGGGGAAATTACCTTGAAGCTCTACTTATCAACCCGGGAAGAGGTTAAACAAGTCATCAATGGCGGTAATAGTAATAATAATAATAATGGGATTTTGGTTTCTTCTTCAAAGAAGAACAAGAAGCTTCAGCAGCAACAGGGGACCAGTATGGCGATTCAGCAAAACCTGGGCCAAGAAAGCAAATTGAATTCCCATAATCATCATGGTCATGCAAAGCCTGTTGACCCAGGCCCAGGTGAAATCAAGCCTGTCGTCATCACAACCGTCCCCGGTCCGGTCATCCCGGCGGTGAATCCCGCCGGACTTGGCGGCGGCGGAGGAGGAGGAGGAGGTGTTCCAGTTGGTGGAATGGGGATGTACTCAACAGGGCATGGGGAGTATTCTCTGAAAGAAACTCGGCCTCACCTTGGTGGGGGCCCACTGAACAAGGACAAGACGAGCTCAACGTACGACCTTGTGGAGCAAATGCAGTATTTGTACGTCAGAGTTGTTAAGGCTCGTGAAATCTCAGTGTTTGGTGGAGGGGAGCTGGTTGCAGAGGTCAAACTTGGGAACTACAGGGGAATTACAAAGAGGGTGCCTTTGAATAGTGCTGAGTGGGACCAAGTTTTTGCCTTTTCTAAGGACTGTATTCAGTCTTCAGTTGTGGAGATTTTTGTGAAGGAGAGCAATAAAGAAGATTTCTTGGGGCGTGTTTGGTTTGATCTTAATGAGGTTCCTAAAAGGGTTCCTCCAGATAGTCAGCTGGCTCCTCAATGGTATAGAATGGATGACAGGAAAGGGGAGAAAGCCAAGGGGGGTGAAGTTATGGTGGCTATTTGGTTGGGAACACAAGCTGATGAAGCCTTTGCGGAAGCATGGCATTCCAAGGCTGCAAATGTAAGTACTGATGGTTTGTGTTCCATTAAGTCCAAGGTTTATCTCTCACCTAAGCTTTGGTACCTTAGGGTTAATGTTATTGAAGCACAAGATGTTGTAATGGGGGAAAAAGGGTCTTCTTTGATGAGGTATCCTGAGCTTTTTGCAAAAGTTCAAGTTGGTAACCAGGTTTTGAGGACTAGAATTGCTTCCCCTGTTGCTAGTAAGAGTCTTTCGAATCCTGTTTGGAATGAAGACTTGCTTTTTGTTGTTGCTGAACCGTTTGAAGACTATGTTTTGGTCTCAGTTGAAGATCATTTAGCTCCAAACAGGGATGAGACTGTGGGGAGGGTGTTGTTACCAGTTACAAATATTGAGAAGAGGCTGGATGATAAGCCTGTTACATCTAGGTGGTTCAATCTTGATATTCATCTTGGCAATCAGAATGATTCTTCTAAGTCTGTGATGAGATTCGCCTCCCGAATTCACCTTCTGGCATCTCTTGATGGAGGGTATCATGTCCTGGATGAGGCTACCATGTATAGCAGTGATGTCAGACCAACAGCAAAGCAGCTCTGGAAGCCACACATTGGAGTTCTTGAGGTTGGAGTTTTGGGTGCTTCCAACCTTGTACCTGTTAAGATTAAGGAAGGCAAAGGAGGCTCCACTGACGCTTATTGTGTAGCGAAATATGGTCAGAAATGGGTTCGAACTAGGACTGTGGTTGACAGCTTGTCGCCAAAATGGAACGAGCAGTATACGTGGGAAGTGTTTGATCCTTGCACTGTGATCACCATTGGGGTGTTTGATAATGCACGGGTGGACAAAAATGTTGTATCGGCTACAACTCGTGATTCTCGGATTGGGAAGGTTAGAATTAGATTATCAACTCTTGAATCTGATAAAGTATATACTCATGCTTATCCACTGTTGATGCTGCATCCATCTGGTGTAAAGAAGATGGGAGAACTTCACTTGGCTGTTCGGTTTTCTTGTGCTAATATGGTCAATATGCTTTGCATGTATACAATGCCTTTACTTCCAAAGATGCATTACGTGCAGCCATTGTCTGTGAATCAGTTAGACAGCTTGAGGTACCAAGCCATGAATGTAGTGGCATCGAGGCTGGGCCGAGCAGAGCCACCTCTGGTGAGAGATGTAGTCGAGTATATGCTTGATCATGATTCTCACATGTGGAGCATGAGAAAGAGCAAAGCCAACTTCTTCAGGCTAACTAATATCTTAGCATGGTTCGTAGCCGTGAGCAGGTTTTTGGAGACCGTCCGGAACTGGCACAAGCCGGTTTACTCTGCAGTGTTCTTGATCGTTTTCATGATCTTTGTCTTGTTGCCTGAGCTGATCGTACCCTGTGTTTTACTTACCATGGCTGCTATGGGGCTTTGGCGATATAGATCCAGGCCACGCCACCCGCCTCATATGGACACCCGCCTATCCTATGCTGATGTTGTGCACCCTGATGAATTGGATGAAGAATTTGATTCATTCCCATCAAGTCGAGCTGCTGAGATTATTAGGATGAGGTATGATCGTCTGAGAAGCGTTGCTGGGAGGATTCAATCTGTGGTGGGAGATATGGCCACTCAAGGCGAGCGCTTTCAGGCTTTGCTAAGTTGGAGGGATCCAAGAGCCACATTCTTGTTTATCATGGTCTGTTTGGCTGCTGCATGTGGGTTCTATGCCGTACCATTTAAATGGATTGTGGCTCTTTGGGGACTCTATCTTTTGAGGCCACCCAAGTTCAGGAATCGGCTCCCTTCAAGGGCAGTCAGCTTCTTCAAGAGGTTGCCAACAAGAGCTGATAGCATGTTATAGGCCGACTGGGTTTAGGCTAATTTAGTAGATGATCTTTTAGATCTTTTGTTGTAAAATATTGTTAGTTTCAGAAGGAAGGGTAGTATTTTGTCTTGGTTGCTTTATGGCTGAATAGCTTGATGTAACCTGTTAACTTTGATTGGGTAGTAATCTTCTGCTGTAATTTCTTGACTTTGATAGTTTAAGTCGTTGCCTTTTCCAGGCTTATGAGTCACATTTTGACCTCTTTGCCCTTCTTTTTTTTCTTTCTAGCTAATTGCTTTTGATACATTGAAACTGAAATTGCAGGCTTATGAAATTTGCTTAAGCATCCAAATAACCCGTCATAACTAGTACAAATTTGATTCTTTTTCCTTTGTGTCCCTGAATCATTGAAAGTATTGCAGCAAAAGAAGTAGGATGTCGGTCCACAGAAAGGTTGCAGAAAACACGAAAATGAAAACCCCAAGTAGACGGACCATTGTGCTTCTGTCTAATGACTGTATCGCTAAACTAAGGTGGCTGCCTCCTGGGGTCTTGAAACTAAAAAAGACTCCAAGCGAGGATCCGTACGATGTGGAAGACCAGTTCTGGCGCCCAATGCCCTACAGTTTATGGCTGCCTTCAATGGACGAAGAGCAGCAAATGAAACAAGTGAGTTCTCTCGAGTTCCTATAAGTGACACCCTGACAACATTTGATGGCATTTTAACAATGTACCCAACAGCTTATTTACTCACCACTTGAGCTGCAAATGGCAACATCTTTTCTGGTGGCATATTCGCAGAAATGGCTGTAAGATAGCATAAGATTTGGAGTTAGATAAGCATGGGTTTGAGTGCGAACAAGCCCTGTAATGGCTTCGATAACTAGCTACAGAGTTTAAGATCGTGAGAAAATATCTATGTCCGTGAATATAAAATATCTATAAAAGCTGCGTCTTTTACCGTAAAGTGTAGCTCCAATAAAAGCGTCTCCAGCACCAGTTGTATCGACAAGTTCTTCAGGTGGTACTTTCTCAGCAGTTCCAACAAAGAGTCTACCATTCACAGTCCCAATCCCCTTCGCATGTAAGTTTGCAATATCCTGGTGGACAAAACAGCAGGTATTAGCACTGTGGGGTGGTTGTAATTCAAAGTTCAAAACAAGGTATTTCAGGATTAAACCACATAACTCTGCATTCAACATGTAAGACTTTCAATTAGAAAACACCACCACCAGAAAACACTACCACCAAAGGGCAACCAAAATAACACAGACCATTAATCCATGGACTATGAGAAAAGCTACATTTCAGGGCACTTCCCTTAAATTGCTATCAGGTTTGTAGCCCTGTAAAAATTGGGCAAGGAGGCATACATGGCACTTCCTCAGTCAAGGATCAAGATGGTTCGGAAGAGCTCAAAATTCAGTGAGCATCCTTCTTGGACTATGAACCGTTGATGAATGTTAAGATTTGGTTACGAGTGAAAAATGGCTCATTAAAGAATGATTTTGAACAAGTGTGTCTCATACTTGCAAAGTCTGCTTTACAAAATTATGATATCAATGAACCAGAATCAGCAAGAACTATAGCTCAAAACATAATATGCATAGAAGACTGAAAGCTTCCAAGTATGAACAGAAAATACCGAGGATACACAAGTTGGCAAGTTTATACTGTCCTGTCTTTTCTGTTTTAGTTTCTCCAATAAACCATCCACATCTGTTTCTTCCAAGAGGACATTTTCTGCAAGACGCAATTTCAATAAAAAAAATAAGAAAAGACACAATTTTCAACAAAGTCAATGGAATAAATGGAAGGAAGACAGTAATCCAGACATAAATTTTATAATACACTTAAACCAGTAGACAAAAATTAGAATATGACTACCAGATTCAGCCCTCTCCAGCATTATACATCCCTCTTCACCCAGGGTCACAATCACAAATCTAGCATTTGGCAACCTCAAGAGCATTGAAACAAGTGAAGTTCCAATGGATGGAGCCTCAGTCCAGGCCTGCAAGGGCAGATATAGGACTGCTTGATTACAATTAGCTTCAAAAGGTAGGGAAAAGAATAGTTATAGTTTACCCTGAATTAGAACTCTAGAGTTCACATATTTAGACCCGTAATTTTTACAACTGGAAACATCCTCTTAAGAAACCCTTCAAAAATTATTACATACGAGGAAGAAACTACTACAATCGGGAGGACATGTAAGTGTTCAGTTATTCTAATAAAAAAAGAGTACAGCAACATTTCGTTAGCAATGAACCATTAAAAGAAGAAACTGGGTCTTTCTAAATCGGTTTGAAACATGCGAAATCGTAATGGGTGCATCAACAGAAGCAATATCTAGAGGAAAAGAGAGAGAGGCTCTACCCTCTAAAACCTCAAAACAGATATTTAGCTTGCCTGAGGAAATTTCGCTGAACACACAATATAACTAGACAGATTCAAGAGATCATCCAATCCTTCCCGTTTCCTTTCTGCATCAATTAAAATTGGGATTCCCCTGCGGTTTGCCTGCACTGGAAAATCAGAAACTATTCTGTTATTTTCTCTTCAACTTTGACGCTTGATATTAGCAACAATGACAGCTTTCCATTTCTCAATATTCATAACCGACTTCCTCATATGAGAAAAGTTGATAAAAGCTACTGAAACAGAATGGGAAAATTACCTCTGCTGCAATGAGCAAAGCTGTTTCATGTAGTCTTCCATCAAAATAGACAAGGCTTGCTCCATTTATAGCAGCTGACAAGTTGGAACTCGAAAGATCATCAGGTATCATCGGTGGGTATCCTGGAGTATGAATGCATGTGCGAGTTTTCCTGAAACGAGCATCAAAGTTTGTAAATCAACTTCATGAAATTCAAAGTGTAAGCAATAAGATAATCTCAGTCTCAATTTTTACAATATAAAAATGTCAGCATCCACGAGACCATGTTTAAAAGGTCATTCAAATTGATTAATACAATACTATCTGAGACCTTACTTTTACTTATCTCACAGAGATTCATCATCATTTAAAGTTTAAATACAACGAAAATTACGAAATGATACGCATACTTGACCAAACAAATCTTCCATCTTTTTTTCCTTTTACAAATCTACAATCACTCTGATAAATCAGAAATGATGAACTCGTGATGCCAATTTGCTCGCTTAGAAAAACAATATATGGCAAGTATCTATAGACACCAGTAAAAGGTCTTTGTTGACCCAATAGTTAAATGCGAGGTGAATATGGTTTTTTTTTTTTTTTTTTTTTTGGTGATGAATATGGTTTGTATATGGTCATAACCACAGATACAAACCCAATGAAGAAGGAACTCATGAATGCATCTCATCACAAACAAAAGTCTAATACAATAATTGATGGATTAAAATGCTCACGTTTGACTGTCAACAATCACATAGGTAAATGGCGAATTACCGCCTTTGGACACCTGAAATCAAACATAAGGAGCAAAAATGTAAATCAAGCTACATCAACAATGATTACATATCATTATGAACAGGAGGCAGGAAGAGTAAAAAATGTAAGATCGCTGAATAAATTCATTTAAAAACACTAGGAAAGGCTTGCTGGTTACTTATTAAGCCATAGACCACGTCAGGGAAAAAAAAAAGAGAGTACAAAGAATAATTAAACAATCACTATGTGGGAAATACCAACCTAAACTAAATATAGGACCTCAGTTTACATCCTTAATTAAGTGCTTGTTAAGAGTGGAATCACAGAAAGCAGACAGATCGAAATGTTACTTGAAAGAAGAACACATGTGCAAAAGAACCAAAATAAATACCACAAGAAAAGATGTATCGACGCCATCAGCTTCAAGTTCATCCAGAATGCCTTTCCCTTGAGAGTCATCAGCAACCTACTCAAAAAAAAAATTAAAAAAATGGACATCTTTAGACCTTTACTATATTTTAGACCGTAACTATCACTAAGATCACATCCTCAATCAATAACATGAATTTTTTTTTGAAAGGGTATAACATGAATTAAATAAACCTTAAAAGATAAGTTTAAATCCTACAGCAGTTCAAAGCTCAATGTCAACAAGCTTTCAACTCCCTCCAATGTGAATAGAAAAGATGAAGAAAGAGAAAGTTAAGGTCAAAACAAAAGAGACCTTGGAAATCAGGCGCGGTTTGAGTCCGAGACGAGCAGCACAAGTCAAAGCATTCCCCGCATTTCCCCCTCCTTGGACCTAATAAACAAGACAGGCATCAGATTCCAGATTTAAACAGTAAATCCACAGAACAACAACTTAACTAATAATTAATTGAGAATAAAACCTTGGCATCAGTGCTGCGAATCTTGTCATCTGGATTTGGATACGAAGCCACCGCAGCCAAGAAGTCCACCGACAGTGAGCCGCAACCGACCTTTTTCCACATAAACGAATTCACTAAGCCAGAGTATGTCTGTAACTCTGTAGGAAAACAATCAGGTAGTATTGAATGAAAAGAGACTCACAACGATCCGATTCTCCGGGAGAGGGGGAAGCGATGCGGAAATCTGATCAGCTGACGCAGACATATTCTTCGGAATGAAGCTTCTGCGGCAAAGGAAATTCTTAGTATCTCGAAGCAAAACTTAAATTATCATGAAGGTTTTGGAGAAGTAGAAGGAAAAAAAATGAAAATTACCGGGGCGAGCGAGCAGTGGAAGATAAAAAGGAGCGCCGAGAAGGAAGGAAGGAGCTGAGTGTATTGGCGCCGGCAAGCGAGCTCACAGATGACGCCATTGTTTAGTTAATCTCTTGCCACTTGTTTTATCTTCCGTACTTCATGCCCCTATATTTATCTCCAGATTCCTGCAAATTTTCAATCCTCTTTTTTTTTTTTTTTTTGTTTCTCTTTTTTTGGAAGTAAAATATTAGGAATGCAATCTAATTTGGAAGGAGTTTTAAATTTCAACTTTCTTCGAGTGGATTATTTTTCTGGGATTGAGGAGGGAGTCACACAATTGCAGTGAGATTACAAAAATCTTTGGAACCAACCTTTTCACATTTTTATCGAAACGTTTGATTTAAACAGAAATAGTAAAACATTCCTTTGTTTAGAAAAGTTCATTGTTGTCAAAATGTTTGTTAGGTTATTTTATGGTATTTTCAAAATATTTAAATAATAACTGTCCCATCCCAACATAACTTTTTATATTTCTAATACAACTTTTTATATTTTCAATACAAAAAACACCTAAAACCACACACTTAAAAAAGCGAAACAAACATACTTCTTGTTTTTCGGCAAACAATTAAATTTATTGGCCCGAAAATGAACTAGACTGTAAAATGAACTAACCTTTGATTTTATGGTGGACTAGTGAGTACTAGTCTAGCCCAAATAACCCTTCTAAATAAGTCTTTTTCTTGAAAAAGGAAAAAAAAAGAAAAAAAGAAAAAAAGAGAAGAGGAGTCTCACGAGTAAATATACTTTTGCCTTTTACTCACTGTAGTTTTTTTTTTTTTTTTAATTTATTTTGGGACAAATTGAGAGGCAAAAGCACAATTACAAGTATTTAGTCTACTACATAACTTCACATACATGTGGGCGGGGTCTATAAGAAAGGGGATAGTACAAGTATCTAGTCTATTACATAACTTCACATACATGTGGGTGAGGTCTATAGGGAAGGGAATAGTACTACTAAGGGAGAAACTTCACGCGCGCACGTCTCGATCTGGTACTCCTGGCGAGTGCAAGTAAACCTGCACAAACTCAGCAGAGTTTGAACCTGGGTCCCCCAAGTTGGATGCCAAAATCCAAACCACTGGGCCACCCCAGGTTAAAAGCAAAAGCCTAAATTCTTATTTTGGTGATATGCGATCCCTATTACATAATGTTACAACCATGGCCTACCACTTCATAATTAAGCTCTACAATCCAATAATCCGATAAACATAATCAAGTTCTACAATCCAGTGACGGTGTTGTAATTCCCGGATCCCGCATACAATCCCCGCAGAAACCCCCTAGAATCTCTTCATCACCTTTCGCCTTTTATTCACTGTTAGTTTTATTTAACTGAGTACATATATGGTCGAAAGGTATGAATTTCATTTCAGGAATTTTCATTTTTCAACTACATATTAATCTCAATTTTGGTGGGGGTTCCAACCAAGCAGCAAACTTTTATGGGGAAAAAATTCAAAAAAAATATTTCTTTTTTTTTTTCCCCTTTTGGAACGAGAAAAAACTTGAATTATTTCAGAATCAGAAGTAGCAAAACATATCTCAACTATGAACACTCTCTTCAAGAAAGAGGAATGAATGGTTTTAAGAGATGAACACAATCTAGCTCAATCGATAATTTTGATATACAGCACATATATCTTGGCTTACATCTCTTCACTATATGGTAGTAAAGATATTCCCAAAAAATTAGAGGTCAGAAAACTTGCTTGTTTTCTTTCTGGAAAATAGCAGGGCTCAGAAACGTCCCCCCCCAAACCTACTAAAAACCTACACCCGAAGAAACTGTTCTTTTCTCAAATACAAATGTTCCTTCAGTACTGTACATTTGCAGATTGCCCTAAAATGAGGCCTCGTGACCATTGTTACCGTCACCCCAGTGACGTCTCGGGAGTAATCCGTGCTCGCTCATACTCCCCTTTAATCTGTAGAACGCCTTTTTACTCCGCACAGTCCTTAACGGACCAGACCTGTTTCCGTGCTTGATGGGTAGTGCAACCCCTCCAATCAAACTTGACATTGAATGGGGTCGATTTTCCATCTCTTCCAGCGGGCCTGAACTGTAATCCATTGTTATGAACGAGGAGGCCTGCCCATATGTCAAACGTGGTGTAATGCCAACAGCATTCCACCAACTGCTATCGGAAGGGGCCAGATCGGCTTTGAATTCCGAGTCCAGAACTGAAGAGTCTCGTTGACTATATCCATCCGCACACGTCTCATCTGTGTCATTACAAATCAGCTTCAAAGCCTGCACTACTTCTCCCATAAACGGTCTGTGAGTCACCTCCGGGTGAACACACATTGAAGCAATGGAAGCCACCCTTGCCATGTCATCAAAGTTATACGTTCCTGCCAAGGAAGGATCCACCAGCTGCTCCAAACCTTCTCTACTGGTTAATAAAGGTCGTGCCCACGTAACCAGATTTTCTTGTCCCTGAGGTTGAGACATGTCCACTGGTTTTCTTCCTGAGAGAAGCTCTAATAGCACAACCCCATAACTATAAACATCACTCTTGACAAGCAGGTGCCCAGTCATTGCATATTCAGGTGCAACATACCTTAATTTGGATTTTATATTCAAATTAGCAAAGGTAGAAAGACATGTACGGTTGCAAATGCAAAATGATAGTTGGAACAAAGAAGCAGCACATACCCAAAAGTTCCCATGACTCGGGTGGAGATGTGATGGCTTCCTTCTGTAGCTTCCCGCGCTAATCCAAAATCGGACACTTTGGGTGTAAAATCATCTTCTAATAGCACATTACTTGCTTTAAAATCTCGATGGATAACCCGAGGGTTTGAATCTTCATGAAGATAAGCCAATCCCCTTGCGGCACCAAGAGCAATTTTCAACCGAGCATCCCAATCCAGAGGTCCTTTTGACTTGTCAACACCTGAAACGCAAATATTGTAGCTGTTTAACGGGATATATAAGAATCACATTTATAACAAAATCATTCTGACCATAACATAATTATCGTCAAAAACTATGAAACTCAAAAGGTTCTATTTCCCCAGAAGGATTAAACTTCTAGGTACATAACAGGAAGAGTTGATGTACCATGTAAGTGGGACTCCACACTGCCATTAGGTACAAGCTCATAGACCAAGCATCGTACCCTTTCTTCAATGCATATACCAATCAACTTAACAAGATTGCGGTGATGCAATCTACTGAGCATCTCCACTTCTGAAATGAATTCTCGGTCCCCGTTTTGAATATCTCGTGTAAGCAACTTCACAGCTACATCAGTTCCATCTTCCATTAGACCATGATACACACGTCCAAAGCCTCCTTCACCCAAAACCCTTTTAGAACTGAACTTTTCGGTTGCCCTTTCAAGTTCTGATCGAGAGAATGTCTTAACAGAAAGTATAGAAGCAGGCATGGCTGAAAGGATGGATCCGGAAGTGGAGCTCGCAGGGCTACTTGACATCATTGATCCCATCCCTGAGCAGCAAACAAACAATTAAGCATGTGGAGCAAATTTGCATTAACTTTAAAAAGACTAAACAGTAAAATGCCGATTCATTTCAGTTTTAGCAGGTTTATGGGGGGGAATTTTTTTTTTTTTAAAAAAGTACAAGGAGTTGCAGTATCAGAAAACAAGAGCATGAATCAAATATGTGTAGATAATTCATTTTGCAGTATATGTTCCCATCCAATGGACTAATGAGGGAATTAAGACCACGAAAAAAATAAGAGATAGAGATCGGCCAACGCCAAAGGCGCCAAACTATCCAGACGATGCCTGAACTCGTTAGTATCTTGTCCCTTCTCAGGTGACAAGACAAATACTTAACGTACAAAGAGAAATAGAAGCAATATCAATTGAGAAGAGTTTAATGATATACCACATCTCTTGTTAATAGATGGTGTTAATACAGGACCAACGGCACTGGACGGTCTGCCTGACTTCCTGCAGTTTAAGAGTATAGCCAATGCTCCAAAGCAAACCACCAACAAGACTAATGCTGACAAGGCAATGACAAAAATGATTCGAGGATTCATTTTCGGACTTTTATCATCCATATATGCTGTTATAGGAAATTGTTGATTTCCACCACTTCCACTAGGGCCCTTGGCAGTAGAGTCGCTTGATGGTGGAGAAGATGGAACACCTAAGAATCATAAATCCAGACTCTAAACTCCCAGACTACTTAATTGATTAACACAAGTAGCTGCTAAAATAAATAGTTACCTGGATATGATATGTCCATCACATTATAAGCACCAAAAAGAGTCCTGTTCAGCGGAACCTTCTTCTGCCAAAATCTTTCATAAATCAGCAGAGCAGTGGTATTGTCAAATCTTTCCTCAAGTGGAACCAAGTTCACATCAACAACTGTTCTTTCTTGATTTTGAGTATCAGCACTAGCACCAGCTATTACCACTTGACTCTGTTCTAGATATATCCCTTCTGCAATCTCTATCTCCAGTTGATTAACCAGGGGGAAAACAGCATAGAGTGAGACATCAAGAAGAAGTTTGATCTTCATTGGCAACACACAACCACAACTTGAGCCAAAGGGAGTTGAAGTCAATGGCTCAGCACAGATTTGACCACAACCTGTCCACACATTTCACCAAAAATTTTATTTTTGCAGTTTTTTGGGCAATAATTGCAGAATATGTAAAACTAAGCAAAGCGAAGTCATCTTTACAGAAACTAGCATGCACAACATTGAGATTCCTCTCATTTAATACAGGAAAACAAAGGCTTTCTACAGGACACGAGATCCACATATAAAGCAACCTTAAGTTCGAGCACTATGTCTAACTTTCTATACCCCAACACTTTCGTAATGCACACCATGTCTAACCACCAGTGAATATAACAGGGGAATCAGCAGTGATTCTAGTTACATTTGTACATAAATCTCACTCATTCAGAGACTGATTGAGCTAATAGTTGATTATAATGTAGAGAAGGGTCAATATACGGTAATGATTAAAAAAATGCTTTCTCCTAATTTGTCATCATGAATTGACAAACAGGCGAGTTTACAAACTCCTGTAGATGCTCTTTTGCTTCTTAAATCTTGGTCCACCTTCCTTTAGAAGTATGCTTGTTACGGATATAATGTAACTCTATACTTACAGGAGGAACTATACATCCAAAGTGACACAACTTAAGCGATCAGCTCAGATTCGAATCACAAAGTACCTGGTGTCCTTGATGGAGATGGGGAAACAGCATGACTACTTCTAGAATGTCGAGGACGAGGATGATATCTCAATGGTGGACTAGCTCTTGGACCAGCAACAGGACCTTAATTCAAATCTATCGATCAGAAAGATGGGAGTATAAAAATACTGCAACATCTGAGCAGCTAAAACTTACCTTGAACTGAGTGTGAAGGAGCTGTTGCAACTGGCGAAATCAGAGGAGGTTTAGACCTCCTTTGAGTAGGCAGTGTAAACGGAGACATTGATGCACCAGTAGAAACTAACCTGACTGAAGAAAGGAAGGAAATAAATCTGCGTTATTGACTTACTTCTAAGATTAAGTAGACAGATAACTCAATTTTCTCAGGAAAAATCAAATAGAAAGGGAATAAAAGCTAAACATCCAAACTATGCACTAACCATAAACCTATAGAGTATCAAAACATACAATGTACGATTCAACATACAATGGTAAAGCGAATATCAGAAAGTTCATCAAATATACAATGCAAAGGTATTGAAAGAGACGAGAAAAAGAACAGAAATTGCAACATTACCATGTTCAATAGACAATTTCCTAGACAATGATGGATGACTTGGTAAAATTGCAGCAGACCAGTAGCTATGAGGTATTGAAATTCCTGAAAGGAAAAGAAAAAGTATCACCATGGCTGAAACACAGAGAGGAAGTCTATGGATCTATGCTATGACTTTTATAAATAGATACAACTATGTTCTAAACTAGGTTGAAAAATCTTTCAATTACAACACATAATTTGGTTGACCCTGGCAATGAATCACCGAAGGGCTTACATTACCATTATTTCTACATTTGAGTATTTCCTTTTTCACAACAGAACCTCATTGTGAAAACCACCAGGCATACGTCATACGGCGAATGAAATACATACCATTCTCACCAAGAACTAATTAACTACAATATAAGGTAACAAGCCCCTAACTAGATGACTTCATTTGCACCATCGCCATAAGATATGATGGTAGCCTCATTTATGACATACTCAAACTTGATGTGTAGTGAAAAAACAAAAAAAAAGATTCCATTGTTTTCAAAAGGGCAGCTTAGGTTACACATGGCATGAGTTAATCACATTAAAGTTTCAGGGACCAAATATTCACAAAGAATCTTAGCACAGAAGCTCTAAAGGGTATGCACTGGAATGGATCCAATAAAAATAACAACAATGAAATATCTAAGTCAATTCGTGATAATATTGGAGAGCCAGCTAGTTACTTCATCCCACCCCTAACAGATAAGTGGTAATTGACATAGATTAAAAAGAAAAAATGGAGCTACTGGATAAACCACATGCAGTTTAACTTCTGCAGAAGCTCAAGGCTAGAAATCCACCAACTAAATAGCAGCATTATTGGATAAAATTCACCTAGTTCATTTCTAACAAATAAATTTTCTGCCCCCATAACTTTTGTCTTAATCTTGTTATCTCCACAAAAAAGGAATACTAATAATAACGACAAAATGCAGTTAATCGTTCCACAAATTTGTCAAATACGAGTAAAACCGGTCAAATCACCCGCCTCTTGGCTCAAACGTCAAATAAACATCCTTTGTTCTTTTGTGGCTGTGGTGTTAAAAGCGAAAACACACAAATAATTTGTTACACCAAAGGTATCCCCTTTTTCCCCAACAAAAGCAAAAGTTAAAATCTTTCAGAATCTTTCCAGGTCCTCTACTTTTGACAATAACCCCTCCTACCAAAATTAGTACAAGAACATACATTTGGCCCAAAGGGAATAATAGCAGAACAAACACAAGTCAAATTTCAACTGAATGTGTACATACTCACCGTTGTTAGCTGGAAGCAGAGTGATGAGAGCAAGCAAAAAAGGAACCACTAATGACGAAGTAATAACCATCTTGATTTTCTAGCAGAATAGAATTCACTAACAGCATCCTCTTCAGAACCAAACTCAACAACAACACCAGAAAAACCCCACTGGACAGAGCACTCTAGGGTTCCGGTGAAATAGCAGTTTACCCCACCAACAACAACAACCAATGCCTCCATTAACTTCTCGAATTGGTTGCATGTCCTTATCCAGCTAAAAAAAAAGAACCCACTTCAAAATTTTCACACCCTGGCTTCAAAAAACCCACAATGCCAGTGGCTTTAGATCCAACAAAAACAACCCCCACAGAGATCTGCAAAGCAAACCCAGAAAACAGCAAGTGGAATGGGCTACCCACAAAGGAAAAAAAAACTTCAGATCTTGTGGAAATGTGGGAAAGAAGGGATTTTGAAAGTAGAAACAGCTTCTTTAAATGGGTTTAGTGTAAAATATATTAGTGAAGTGAGAGTTAAACTAAAGAATTTAGCAAAGAGGGAAAGCTAATATTTGCTACTAAAAAATATTTTTGCAACTTCAATGAGAGTGTGAGAAAAAAAGAAAGAGGGAGAGAGAGTGTGAGATTGACAGGAGGGTCGCTTTTAATGGAGGAAGTCCCTTTGTCCTACACACTACCACTTTGGCGACTGTTCACTATTTGCGCGTGGTACGACGGACCAATCAGACATTATGGATAATTATTTTGCTTTGGTTTTAGCTGAAAATTAGTTTTCTTTTTTTGGCTTCGAAGATTGACTGAACGAAGATGTTCGTGTATGAAATGCAGTATGAACGAAGAAAACTGTAAGCACAATCAGCTCGCCGCATTTGTTTATTTGAGAATCTGACCTATTTTTCTTGATAAGAATTTTTTGGACCTTAAATCCTTTATATGACGAAAGAACGATAAGGGGATTGTTAGAGTCAGGTTAGTTATGAACAATGTGAATGACATATGTCTTTTTATTTGTTTTTTTGACGACACTTATCTAATGGATAATCCTAATTCCTTAAGACTCCATGTGTGTCCAAATTTTAATGAGTTTTACACACGTCGTATGAAAATTTTACATAGTAAGATTTATGTCCTATAATAATACTCCCACTTCTCATTTTAAATCATCGTGGTTATATTGAAATCAATCTCTATTGGAATAAAACGTACTCCCAAAATTATTGTCCACGTTGACATTTCACTTTTAGTAAAAATTGAACTAGAAATGAAAACCCAAAATGGATAATAATTTTGGGACGGAGGGAGTATTAGGCATACATGATATTGATAAATGATTTCCACAAAAAAAAAAAAACACCGATATTCTATGTAAAATAGTACAATCATTACAACTTCAAATTACACTCACATGAACAATAATTATAAAGTTCAATGACCCAACTTGAAAAAAAGTTCAATGAAACTATTTCTTCTCTTACCATAGGAAGGTGGCTGAAAATTGAGGCTGAAGTCTAATATGCTCGTTTCTGGCCCAATAAATTAACAATAGCCCATTTCATGCAACTTTGGTGTAGAATGTGGTGAGTCGGATCATAAGTTCTTGTTGAAAATTACTAGTATAATCTCATTCTTACGGTTAACTCGCAGTCATTGTTGTCCTGTTTGTGTGTGCCAGAATTGACTACTGAATTTCGAGGCCTTATTAAAATCCTCATTCAAACCCGTAAATTTATTCAACCCCCGGACCTGATGTTGCTCGATAACCATACTTTGCTTTGGCAGCTCTGCTCAGATTATATATATATTAAATGGCCTAAAGTACTGGGTAAAATATTTTTGTCTTAGAAATACTTCACCTGATTACGGCAGGCAGACAGGCAGAGTGTTTCTTTCAAGCCTTCAACCATGGCTGATCAAATTGACATACCAAGGGTGAAATTGGGTTCCCAAGGACTTGAAATAAGCTTATTTTGCAATTCTGGAAGAGTAAACTTTTATGTTTTCAAGGTCTTGTTTTTTTTACGGTTTTGAGTTTTTCTGCGGTAATGAAGAAAAATATAACATGGGTTTTCTCTGATAACCTTGTATTTCTTCTGTCGTACATCAAATTGGTCTTTCCCAATTCAGGTTTCAAGATTGGGTTTCGGGTGTATGAGTTTAAGCGGGATTTATAATGATCCTGTACCTGAAGCTGATGGAATTCAACTAATAAAGGAGGCTTTTGCCAAAGGAGTCACATTTTGGGATACTTCGGATTTATATGGTGATGAACACGCAAATGAGTACTTGTTGGGAAAGGTAATCTATTTCTATCTCGCTTTGTTTGTTTTTCTTCAAGGCCCAAGAAAAAAACCGAAAGATTTTTCAAATGATTTGTTGAGCTTGACCAATTTGTTGCAGGCACTGAAAGAACTCCCTCGTGAAAAAATCCAATTAGCCACAAAGTTTGGTGTATATAGAAAGAAATCCCCTCAGTTTACTATAAAAGGCACTCCTGATTACGTTCGATCTTGTTGAGAGGCCAGCTTGAAGCGCCTTCAAGTGGACTGCATCGATCTCTATTACATTCACCGAATCGACACCACGGTCCCCATTGAAGAAACTGTTAAGCATTCTTCAGACTCCTCTGTCTTTACTTGTTAACTCTCTTTTTGCTTTTCACTGTGCTCTTTGTTAGTTTCGAGTTATTGTTTTTCCATTGTTACCATCATTCAGAAGGGGATTTATGTACTAAAAAGACTGATCTTTGTTGATCTGATTTTGCAATCTTTAGGTTCTGTATGTGACATTTGAGCTAGCTTTGTGCGGGAGATGAGTGAACTTAAGAAACTAGTTGAAGGCGGCAAAATAAAGTACATTGGTTTATCTGAAGCTAGCCCGCATACAATAAGGCGGGCACATGTTGTTCATCCAATCACTGCGATACGACAGGAGTATTCTTTGTGGACTTGTGATATTGAGGCAGAGCTGTTACCTCTTTGCAGGTTAGGTTACAATTAGTACATTGAAAATCCGCATCATTTTATGACTTCAGGAGATTGATACAGTACTTGAATTTTATACATGACAGGGAACTGGAATCGGGATTGTTCCATATAGTGCCATTGGCCGCGGACTTTTTGGTGGGAAGGGTGTTGTCGAAAGCATCCCTCAAAACAGCAATTTGGTATGGAATAGTATCTGATGTAACAGAGTTAATTTCCTTGGATCAGATATTACTTAGATTTTTTTATTTATTTTTTAATCTATATATCTGTGCGCAGCAAAAACATCCTAGATTTACAGGAGAGAGATTTGAAAAGAATAAGGTATTCTACTTCAACTTATGTAAGCTGGCAGAAAAACATGGATGCTCCACTGCCCAACTTGCCATTGCCTGGATTCTTCACGAGGGTGATGATGTTGTACCAATCCCTGGTGGGTAATGTGACATCTTATCAGCGTGTGTGTGTGTGTGTTTATTTTTATTTTTTATTTTTTTATGTCAAATGGGATTTTTATTGAGCGTCCTTACCTTCTTACAGGAACAACCAAGATGAAAAATCTGCAGGATAACATCGATTCGGTTAAACTCAAGCTGACGAGGGAAAATTAGAAGAGCTGACTAATGCAGTCCCAATCAATGAGGTTGCAGGACAAAGGCTAGGAGATGCTCTTTTCCGAACTTCGTTTTACTTTGCCAACACACCTCTACCAAGGAAATGATCACCTTTCATCAATTGATCAATTACTGATCTCTTCTTTGGTCATTGTTTGGAGAATAATTCACATGTATGATCACTCAGGGGCTTTCCTGATCCTCCTCCGTCCTATGATGTCTCAGTCGGAGTAATCTGTGATTTTCTTCTTCTCCTCCTCCTCCTCCTTCCTATACATCCCCTGGAAGTCGTAACTCAATTCTCTGGAATACGGAAACAGACTTAAATCATCAACAGCAACTAATAAGAACATTCTACATCTGTGAATTGTGATTACGGGAAACAAAAAAATTAATTGTTATGTGTGATTAAGGGATTAAACATTGCCACATGTATTTATTGTTGAGACAAACCATTTGTTGTTACCTACTAATGTTGATTATTTCGAACCTCAAGAGGCAAATGTTTTGAAAAGAATTTCTGCCTCATTTGGGTTTCATCGTAAGGCCCAGACCAACCGACAATAACTTAAGCGGGCAAGCCCATTTTAATAAGTTTATCCTAACATCGCTGTTGGGGAAAAGATAATGTTAAACGTGTTGGACCTAAACGGTGTCGTACGCTTCCTTGCAGCTCTTCTGGATTTGGTACGACGATGTTCGGGAGTGTGATTGAATCTCATGACGCCCTTGTCGATTTGTCCTGTCTTGATGCTGTCCTTCATCGGTTTCCACAGCTCACACTAATAATTACCCGTACGAATTTAAATTCTACTGCGACTACTTCGGTAGATACTTTGAGATTCTGGAATCCTGAGTTACCTTGGGTTTTACCAACGGGATGAACTTGTGAAATTGGAGTGCATCAAATTTAAGGTAGAAATTTTTTTGTCACCTTTTGTTTTCTTTTGTTTTCTTTGATTTGATTCATGTGAAGTTTCTTTTACCATACGAGTTTACGTCTCCGTTTCAGTTGTTTAGCTAGCTTTTATATCTGCTCTTAGTCATGGGGTTTTTGTGGAAACGAGTCTAATTATGACTGTTCTACTTCCGCTGTGAAGGTGCGTGGAGAAATAATTGTTTGTCCTTGGTGCAATTAAATGAGACTGGGGAGTTTATGACGAATTTTTTATGAAGCGGGAAAGTGTTTTCTTATAGTCTACGGTTGTTATCGGGTTCATGGAGGATGTAATGATTGGGCCGAAAGGCGTAATCAAGAAGCGTGAATTTGTAAGGATTATCGTTCAGTGTCTGTCTTCTTTAGGATACGGGAAATCTGCTGAGTGTTTGGAATCGGAATCTGGTGTCTCGTACAGATCTCCAGATTTTGAGTCGCTGGAATCTCAGATTATCAATGCGAAATGGGACGATTGTATTGACAGTCTTAACAAAATTAAATTCTCAAGTGATGAAACAAGAGATTCGGCGTTATTCCTGGTGTTCAAGCAGTGCTTGTTGGAGTGTTTAAGTGATGGAAATGGTGCTGTAGCCTTGGAAATTTTAAGGAAGCAGGTCGCTGGGTTGCGGCTTGGTGAAGAGAAGGTCCACAATCTTGCTTTGAGTTTACTTTCTCTGACGGATTTGGGATCAAGTAAGATTGATGATGGAATTGTTCAAGAGTTACGGAAGAAGCTTCTCATTGAATTGGAAAATTTGCTTCCGCCACCAATAACTGTTTCAGAAAGAAGATTGGAGCACCTGGTTGAAAGGGCTGTCGTTGCCCAGATTGATAACTGCTTTTATCATACATCAGATTCCATATCATTGTATGAGGATCACAAGTGCAGCCGGGATAATTTTCCTACCAAGACCATTCAGGTGGACTCATTGCTGTATGTTTATTTTTGGACTTTCTCCTTATTTAACTTGTCAATTGTTTTAGTTGTATTTAACTTTATGTTTGCATCTCAATGAATTGTAGCTTTTGTGTTGATATTGATTTTAGTTTTATTTTCAGAGATAAAACCTTTTGAGCTTCTGTCGAAGAGGCATCAAGTACCTTGATCTAATATTTGATTTGGTTATATGATTTTTCAAATGATATTTTATCATTTCTTGACAATGACCTACAGGGTTATATAAGGGCAGTGCGTCCTATTATGCTTGAGGCCTTATTTTCTTCTAGACTGGTTTTGTGAACAAAAGAAAGAAAATAATGATTTGTATTATACTCTTTTATGGCTTTTCTAATTGCTGAATGTGCATTTTATTCACAATATATACCGCAGATCTTGACGGATCATAAGAATGAAGTTTGGTTTGTTCAGTTTTCCAATAGTGGGGAATACCTTGCCTCTTCATCACGCGACTGCACAGCAATCATATGGAAGGTAATCTTAGCATGAATAAGTTTCTAGATGTCCCTTGAGAAAACTATTTTTGAGTTCTAGACTTTGGTGGTGATGCTTGACTGGTTCTGGCCTTTTCTGCCATGTATTTTCTGGGACCAAATATGTCCTTTTGTTTGAATTTTAGTTGCTCTCTTTTGTTTGGTAAGTTGAATTAGCTTCTCTTTGTGTCGATAACTAATTCTTGTTTGTGAAATCCTCGTAAATGCATTTCAGAATGTCAAATGCCATATGCATATGTCTTTTCTAAAGTTTTAGTGGAACAATTTGATTTAGGTTCTAGATACTGGCAAAGTAACGCAAAGACATGTGCTAAAAAGCCACAAAAACCCTGTGTCATTCGTGGCATGGAGTCCTGACGATACAATGTTGCTAACCTGTGGAAACATGGAGTTGCTGAAACTCTGGGATGTCGAAACAGGTATATGCAAGCACACATATGGCAATGATGGTTTCATTGTCAGTTCATGTGCTTGGTTTCCTGATTCTAAGCGGCTCGTCTGTGGCAGTTCGGATCCTGAAAAGGGCATCTATATGTGGGATGTGGATGGTAACGAGATAAAAGCTTGGAAAGGGGTACGCATGCCGAAAGTTTCAGACATTGCTGTCACACCTGATGGAGAACATCTTATCAGCATATTCGCAGACAAAGAAATTCACATATTAGATTTGCAAACTAACACTGAGCGTGTTATCTCAGCCGACCATTCAATCACATCTCTTTCAGTTTCTGGAGATAGCAAGCTCTTTATTGTCAACCTTAATAGTCAACAGATTCATATGTGGGATGTTGCGGGCAAGTGGCCAAAACCACGTAAGTACAAGGGCCACAAGCAGCATATGTATGTGATTCGCTCTTGCTTTGGTGGATTGAATTGCTCGTTTGTTGCCAGTGGTAGCGAAGATTCAAAGGTACAACCTTTTTGGTATAGTCCTAAATTTAGAATATTAAACAATATTGAAGTTCTCTTTGCTTGCATGAACCCTTTCAATGCTAAAATTGGGACATTTTACTTAAATGTTGCAGGTCTTCATTTGGCACCGACAGAGTTACTCTCCAATCGAGATCCTTTCCGGTCACCTGATGACTGTGAATTGCGTGAGCTGGAATCCTAAGAGACCTCAAATGTTGGCTTCTGCAAGTGACGATCAGACTATCCGAATATGGGGCCCAAGTTGTTTATACTAGATTTAACCTTGAAACCCTGTAAGTAATATTTTGAAAAACAGGTACATTTTGAATGTGTACGCAACAGTTTAGTTCTTGAGTGATTCGTGGATATTCGAGGATGTAGAATTAGAACAAAATGAACTTGAAATGTCATGTGGATATATGAGATCGTAGTAACACGAAGTAGAACCCATGGATTCACTGTGTATGCAGGAGATCGATCAGTTGAAATTGGTGAATATCTTTTGTTACATTGAAAAGCACATTTGATATGGAAAATTCAAAATTGTTCTTTTTTTTTTCTCCCTTTTTTTACTTTGTATATGGTACCCTCGTGTGCTTTATTTTCACGTTTTCTTTGAGACTGGTCAAGGGCTTTGCTGATGGGGATCTACCTGGAGCCTGGCCAGTTAGAATAAAAAGGTTGTATAGTGAAAATTTCACAGAATAGCTTATTCTGAAAGGGTTGTGCTCTCTTACTTTCCAGGATGAACAGAGAAATGTAACCGCACACCATACAAAAATGAAAGTCATTTTCTAAGTTACAGCACCTAATTTGATAATGAAAAGGAGCCTTTAAGCAAAACCCTTCCTCAGAAGAACTAGAAATGATTCAAATGCAGTAGTACGCGGCAATTCAATTTCCCAGTTCAAACAACTGCGACCTTATTTGCTCATCCAGCTTAAAACCTGCCATCTCTGCTTCTAGCCAGACCTCCTTACACTTGGCTATCCTCCCGGATTCGATATACATTTGGATTATACACATGTATATATCAAAAGTTGGAGTGAAACCTGCCTCCTTGAGTTTTGAAAAGTAGCGTGCTCCCCTCTGGAGATCATTCAAACCCATAAAGAGTTTCATTACAACCCGATAAGCTGGAAGATCAAAAAGGCATTTTGCAGCCTCCATTTCCCATACAATAGCCAATGCCTCCCTGTATCTCTTCTCGGTATAACGACTATGAATCATGGTAGTGTACATGACTACACTTGGGACATGCCCGGACCTCTTAAACCAATCATAAAGTCCCTCTACAATTTCAAACTTTCCAAACCTTACACAAACTTTCATGATTGCGGTACAATCTTGGCGATTTAGATTGAGATCCTCTCTTCCTGCAAGTTCTTCAAGCAAGCTTGTAACTAGAAATTCTCTGTCTGGATTTTTCCCGAGCTTAAGAATCAACTTGGCATACACTTCTGAATCCACTAATCTATTACTTGCCCTAGCAGCAGAAAGGAGCTTCCAGGCAATCTTCAGACTTCCACCTTTGATAAAGCCCTTCACTATGGCCTCATAGACACTCTGACTCACCATGTTCAAAAACCTATGATCCTTGTGCAACATGAAAGGCATTTTCAACTCGTGCGATCTGGCCAACACCTCGACAGTTGAAGCAAGAATTCGATCATCTGGATACAAATGTGGCTGCTTTTGAGCCCAGCAGAAAACAAGTAAAGCTCTTTCTGGAAGTCCCATATGCCCCAGCTCGCGGATTGTCATAGACAAAGAACCTTTACGAAGAAACCGAGCCCATTTATCTAGAACTAAAGACACATTTTTCTCCTCCAGAGGGAGAGCTTTGATCTCCTTAGCTAAACCAACCAAAAAAGAAGGATTCTTGTACACTTGATTTGACAAAGATTGCCTTGCAGGGGCAACTAATTTTCTAGAAACCACTTTCTGAGTTGGGAAACCTATAGGGTTCTTCTTGTAAGGAAGTGGAAGCGGCAAAGGCCTTCTCCTCTCCAAACTTCCAGGCTTCTGAGGAACCCTCCCCTTGAAAAGTGATGAGATTGCTTCAATCTCATCCTGTTCCCATACAATTCCTCCATTCCCTTCATCATTTTCTTCTCCTTCTTCAAAGAGCTTGTCATCAACATTGTCCTCATCCTCATCAAAAGCCAGACTATCAAAACTGTCATCATCTCGTATGATGTCATCAGCAAAAGGGCTAGACACCAAGCTAAGACCATTCAGGCAGGAGTCAGGGGGAAGCTTGGTTCGTCGTGGATAACGCAGATTCTTGGGAGGTTTTCTATGATAAACTTTGGTGTCCTTACAACAGTGAAACTGTCCCTTCAAAACCAAGCTTCTCCCAGAGCTGCTAGTGTAACTGCTACAAAGGACAGGCATTGTGTAGAAAAACACATGAAACCCCTGTAACTAGCTGGGTCAGAATCTGGGCAAATTGGCAGTAAACCAAACCGAGCACCTTGATTCCACGCGGGTTCCCATTTTATCCTGATGATCTTCTCTGGAACATTTTGCCGAACACCTTACGTTCCCTTTTGGACGCCGGACTGTCAGAACTAACAACGCTTTAAAATTACTCGTGAATTTTAGATAATAGGAGCAAGGAGTTCAGGAAAAAATTATGCAATAACGACAAAGCCAATAAAGGGCCCAGACTAAGCCAGCCTCTTCCTCTAATTGTTGGTTTAGACTTTAGAGAAGTCAATGTTTAAATTTTTCAAATAGATTCTTGATTCGGGTCTAGTTTACAACTTTATACTCTGCAATGAAAACTGACAATGAGCGTGCTTGTGTGTGAACATGAAAATTTTAAGGTGAAGAATGAAATTTGTTGATTACACAACCACAATACTATCAAAAGTCGGTTAATAATTTCACAAAAATAAAAAATAATAATAATAGAAAACTTTTGTGACTTTGACGTTTATTTCGATAAATTAACCAATAATCAATAAAAGTTTCATTGTGCATTAGCAAAATCAGTGATTTGATTTTCGGGTAAAATTACTTTTTATGTCAAATTATGAAAGTCAAGGGCCAAGAAAAAAAATTGAGTATATTACATCAAATTCAGTTCGCAACAATAATCAAACCGGTAGTTTGAAGTTGGAGTAATTTACTACTCTCTCCGTTCTAAAATAAGTGCCGTTTTAGTAAAATGGAGAAATTTTAAAATAAGTGTCATTCTCACATTTCAATACAATTTTAATCCAAAGTTTCCAAAATTACTCTAAAAAATATTAATATTATTGGTTGACATTTTTTTAATGAGGTTGGTTGAGGATATTCAAGTAATTTTATTACTCTATTTAAGAGTTTCTTAAACTATGTGCAAAGTGTAGGATGACACTTATTTTGGAATAGAGGGAGTATTTATTTTTACATCTGCCTATATTTTCGTCACATTTTTAATACAAATGAGCAACAGGTTATACTGTATTAGTATTTGAAAAGTAAAAGTTTACATTTTATATAATTAATTCATAAAACTTGACAAATTGTACCATAAAAAATGAGTGATTAATTACTGTACTATTATATATAATTAAAACAATTGTGAAAATGATACAAACTAATGTATTTTAGTTTTTGTCGACTTCTTCGGCGGCTTTACTTAGAAGGCGAAAAGATCAACGCCAATAATTTTCTCAAGAAATAAATACTTATTGATTTTGACACTGATATCGACATTGATAAATGAACCATTATTTCAAAGCAACATATTTTCAATATGAATTATTATGAATTTTAATGATAACACTAATTTTTAGTTGAATTTTGGATTACGTCTAGGTTTTTAGTTGAATTCTGGAAAAAGCCGATCAAGTAGAAGATAGCGTGCATTATATTAAATTTAGGTTTGTAACGACTGTCAAATTGGTCCATAATGTCGACATAAAGAATCACCATATTACTTGTTTTTTTGGGGGGGGGGGGGGGGTATGTTGAGATTTTATTTTATTTTAATCAAAACACGTACGTGGTTATAAATATATTTTCTTATGAAACATAAACACCATCTATATATGTAAATAATATCAAAATAATTAACGTCACAAATGAAATTGATTTGTACCTTAACCATAATACCATCAAATAATTGCGAAAATGAAACAAAATAATAATAGATTTTGACTTTGATCGACTTTCTCGTTGCTAATAAGTTAGATAAATCAATCAATTTAAACAATGAATTTATTTATATGTTTTCATATTTTATTTGAGAAATAAAAATTGATTGATACAAAAAATAATAATTTGAGAAAGTTATGAATGTAATTCAAAATCCGGATCGGAAAAATACCTGGCACTAAAGGAAGCCTTAATCCTTGCCAAGGATCATAAGCTTGTGAACTTTTCAGTTACGGGAGATGCGGTTAACGTTGTCCTTGCAGCTACAGAAGATGTCCTTGATCAAAATCATCTTGACCCGGTATTGAAGGAGATTCATGACTTGATCAAACTGATAAAACCTCAAGGAATACACTGGATCAAACGTCCTGATAATGCTGCTGCACATGAGTTTGCATGTATCTTTTGCTAAGAGTAGTGATGTCGAATGTACTGTTTGGTCGCACATGTCTGCGGATACCCGAACCGAGAAAAGGAAACTTGAATATAGAGTCGACTTTGATGTCCAGATACCCAAACCGACGAAGATGTCGACGAATCAATGGTTATTGTTCCAAGTCCGCGGTTGTGTTTGCCGTAGAGAACCTATGTTCAAAGTTCAAGGTTTTTTCTTCCGTATGCAAGGTCTGTTCAAAGTTCAAACACAAACTTTCCCAGCTTGGTTATGTTTGGATTGTTTTTTTAGTGTGTGTTTTTAGGTTTTTTTTTTATTGAAAATGTAAAAAAGTGTATTAAAAATATAAAAAGGTATAATGAGATGAGATAGTTATTAATATTTAATTATGAAAAAACGTAGTTAAAAAAAAAACAAACAGCCTTAATTTTTTTTCGTCAACCTCGTTCCTAACTCAAATGGCTAGCCAGAGAATCTTGAAACTCTCATATTGTGATTTCATATAACTCCTTCTGTCCCAAAATTATTGTCTACTTTTATTTTTAGTATAATTTGAACTAAAAATGAAAACTCAAACTGGACAATAACTATGGAAGGGAAGAAGTACATAAATTAATCCATAAATAGGAGTACCGTTAAATAAACAACCTCTACTTTGGTCTAGACTATTTTTTATTATTATTATTTTTTTTGTCCAGCAAGAACAACTTGCAGCACGTGTTGAGGATGGCAACAATTTGTGGGTTTTTTTTAGATTATATAGGATTCACGTTGCTCTCATCACTTATTTACATCTAAAACAACGGCATCACTCTGCGAGTAGTAATTTAGAAGGGAATTCTTCCCTTGCCCATTACAGAATGCAGACATCAGGACAAACAGCTAGCTTCCCTGTAGAATGCCTTGAACAGGGTGAGTTTCAAGATGGATCTTTTGATCCAAATTAAGACTTAAATCAAGTAGTTTGATTAATGGAGAAATTTCACCACGAGTTTATGCATATCTGGTTGTACGTATCGTTCAAATTTATACTAAAAATAATACAAATCTTAAAATTCAATATACATATATATTTTATTTTTTGGACAAATGAGTTTAACTGTGTAAGTTTGGTTGAGAAGCAGAGGATCAGTAGAAACTTTAAAAGACCAAAGAAGGGGAAGAAAAAGAACAAAAAGAAATGGTTTTAAGTTTTAAAAACCAGAAACAGAAAGGGAGTGATTGTAGGCTGTGGTGAGTTGTTACATCGGTCAAAGGAGGATGGGTATATTCTGCTCTGCGTCAGGTTTGCGCCTTTAATTCCCTATCCCCAACCAAACTCCTGCCGAAAGTGTCATCATAATATCTCTATCTTTGTTCGTTTTCTTCTTCTTCTTCTTCTTTCGTTTTTTTTTTTTTTTGGTGATAATTTTGGAGAATATTTTGGACAATTATATATACATGGCTTTTTCAAGTAACGACAGATCACTCGTCATTCCCAATTTCCCATATTTTCTTTTAGTTTCAATTTTTTATTCCCTCATTACATTTATTTTTATTTTACTATGTAAATGAATGACGAAAACGTAGTGGATTGTCTGAACTATCTGCTACCTCACTATCTTATCCTTTCTTGCTTTTTATTTGGATCTTTTCATTTCAACATACAAGGAGTATAAAATAAAATATTACCTTCGTCCCAAAAAGAACAGTCCACATTGAGTTTTTAAATTTGTACTAAAAACAGTACAAAAAAATCAAAACTCAATGTGGATTATTTTTTTGGAGACAGAGAGAGTATAGAATATTGGAAGAAATGGAGAAAATAAAAATTACTAAATGCGATTATAGTATTTATTTTCTGTTAATGTTTTTGCTTTAACGCTTACATTGGAGTTCACTCAACCTGCAAGATATAAGAAGAGTAATTATTAAATTGTTTCTAAAATTATTTTCCTTTTCTAGTATACAATAAAGGAGATTAAAAATTAATTCTTTTTTTAGGAACTTAATATTAATCAAAACACAATCTTCCATTCTTCGTATGGAAAACAACATTTACTGTGTACTCCATTTGCAATTTTATCTCTATTCTTTTTTCTTTTTTTTTGGTTGCAATTTTATCTCTATTAGCGGACTCATTAGTCACTAAAAATTCTAGATAATCTGCTACTAGCAAAGTTTGATAACATTCCTTTCCTCGAGTCCCAAAATGTGGGGGAAACAAATTAACAAACACTCCATAGTTGGCCTTATATTTTTCCATTTTGATCGGGTTTGTTTGGCTGAGTGTGGGCATATGTTCGTTGCCTAATAAATCAATATCTTTTTTTTATTATTATTAATTCCACTTTGGGAAACGTAATAAATCATTTGCTTACAAAAAGCTCGTGCACTTTCACACTAGTATGATAAATATATGATGAGTTTGACCAGTCAAAGCCAACATTAAAAAGCCTCTTTGAACTTTGAAGATAAAGATGTCCCAAGTTTGAATGGGACGTGCATTGACTGTATGTTTTCCTTTCTTTGACCACCCAAAAAACAAAAGAAAGAAATCATTGCACTCACAATATATAAACCACAATTAAAACATTTTTTCAAAAAAACACAAAATAAAACAAAAATTCTGATCCATCCTAAGCCAGAGATAACAACGAATGAACTAGTAGTATTATAAATTGGTGATTTGATCAAACATCGTTAATCCTTACAAAGGTAGTACAAATGATCAGGAAGAACAATAATCCAGAAAAAAAAATTTTTGTGCTACAATTGCCAAACCGAATTTCCTTAAACTAAAGTGAGATGAACATTTGAAGATGAAACAGAGGAGAAGATTAAAGTTAACAGGATTATGAATCTATGATGAAATTTATGAGGTTGCGTCGAACTTGTAATGTTTATCGACAGCAATAGAGACATCCCAAGTGCAACTCAGTCCTTTCGGAATTACGACCAGATCGCCGGCGCCGAATTCAACCACTTCCGACGAGTTGTTGTCACTCGGATAAACTTTCACTTTCCCTCTCAATAGATAACACGTCTGCCGAGCATCGAACTTGAGTTGGTACTTTCCCGGCGAACAACCCCACCTGATTTTTTTTTTTTTTAATTTCCAATCACAATTCAAAACCCAGAAAAAAAAATGTTAGAAATAAGTTAAGAAAATCACCAATTCAGAGGCCACTCATTTTGAAGTACAAAAGGAAACAGAGGGAGTCAGAGAGAAAAAGAACAAAATAAAATTGGAAACTTACTTGGGCCAAGACTTGATGCCTAATTCGGACAGCTGAGATTCTGATGGATTCTTTTGTACGATAATTCTTAGATTTGACGAAGACTCCGAGGCAGACTCCGCAGCCATGGGAGAACTGTTCTTAGGAGTTAGGACTGAAGCAGAAGGAAAGGCGTGTCTTTGTGTGTGTGTGTGTGTGTGAATAAAAGGTTGGAGATTTTTTGTGTAGGTAGTTTAGGCCTACTCTACTTCTTTCCTCGTTTGTCTTGCCCCCTGTTCCTTGATTTATAGGATCGAGATTGTATTTATATGATGAGGATGATGATGATTATAATATTGTATCTGTATCAAACATAATAAATACGGTTCCAATCCAACCTCTTGCTTTGTTTGGATATTTGGGACACTTATGTTTGAAATTACTTCTCCACCCGTTCCAAAATTATTATTCAATTTGAGATTTACTTTTAATATAATTTAAATAAAAAATTAAACTGTATAATAATTTCAAGACGGAGAGAGTATATAACTAATTTTTAAGTGACTAGAACTCCAAAGTATCTTAATTGTAGTTATATTTTTTCTTGTCGTAATTATCAGATTCAAATTAATCCTTAATAATACTAGTTCAAATTTGTTGTCATATAATTTAGATTGGAGAGAATATACATATCACCAACAAGAGGTCCTTAATCTTATAGTTGGTGGTTAGACTTCCTCTCGTAGTAACTAAACTTTTTAGACATTATTATACTCACCTACCAGTATACCAAAAAAACCTGTGTACCAAATTTATGATTTGGATGTATGCTTGATTTTTCTGTGTAGAGGATATAAATTCTAATAATCAAACATTATACTCTCTCAACACTAAATATTTTTTACATCACTGACTTTGACAACATCCTACTAAAATATGTACATGTTAAACCAACATTGCTGATTAAAAACTGACCACAATGACAGTGATGCATTCATTTTGGGAAATCCTAAAACTTCAGAAAATTTTCTTAAATAATTAACTAATTTAGTCATATTGTGTTCAGAAAATGAAAAAAGAAAAATAAAAGAAAAAACTCAGTGTAACTTTCTTGTTCGATGAAACATAGATTAATACGTTCTTTCAAATGAAGTATAGATTAATATCTTTTATGCCCTCTTTGTCTCGTGAAAAACATGAGACGCAAAGCTACACCAATTAACATTATCATCCATCGTTCTATCCATCCACACGAAGCAACGATTCAAAGATCCTTTTATTCAACGTACACACGCCATAGCTTTGTTTTTTTCTTCTTCCTCTGTACACCACGTTTTTCAAATGTGACAAAGAACGGTGGTATTCATCTTACAAAGTTTCAACAATATGGTATAAGCTATAAAATACATAACGCAAATGGTAACTTTCTGCCCATGTCATTAACTCCGAAACTACACTTAATATGATATGGTAATCAAAGTGACTAGTATAAGCTGGCTCAAATGCAACCTCCCCGGCATAATGATCCAATGTATTGTTATTGTACTGTGTTCTTTGACATTTTTTTTCGGATGGACTTTTGTCTTGTACTTCCCCATTTCTTTATAATTATCAGAGTAAAATTTTTCTAAAGCATATAATTTATTTCAAAACTACGATCCGAGTGATGAAAATGCAACTTGTTGACGTTTGGTAAGTCGTACGTAACTGGCAAGGGGATATGAATTTGGGGTTGGGGGGTATTATATTCTGGTCAATGATTGACCAAAAACCTTTTATTTTAGCTGACATTTGAGAGACGTGGCAAGATGTGATTCGATGATCAAAGGAAATGACGGTTTGACCAAAGTAATAATGTAATGCGGCAGCACTGTCCTAGTTTGTGTTCTCAAGGTACCGTTATCTTCGACTGTGGATATACTCTAATTAATTCACTAATACCATAGTGAACAGATCATATAACGCATGAGCAAAAACGACTTCATAAAACTTGTTAAAAAGTGGGTATCACGAGACTCAAAATATTAAGGTCGCAACTCATAAGATAAGACTTCATCATATTCAACTGCATGCATATATGTTGTCCTGAAGCGTAGAACACCTTTTGGTCACTTAACTTGCCTGCAAAAATACAATGGAAGCTACGGCGCATGCAAGAAATAAAGCATCGGGCATATTCTCGGAATGTTGTTTGTTTGTTTCAGAAAATCTGGAACTTGTTATCAACAAAATTTGGTCCACCGTGATGATATTGAAGGTCAACGTACGCCAGGATATTAGGGACTCATCCTACGTTTTTTGTTCTGAGTTGATGGTCCATTTAACGTTGCATAATTTTCAAGGTGCCGGAACTTGGGAAATTAATTATCTCAGATCAAAGATGTGTTACCTCAGGAAGTCTCCTTTTTTTTTTTCTTTTTTCTTTATTATTCCACAATAATATATGTATTTTTTTTAATTTGTTTTTTATAAAGTTCGAACTGGAACCCCTAACCTTGTGGTTGTATATAATGCTAATCACTCCTCTGATCACCCCTTTTCCACTATATATATAATACAACCCTTCTTCCATTCTAAAAAAGAATTCATATTGTAACTTGTGGATCATGATAGTTGTTGCCATCTTTGGCTTAGGAACAGTGGGGCCTTGCTGTAAGATTCATCTATGTTCTTTAACGTCGTCTTCCGGTTCAAATCCATGATAACTGATAGTAATACAGTGGTAGTCACTGGATATCGACGTTTGAATGAGTTCTTATTGGTTGGTGTCGATGATGATGAAGAAGAAGAAGAAGAACACGGTGGAAAACACAGTAAGGAGATGATTACTATCCCGTGTCCAAGAGATGGTCCTGATTCCTGGAAGATTCCAGACGCTCTGAAACATAGACAAGAAGGTGTGGAAGGCCTCGTGCGCTATATATAAGACCGTGATATGGAATCCCGCCACAAGAAAGACCTTTGTTCTTCCTCCTCAGTACAGCCTACATCCTCCTAAAGCACCCTTACTCGTTCATGGTACCAACAGACCTATGTTTGAGAATTTTTACGACCTAGGATTTGATTCCCTTACTAAACAGTACAAGGTTTTAAGCATTTGTGCCACGGAAACAAAATTCCACTCGGAATCTCTAGGAAAGAAATTCGACTATCACGACCACAACCTCACTTTTCTTCCACGGATATTTCAGATTCAGGTGATCACTCTAGGAGGGTCGACGGAGGAAGGATGATTCATCATGGAGAGATATCACTCTCACGTGGTTTGAAAGAGAGGGTTTAAGGACATGGGTCTAATGTGGTTTCCGGTTCAACCCCATCTCTAACTTAAACAACGAGATTTACATTCTGATGGTATTCCCAAAAGATTTGGCGCTTATGATTTTCTCTGTTGGTAAGGAGAGATTCAGATTCGTGCCTGTCCCAAAAGGCATAATTACCCGCAGTGAAGCTTAGGGGTGGGTTATGATTGAGGTGAGAGGATCTGTTGGTTTGACCAAGATGGATGATTTTGGTTGTATTTCAATGTCGCCAGGCACCGAGATTTGGAGGTTGATCAACAACATTAGTAATGATGGTGAAACTTGGGAGAAAATCAGTTATCCAACTTGGCCGGAATCTTTATATCATCCCCACATTATCACTCCCTGATAATTTCTCCTTTGAACCTTTAGTGCGCTGTGCAATCAATAACACCGAGAATCTTGTTGAGTTTTTTACCCAAAAAATTATTTTAAAAAAATCCTGGACAAAAATAATATGGATGTAATTTAGGTGGACAACACTAGTTTTCTTAGATTTGCCAAATCCGAGAGTACCGCACAGTCGGATTTCGCAAATCCGAGACCACTGAAACTCGGATTAGTGTAATCCGAGACTTTAGTAACCTAAAATTACTTAAATTAAATCAAAGAATTAATTGAAACTAATCAAGAGTCGGATTTCGCAAATCCGAGAATCAGTAATAAAAAAATATTTATTTTTTGGAAAAATAACCTAAGTGTTCGAAAATAAAAATTGACTAGAAATAGATTAGCCTAATCCGAAACATGAAAATTTAGATTTCGGAAATCCGAAAGTTTGTAATAAAAAATTATTTTAAGTTTTGAAAAAAAAAAGTCTAAGTTTTAAAAATAAAAGGGAAGAGACTCGGATTTCCCCTCTGTACTTACTCTCGGATTTGAAAAATTCGAGTTGTTTAGAAAATGGCAACTTTCGGATTTAAGTTCACCCGGGTAGTGCCCATACCACACAAGGCACATTAAACTAAACCTTAAACCCTAAAATCTAACGTTTTGAACTAAATCGGATATTGAAAATCCAATTTTTAGTAAATTCGAAGTTTAAACTAAAATTGGATTTAGGAAATCCGTAACTAAACCCTAAACCATAAAAGTTAGATTTTAGAAATCCGAGTTTAAGCTAATCTCGGATTCTCGTAATCCAAGTTTAAGATAAACTCGGATTTGGAAAACTCGAAACTAAACCCTAAACTCTAAACCCTATGGCCTGATTTTGAAAATCTAATTTTTTGCTCAACTCAGATTCTAGAAATTCAATTATTTGCTTAAAAAAATGCATAACACTAGTACAAATGAATTATACTGCATTAATAATAATATCTAATAATTAACAAATTTAACAGTAATAAGTAATACTGGTACTAGTGATGTATAGTGGGTGTTAGTATTAATGTATTACATAATACAAGTACGTATAAATAGTATATAACACTAGTACACATGAATTATATTGAATTAATAATAATATCTAATAACTAACAGATATAACAATAATAAGTAACATTAATATCAGTGATGTATAGTGTGTAATAGTATTAAGCAAGAGCAAGAATTTATCCCAAAATGCATTAAAGGTGTAGTGGTAAAAGCCTTATGAGCTTTTTAATCAGAACAAATTGATCAGCGCCAAGAGATTTCAAGGGCTGCGCCAAGTTGATCAAAGAATGCTTTATCCACCATCTTGACACTCTGGTCTGCCTGGATAAAAAGTGCCCTTCTTCTTCAGGACACCATATTAAAATTGGTAGAACACATCCATCCTTAGCAGCAGCAGACATGGTAGGATTATCCACATAAAATCCTTAAATCCATTCTGAACCAAACAATGGTCTTATTCTTTGGCTCACCTTCCAATGATTCTTCAGATTCCTCATGTTGTAATACTTTCTGAACAATATTGCTATAGGAAATACTCCCTTAATCCAAACAATCCTAATCAAATTCCTAAACCCAAAGTCTTTCTTCAATTGGGATCACAGCTAAGAAATCACAGAGTTTAGTAGGCACTCAGAACCAATTGAGTTGACTTGATGACCTCCCAAATCCTGGAAGTCACTTAAAACTGCCCGACATATACTTTTACTGAGCTCAAAATCTGAACTATATAGATACGCTGGAAACGGCTCGACATAAATTCTTTCATTTCATGCAAATTTATCAAATAAAAGGGTCCCATTTTGGAGTATCAGAAGCAGTTTTTCATTTATTCTATGGAGATCAATAAGAACTTCATGAGGGTCACTGAGTGTGGATCGTGATCAAGTAATCAAAAGTCAAAACACTGTTTATTTTGTGTGGCAACGGAACATGAATTCTTCTGGTTAATGATTCACCTGTTTATATAAGATGACATGGTGGAGACGTCGCATGATGATTGGACAATTGAAAATGACCGTTTGACCAAAGTGTATGTAATGCAGCAGCACTGTCCTTTGTTTGTCTTTCTCCTCTGAAGTATGGTAGTCGTAAAATGGGGCAAGTCCCACGGGAACATTTTGGCCTCAAACAAGTTTCAACTTCTAGTTCGTCTTTTCATTCAAGAGCAATCCAAAAGAGTTTAGCCCCAAAAGATTACTCTTTCTTCTTTCTTGTGTCGAGTTCTGATAGCATCAGATCAGATTATAATAGTGATATGCTTAACGACAGGTAGAAAAATTATGATTTGGATGGTTAAGTAAATAAATTGGGGTTCTTCTTGTTTTTACCAAAATACTTGATCACGATCATAAACCTCGGAAAGGCAACGACTTAAAATCTTAAACCAAGCTTGTTTCTAATCTACCTATATTATAATTGCGAGATAATTTTGAAGTTCGGTAGTCCTTCACTTTAATTACCATGTCATCTAAATCAATTTTTATTATTATAAATATTTCATTCCCTTCACTTACCATTACTTTAATTACCACGCAATATTTGAATTTAATTTTATTATCAAAATCTCTTTATCTCCTTCGCTTATCTCTTGATCTTCTGACGATTAGGTTACTCGTCAAAATCTATATAATATTACGTACGCGCTCGTTCAAACCCTCTAGTACTCATAATGTTCACTCATCATATTGCAATTGTAGCAAAGAAATTGACTTTTTACTTCTCTCAAGTCTTAACAATAAATTTTCTTGGGCTTGCGTGATCCTAATTTCATTATATTATATTGCTATTTCTCAATAAAGGAGGCTTATAATTTGGGCCCAGTTGAAATCTTAAAGATGGACTTTTGTTTGATTTGTTTCCAATTAAATAATTTACCTCGTAACAAATCGTTATAAGCGCCCCTCAGTCACAATTGATTGCAAAATACTTCATCAACTATCCAAAAACCAACATTTTACCAGCACAATTTCGGTCCTCTTGTTATTCAAATCATAACAGTATCAAATCACAGTCTGATAAAACTAACTATCAAATACTCCCAATCATTTCATAGTTCAACATTACATCACACCTTTCATATTTTTAAAATTTTACCACTCAAACTTTCTTATAGTCTCTCTCTCTCTCTCTCTCTCTCTCTCTCTCTCTTTCCCTTTTGGCACTTACTAATTTTTTTATATATATACTTTTGTTAATCATCTAACAAATCATATTAATCTCATAAATTTATTCTGTCTCGATTAAAAATATTGGTCACATACTTAATAGACTAGAAGTAAGGTTATTATTATTGTTTGATAAAGAGATTAAGATAATTGAAACAATTCTTATTGTTTGTTAATTTTACACGAGAAGCCCAATTGTGTTGCATTGCAATAATTTAAAGTATGCACTGATAATTGTGGTCAGCATTTTGCAATATGTAAAAATAAGGGGAGGTAATTTGCAATATTAAGAAAACAACAATATTATGAAAACAACAATGTAAGTGGGACGTGGGATGAGTAGTCAAGTTCGTCGTCCAGCAGCAATTCAGTCGTCACTTTTCTTTTCTTTCGGCTGTGGTGGATATACTTCTGGGTTTCGATTTTTTCCCTCTTTAGAAAACTCGTGAAAATTTTCAGAAATGGCGACTCAAGGTCAAGTTATTACTTGCAAAGGTACATTCTTATTGTAATGTATTTGTATGGTTGTTTAGTAGATTTTGTTCTTAATTTGTTCGATTCCATCACTGATGTTGGATTTGGTTGGAATTGAATAGCGGCGGTGGCCTGGGAACCCAATAAGCCTTTGTCGATTGAAGACGTTCAGGTTGCTCCGCCTCAAGCCGGCGAAGTTCGAGTTAAAATCCTCTTTACTGCTCTCTGCCACACCGATGCTTACACCTGGAGTGGAAAGGTAAACACCTCACGGGGACTTAATTTATACTCGAATTATATTAATTTGAAATTATCAACGGGTTTGAGACTTGGGGATGTCATAATCCGCAGTTATTTCTCTAGCTTTTGCTAAGAATAAAGCATGAAATTTTGTACTTTTTTAGAATATTAGGATTTATTAAAAAAAGGGAAGATTTGGTGGCTGTAAGTTTGAGTTTGAGGTGTGAATTGGAAGTAGTTTTCTACTATTTGTAATGACTGTATAAGGATTGTCCAAATTGGTACTGACTATCCACTTTGAATTCCAACTTTTAGTGGTCCATTACTTTGCACATATGTGTTTCTGATATGATTTTTATTACTGAAAGTCTGCTACCTTACTTTCCGATTGAATGTTTTTTTTTTTTGAAGGATCCCGAGGGTCTCTTCCCATGTATCCTTGGTCACGAGGCTGCTGGGTATGTCTCCAATTTACTTGGTTTTCAACAACCTCCCTGTACAGTTTTCGTTTGGGTGAAATGATATGCTGGTGTGGATAAAGTAGATAAGTGTTTCTTTATCTTTAAATCATTTTCATTAAAATTGCAGAATAGTAGAAAGTGTTGGTGAAGGCGTGACTGAAGTCCAGCCAGGAGATCATGTCATTCCTTGTTACCAGGCTGAATGCAGGGAATGCAAGTTCTGCAAATCAGGAAAGACCAACCTCTGTGGCAAAGTTAGGACTGCTACAGGAGCTGGTGTGATGATGAATGATCGTCAGAGCCGCTTTTCTATCAATGGGAAACCCATCTACCATTTCATGGGAACCTCCACATTTAGCCAGTACACAGTTGTCCATGATGTTAGCGTTGCGAAGATTTTGCCAAATGCTCCTTTGGACAAAGTGTGCCTTTTGGGTTGTGGGGTTCCTACTGGTAATGATTCTTTGCGATTTGGCTTTTCTTACTTGTTACTGTTATTCATGTTTCTGCAATTGAAGCACTAGGTGGAAAAGGTTACTTTCTTACAGCTCACACCTCCATACCATTAGCGCCATTTGAGTATCGCAGGAAATATTTTGACTTTATTAGATTGAGCTGTAAACCTGGACTTGTGTACTAACCAATGGTTTTGAAAATTAGAATTTTCTATATTGATGTTAATTTAAAGAAACTTCTGATGTTTAGCTTTCTTATTTATGATCTTTAGTTGTAATGTTTTCTTATCATTTCACTAGTGCATTGATGAGTATCCAGAGTTAACTAGCCAGCATCAGTAGTAATTAATGTTCTAATCTCTTTTTGCAAAGACAAAACTGCTACATCATTTTTGCTTTCTTGTTTTCCCCATGGTCTTGCTTATCCCTTCCATGGGTTTTTTCTTTTTCTTTTTCTTTTTTCTTTTTTTTGGTTATTCTTATGTACTTTTGAAGTAGACTAGTTCGGCAGCTTAATTCTTATGCATGATTCAGGTCTTGGGGCAGTTTGGAACACGGCAAAGGTTGAACCTGGTTCTATTGTTGCTATCTTTGGCTTAGGAACAGTGGGGCTTGCTGTAAGTATCTCATAAGAAAGACTAATCATTTAATCTTGTGATTTCGTTATTCATGTGAATAATGTCATTTTTAATTGAAAGGTTGCTGAAGGTGCAAAAGCTGCTGGTGCTTCCCGAATTATTGGCATTGATATTGACAGCAATAAGTATGAGATAGGTACAAACTATATCTTCTCTGGTCTAAATTTTTGTGATGTGTTGTATAATTATCTTTTGCTTCCCTTTTTATGGAAGTCATGATTAAGCTTAGCTTGTCAGCTCGAGTTGGAGTTATTCTGATAGCCATTTTATGTGATATAGAACCATTGACAACCTTGAGGTGTTTTGAAATTGTTAGCCCTGAATTTTATCTTTGGCACTTTGAAAATTTACTAGGATGAACAGTTTTGTTCAGCTGATATACCGGGCAATGATCCTCATTTTTTTTTTCCTTTGCAAAACTATACGCAGCCAAGAATTTTGGAGTGACAGAATTTATCAATCCCAAAGATCACGAGAAACCTATCCAACAAGTTATTGTGGATCAAACTGACGGAGGTGTGGACTATAGTTTCGAATGCATTGGAAATGTCTCTGTCATGAGAGCTGCCTTGGAGTGTTGCCACAAGGTAAAACTTGGATGGAGTCGGTGTCTCAATTTATGTCATGCATACCAAGGTCATGCACATTAGATCCTTAATTTTGATTGTATATATTCCAGGGGTGGGGAACATCTGTTATTGTGGGAGTAGCAGCATCTGGCCAGGAGATATCTACCCGTCCGTTCCAGCTGGTTACTGGTCGTGTTTGGAAGGGAACGGCTTTTGGTGGATTCAAGAGTCGTTCGCAAGTACCTTGGCTTGTAGAGAAGTACATGAACAAGGTTTGTATGAAAAATTATTGGGTGCAGCTGTTGTATCCTGGTTTTTAGTGCAGCAAGTATTTGCACTCCCTATTTTGGTGCTATAACTCCCGTAGAAATTATCTCTTTCCCCCTAAAATTACTACTTTACCCTATTTATTGTGTCTGGCTGCACAATCTTACGTGGTACAGCAGCTGCACTGAATAATTTCTCTCGGTTTGTATGATGCACCCAACTGTTTTGGAATTATTTTTGGAGTACCCTTTCATTCTTCAGCCATTGACACACGTTTGAATGCATATTGCAGGAAATCAAAGTTGATGAGTACATCACCCACAATTTGACTCTTAAGGACATCAATAGAGCTTTTGATCTGATGCATGAAGGTGGTTGCTTGCGCGTTGTGCTCAACTTGCATGATTGAGTGCAGCTTCTGTGTTAAACTCGGGCGACTTTCTTTTTGATTTGCTCCCACCCCCTGGCACATTTTAAAATCGAACTTGCTAGTTGCCACTCTTTAAGATTTTCCAGGTTTCTCAGTTCGTTTGAGAAGTCGAATTTGAAACGTCTGTTATGAAGTTGTTATTCTAGTGATATAAAAAAAATAAAGATTCTGAAACTTTTATTGCTTGAACTTTTCACAAAACTACTAGTTCTACTGCATATGGAATTGATGCGCTACAAAAGGAAAAGCCTAACTAAGCTATATATCTCTATCTCGTTCTAATCAGGCCCTTTCATTAGTTGGACTAGTAATAGGCAGTTTCATCTTTGTTTCCAGTTCCAGGTTCTTGTCGCTGTCGCTGTAAGCAAATCCTCCATGGCTGGTAAGATCCATTCCCGCCGTCTCCTCGTCCACCGATATCCTCAGAAGTCCAAACTTGTGTAGCAACCAAAACAATGTCCCCATGGTCACCGTCACCCAGCCAACGATCACCACAATCTGCACAAGATGAGCCGCCAATAACTTCGCCCCGCCGCCCATCAGCAGCCCGTAAGGCCGCTCCGGTAGACCGGGATAAACCTCGTTCACATACTTTTTCGTAGCAAACAGTCCTGTAAAGATGATCCCCCAGGCACCACAACCAGCATGAAGCTGCGCAGCTTCGAGCGGATCATCATACCCAACTTTATCAGCCAATTTGTTGAACCCGATCAGGACCCAAGCAGCAACAAACCCGCAAATCACCGCGGCCCACGGATCAACCACGGAGCACCCACCCGTGATGGCAGCGAAACCACCGAGCAAACCATTACAAACATCAGTGACATTCCAATGGCCTACAATCATCCTTTTCCCGAACAGAGTCGTCAGTGCCGCCGTGCATCCGGCTAAAGTAGTCGTGACGGCAGTCCTTCCGATCGCGCTCCATTGCCCGTAGAAAGATCCACCATTGCCATAGGCCTTGGAAATAATAAGGAAAGAACCCGGATTGAAACCGTACCATCCGAACCATAACAAGAATGTGCCCAAAACAACTAGAGTTCCGCTGTGTCCTCTCAGGGTAATGGCCTTGCCAGAATGGTCAAATCGACCAACCCGGGGCCCCTCAATCAGGGCACCCAACAACCCGGCAATTCCTCCGACCATGTGAACCACTCCGGACCCGGCGAAATCGATCACACCGGATCCGAACAGGGGATTCGCCCCGACCGCGCTGGCCCAACCATCACCGGACCAAAACCAGTGAGACACAACCGGGTAAACGAATCCCGTCAAGAAGGAAGAATAAATCAAGTAGGCAACGAATTGGGTTCTTTCCGCAATCGACCCGCTCGTGATCCCGGCGGCGGCGATTGCGAAACACCATTGATAAAGGAAGTAACTGTAATCAAACGACTCAGAAGGGAAGTTTGTGAGGCCAAAATTATGGGAGCCGATAAACCCGTTTGAAGGGGTCCCAAAGGCGAATGCAAAGCCGAAGAGATAATAAAACAGGCCGCCGGCAGCCGCGTCGAGGACATTGGTCAGCATAATGTTCATGGTGTTCTTGGCCCGAACCGAGCCCGCACAGAGCATGGCGAAGCCCAATTGCATGGCAAACACAAGGTATGCTGAGAATAACAGATACGTGGTGTCAACTGCATGGCCAGTGTCGGTGAATCGGTTTGAGACATCGTCGAAATTACCGCAAATGTACTCGGCTGCGGCGGTGGCGTTAGCGGCTCCGCCGAGTAATTTGCTCAGGTCAGCCGCTGAACAGACGCCGGAAGCCATGATTGACGATGGATGGTTTTTTGTTTGGTGTTCTGTAAATGTTTGATATTCTGTTGTTATTTATATATATATGTAAGAAGGATGGAAGTGGTTGAATCTGGGAGAGATTCTTTCTCCGGGGGGGGGGGGGGGGTTTGAATTGGAATTAGATTAAAAGAAGGGATCGCAACTGACTGTTGGAGATTCAGTAGTAGTTAGTTCAGGGCAGTTTGAGATTCCAACTATAAAAGCTGGAAATTACTGTTTTACTCTTTTAGTGAGACTTACTAGTTTGTATTCTTGACGTTGTCTTTCGATTCAAATCCATGATAATTGATAACAACTACCTGATTCCTACTCCTGATCCTTTTATGAAAGAGATAATTATAGGCGTCAATTACTGTCGTTCTTTGAATTATTAGAGTTTGAATTTTAAGTTTTTTTTAAAAAAAATTTATATATATATATATGTGTGTGTGTGTGTGTGTGTGGAGATACAGTCTCTTGAAAAAATTCCAATGTATCCTGTTGTCCCCCTCACAATCAGGAAAGTCAAAACTAGCGTTTGGTGATCTAGCAGATTGCAGAATCCATCCCCTCATTTTCAGGTTATAAAAGACATCACACATATTATTCTTTGAAAGCACTTGGTATAATGTGTTAAAAAATAAAAAAAAAAAAAGAAAAAAAGAAAAGAGACTTGTTTCTTGCGTTAAAGAATCATGTTTATTGGGGGATGGGAGGGAGTATCATCATTTACTCAAAAAAAAAAAAAAAACTAAATAGGAGGACAACATATCTTCTCATTTTCAATCTATTTATAGTATATATCCCTTTTACCCTATTAAAACAGAATACAAGATGTTGATGTGGCAACTTCTTATTAAAAATTTTTGGCTTCAAATGCACCATATTGCATTAACCATTCTGCCACGTGTCATCCCTTTTTAAAAGAAAAAAAAATTTTTATCAGAAAAAACAAAAGCTACTTTACAAAAATAGCTACACAATTTTAACTCCTAACATTTATCATTTATCAATCAAATTAAAATAATATTTAAATTTGTCCATAAACTTATCCCCTTTATTACTCCATATTCTTTTGTATGATTTCTGAATCGTTGTACTTTTCAATATTTTTTCTCCTTTGGCAGATGATTTTTTTATTTTTATAATTATTTTTTGCTAAAAGGGGAAAAAAAACCAAATGTGTAGCTATTTTATTTTTTCCAAATCAAGAATTTATTTATCTATTAACATAAAATTAAAGTAGAGGGGCGCACGGGCATCTGACTGAGCCAAGCATCTAGTATTATATTAAGAGAGAAATCAGAGAGAGAAACAAAAAAAGATTTCTAAGGGTGCCACATTGGATAAAATCCTATTTGGCATTTTTATAAAAATTATCAAAAAAAAATTTATGCATTTACATTACAAGTCCTAAGGAATTTATGGAAGTAAATTTTTTCACACCTATAATTTTATATTAATGGACGGCTAAATAGGATATAAAATAGGAAATAATTAACATTGATTAATTTGATTCGGAAGGAGAACTATTCATGGAGATTTATTCCTGTTCTTGTCTCATAATAAATTTTAAAATTTGAAATAATTTATTATCATTATGAGCATTAAATGTGTTAATGTTTTACATAATTTTTATTTTGATTATGACAACCTACTATTTTTGGTATATAAAAACTTGTGCAATTAGCATTTCTATCTTCAAATTTAAACATCATTTAATAACGTAATTAAAGTCATTTATCCGGATATAGAAAATAATAAACAAAATTAATGACAAAATTCGAATTTGAATTTTAAAGTGAAAAAGTGTGTATCATACTCAATTAATGGATTTCGTATCTATTATAATTAATTTCCAATTCAATTATACCAAAAACCTTGGGAATGATAAACTTTCAGAGTTATACAGTAGAACTTTTATAAATTAATAGTGTTGGGACCATCAAAATTTATTAATTTAGTGAATTTTTAAATAATTAATAAATTAATAAATTATTACTTTAAAGAATTTATATGAGAAAAAAGAACCCTCACTAAATTATTTAATTTGCAATTACCTTTACCTACAAATCAATCAAGTATTTATATTTTTCTGAATATTAAAAATTCATACATAATTTAAATCATCTTTAGGAACTAAAATACAAATATCAATAGTTCAGATTTTGCTAAATATTTATAGTTATTATAATTTTTTCTTATATTTATGATATTTATTAATTTATCGTACTGTTGGGAGCTATAGAAATATATGAAATTTTCTGAAACATTATTATCTTATCATTTTTCAATTTTTGTCACTTTTTGTACTGGTCCCAAGTTATGACCGGATAAAATTATTAATTGCTATAAGTTATTAATTTTACCGACGTTCGACTGTATGACATCGTCAAGATAAAATTTTAATCTCTCTCTCTCACTCTCTCTCTCTCTCTTAATTACTTTTGCCCTCCATGTTAACTTGTGATAATGGTGGAATTTCAGGGCATGGCAGCTGCATTTGAAGAGGCAAAAAAAAAGGTAAAACTTATCATGAACTTTAAAAAAAGGACAAATCTTTTCGAAAAGGCTGTTAATATAGTACTATATAAACTCTTTTTTTTAAACATGTTTTGCAGGTCACGGCACTGAATTTCTCTAATTATAATAAGGGTAGCTGTCAACTTTGATGCATAGTAATTTAGTTATCCCTAATCCCCTTTTGCTTTTTTGTTTTTGAATGTTATTACTTTGTCCAGTATCAATCAAGAAGCATGTAATATACGCCTTATATTTTTTTAGAACGTTAATTTCGCCATATTTAATTATTTTTCATGTATCACATTTTACTTTGTCCAAAATTTTAATAATTAATATTTCACAAAATTTATACACATAAAACAAACATTTTTATATTTCATAAAAAAATTCATAAAAGTATTGTAACATACCCGCACATCGTGAGGGTTTAACATCTAGTAGCCCAAGTAATTCTATTGGGAGCAAACAATTAGTTACAACTTACAAGTTCTGAATTAAGTGAAACTAATTCAAATACTAACTCTAATAATAGTGTTTCATCAGGCAATCTCTGGGGGAGCCCAGTTCCCAGATTTGAACTTCTTGTAGAAGCTGGACTTCTTTGAAACAACAAAAAACACTGCCAAGGACAACAAAACCAAAAAAAAAAAAAAAAAACAGGTTATTAATTAGAAGTTGTATAAATGGAGGTTTATATTTTAGCCAATAGTACAAAGAGAGCTTTATCATACCAGGAATGCCAGAGACAATAAAATTTGGCTCTTTCAGAACATCATACAGACGTCTCCTTTCATCCACTTTGATCCACCTTGAACTGCCACCTGAAAAAACATTAATCATCATTAGTCTAACGTACAACAGCATTCTTGGGAAGAGATATAGACCTATGATTTCAACTATATGTATGCGTGCAAAGAAGAAAAAGAATGAACAGGAGAAATATTAAGTCAGCAAAAATATGCTGTCTGAGTAATTAGCACCAGTCAGCACTTACTAGAGTATAGAGATTAGTTCCTAGCACAAGTTTGGATGTAAAAGAAAGGCCTGAAACTGATTCATAGCAAAGGAATGCGGAGATGGTTGGTAATTAAATAGCACATAACAGAGAGGAGTTATTTCCACAGCCCTATAATTTTCCCAGAACTTCATTAAAAAGTTTTGTTGTGGTTTGGTTCAGCATGTTACTAAGTTATCACTGAAGTAGAGGACACATAAATATATGAGCACATTGTCCTGAAATACGCAAGTTCATATCTTAATGGAAAAGTATACAAAAGGGTATCAATACTACATTTTTCTAGTTTAATTAAGGAATGGAGGAGAAACACACCACCTGCAGTAGTACTGTTTGTCGATTTATCATCAAATCCCTCAATCTTTTCAAGATTTGCGGCAGCTGTTCCATCAGAGAGATAGCGAAAAATTTCTCCCTTCGATAAACAAATTTCATGGCTAGCCTGCTATATAAAACTGCAGGAGTTACAGATATAATAGGCAAATGATAGAGAACAGTACACACTAAGTCTTCCAAACATTCATGCACTTGTCCTGAGAACTTGCACAAAAGATTATAACACAGATCAAGTCAGGTTCAAGACTTTGAAAGTAACTTAGCTAGATGAACAAAATATCCTCTGCCAAGATGAGAAATTAGCTTAGCTATTACTCCAAACTTTGAATATAACTTGACATACAACATAAAATGAAAATAATAAGACATCTATGGAAGTAAGCACATTGTCAAGAAGAAAAACAACATGATAAAAATACACAAGCAACTTGAATTTTTTTATTTTTTTTTTCCCTTTCATTCACTTGGCGAAGAGCTACACTGTAGATCAGTTTGTCTACTTACAACAGCTGTTTGATGCTCAAATGTTCCAAATAAAGCTTCAATAGGGGCATGTAAACCGTTTTCGCATCATTTAACAATAAACAGTATACCTCATAGTATATCTCAACCGCATCACGTGTATAAACATGGTCGTCATCCCAAGGCAAAGGTGAACTTTCTGAAAAGATGTTTGGAAGCTAAGGATCACAAAGGAAGTACACAAATCCATAAATAAGGCTACAAGATGAATCATATTAAGTATGCAAAAGTTCTGTCCAGAAATCAAAATGGAAAGGATATTGTATTTAGGTGTTCCGAGAACATATCAATCTCACAGAAGTCCTCAATGAGGTCACTGGACATAACTTCTGCATAAAGGAGAAGGACAGGCCAGTGAAGGATATTGTTGCGGTCCAAAACTGGCTTTTTCTTTCCAGTGAGCTCTTGATACAGAGCCTTCCCCATCTTTATGTTTCTTTCTTCAAAGGCAGTGATAAGATCCTTCATATTTTACAAATCAAAAGTTTAAAGACCAGTCAAATTACTGAATACGATTGTTTGGAATATTAGAGCACAGTATTTCTTCAAACCTTGATGCCAGCCACAGCCTTGGCAACTTCAGCTTCACGGCGTTCATGCTCGGACTTTTTCAGATCAATTTGACTAGCTAACTTCTTCAACTCGGCATTCTCAGGAGACTGTTCAAGCCCTTTGTCACAATATGAGCTTGCTTCAGTCAACAAATTCAAAGACAGAGATGCTTTGACTGCCCGATAAAATGCCTGAAGTACTACATAAACATTCATTAATAAGTCCATAAACCGCGATAAACCGTCCAGAAAATGAACATGATTTACAAAGGAACAACCTTCACATTAGTTGGACACAGTTTAATTGCCTCCTCAGCATCCTGGAGTGCACGTCTATTATTTCCCAGGAGCAAATTGACATGGGCTCTATTAGAATAGAGAATCGACTGATCTGCATCGCTTAAAATCTTCTGGTTTATAGCCCTGGTGTAACAATCAACAGCATCCGAATAGTGCTTTTTCCCCTTCTTCACATACTCATTACCTTGTTCCTGTACACCAAAATTCCCATCTTGAAGCTAACTTTTTGCAATGCAGGACGCATAAAAATCATAACTTTATCAAACTTCTTCCGACTTCAACTAATCGTATTGACATAAATGCAAGCAAATCCAAACTTGAACAACATATGAGTCAGAGGCTCAGAATGGCCACTATCTTTCAAGCTTTCTCTTCCTCAAAAAGTAAGGGGGGGAAAAACAACAAGTGAAAAGATGGCAGGAAACAAGCAATTCGAACCCGAAAAGAAAAACCCGAATTGACAAGGCTGATAGAAAGTAAGCAAGAAGAAGGGGAAATCAAAAAGAGCTGACCTTGAGTTCTATTGCAGCAGATTCTTTGAGGGCGTTTATGCCTTCAATGTCTATTAATTCGCTCTCAGTCTTTGGTTCAGAGCCCGGCTCCATCCATAGCGCCATTCTTTTCTGCTTCTAAATACAGAGATTACACTATTGATGATGAGTACTATTCTGCCGCCGATGGAAGTTATTACCAGAATGTTCACTGCCCAGAAAAATTTGGTAACGTTTGAATAAAAACACCATTTATAAGAGAGCGTCAAAGGTTGAACTGTGTTGTAAAATGAAATTTCTTGGACTGGGCCGATCTCTTAATTAGTTCCAGCCCATTATTTACGGATCGCGTCTCTCTCTATTTGAGTCTTAAACGCTGGCTATGGTCCATGAGGTTAATTGGTAAGAAAGCTTTCCTTCAAGGAACAGTTTTGCGTAAGGTGACCGGTTTAGTTCTAATCAACTCCCGGTCTAGTCTGTTTAACCAAAAAACAGCAACTTATTAGGACGGATGTATTAAATGTTTGCAATGGAGTTTTCTATGGGCAGTGTTGATTCACCAAAAACCAAATGCAAGATATGTCATTTTCCAAGAGAAAAGGGCATGATTTCTTGGTAAAAAGAAGGGAAAATGCGTAGTGCTTCGCTGATGAGGATCAAATACCATTCATTTGGCCAACATAGACAAAAGAAAAAAATTGAACCTTTCCATAGCCAAAAGCAGAGTGCAAAAGCTGTGCAGTCGCACATCTGCCAAACACAGTACACGACCAATATATTTACCGAATGCGTCAAGCAGTACACAAGACTTATGAATTTACTGAAGCTTCAAGCATCCTACTTTTCGAGTACACAGTGGGAATTCACAGGCTTAAGCATCCTAATCTGAGAAATCCATGCCTTCCAAATGGCGTACAGCATTTCCCAGTATTCAGTGCTGCCTCTGTCCCCTGAACAAGACAAATAAGACACCTGATCTTCGTCTCTGAAGAAAGAGTCGAGCTAAACGTGAAATTTTCACCGTCTGGCTAAACGTTACATTTTAATTTCACCGTCAGCCAGACAGTGAAGATTGTCACTTGGGTGTTTGGGTTAGCACCCTCTTTACTCCACCAGATTCTTTCCCTGTGTGTATCGACAAAGATTTAGCAATCCAAAAGAAGAACAAAAGCAAATAGTACACATAGATTCAATCCAACAAAGATTTCAAATAAGTTTAGATAGATGGTAATGAATATACAAAATCTTTACAGGTGATACTAGCCCCTCCGTAAGTCACATATTAAGCAGAATCCACCCAGCTAATATCTTTCATTTTTTCTTCTTTTCATACTTCATTCATCATGGGCGAATCCACCCACCTAACATTTCTACCTAATACCATACAGAAAAGATCTATCGATCTCTGAACAGCAAGTAGGGTTGTAGAAAGATAACAGATGAATCCATCAGTACTACAATCACAAAATGCTAAAAATCAAAGAGGCCACCATCTACAACAGTAGCTTCAGGGCAGAATAAAGGATTTTCCACAGCATCTAAACCAGACTCATTTTCAAAAATCCAAGGGTCAAACTGAAGATCCAATGGATAAAAATCAGGGCACCCAGGTAACTCGGAATTACCATCTAATGGCACATATGGCTCATCACTCTGAACTGCATTCTGAAGCTGGTTGACAGCTGGTGGTTGTTTCTTGGAACTTCTCTGAAAATCCAAGCCATAGTCTACATCTGCTGAGTTTGCATGCATGACATTCTGAGCGTTATTAGTTTGTGAAATTAAAATCTCCCCAGAAACATCCTGACTGCAACCTTCCGCCTGATGTACATCTGTAGAGCTTGATTGCATGGCACTTTGACTATGAATGCCTTGCACCAACAAATGTTCCCCAGCATTTAATGGAGAGGTAGCCGAACTGCAAACTTGGGATTGATAAGCCAATGAATTCTCAAAAGCATCCCCAGCAATTGGCTGAGATGGAAAAGATCTGCTGTAAATGTCGGCCATGTTGCTTGGGAATGTGGTACTCCGGGAGAGAAAAGGCCCAGAAGTTTGAGAGACTTTTGCTCTTTCCAGGGAGGGAGTTTGTTGAGATTGAAAAATAAAAGGATTATCAAAGGTATGCCCCCAATTCGGTCCATTGCCCACAGTGGCCTGTGCAATTGGGCTAATAAAGTTGCTGCCGACATTCATTTGAGGAGACACTTGATGCAGAAGACCATCGGCATTTTTATTTCCGCTGCCCCCATGTGATTGAGGTAAAATCTGAGGCTGAATAGGGGTATAATTTGCAGATCCTACATTTGTCTGAGCAGATATATTGGGCATTAAATTAGTAGCAATACCACCAACATTAGCTCTAGAGGAATCTTTGTAAGCATTATGAACAGGAGTCACTCCAGCACGAGGATCTACCGACCTTGGCCCAAGCATCCCGGGGTGAGGATTACGTCTAGTGTAAGTATATCTAACTGAATTACTACGGTACTGATTTGCAGTTGGCACCCCTGAAGTCATTGTGCTGCTTCTGAAAGGTGTCCGTGAAATGACTTGAGAGCCTGCATTGACACCAATGTGTCTCCTATCACCACGATTAAGATTCTTGCGTGCATACTGTAACGGATAGGAGACCACTTGGGGATGAAATTTGTCTCTGGGATAATATTCAAATTGTGGAGCTATAGGGGATACTGTGCTTTTTGGGGTAGTATATCTTTGTACAAGTTCAGGTCGCAGTGATAAAGAGATCTGGCTTGGTGGAGACTGGCCAGCAGAGGTAGAAATTTCTGGTGCCCTGGAAACCACAGGTAAAGTACCATTACTTTTCTTCACACTTCTCCTCAGGTTTTTCCAAAAATCATCTTTATCATTAGCATGACAATGATCAATAGCAGTTATGCCACAGCTCCAGTGTAGGCATGGAGCGAGTGAGTCACAAACATAGCAATGGCACTGAAGTAAAAACAAATGGTAGAATCAAAAAGCAGCCTGTGTTGTGAAAAACAACGGTAAGTGGCTAAATAAAGCGTGAAAAAAATTTAACTGCAATCGCTACCTGGTCACAATGGCTCTCATGTGCTGTAGAATTGAACGGAAATTTAACACAGAGATGACGGGCATGAGGGTAATCTCTGCATGCGACCTGCAAAGTGAAACAAACATCAAACAGGAAGAAAAGCAAAGGTAAAGGGGGTAGTGTAGCTTGATATAAAAGCGTAAAGAAATAAAACGAAAACACGATCGGGCCCAAGTACTTCCATGTGTTTTTACATAAAACTCACTGATCAAACAGCTTGCAATTGATATCTTATACAAATCAAATATAGCAATCACGACTCAGACACCTGAAAGATTTAACAGTCATGCTTAATGTGACTTTATAAGTTTGACATTTTGGAGTACCATGAAATAAATGAAAGCAGACAGCATAAAAGCCGCATTATAGTACTAAGTGGTCTAGAGGTTCCTCCAATTTATGATGAAACTAAGCTGCGCTAATTCCAAACAAAACTGATCTCTTAATCAGGCTCTGAAAGGAGTAGAAATTTCCAGCATAGGATACAAAAGGAAAAGAAAGAAAGAAAAAAAAAACACATTCCTGCTGATACTTTCAATTCCTCATCAAAACAGTTGCCTGATTCTTCAGGCTGAAACGTGGAAAGAGATGAAATCAACATCTCAGCTGAAACCCTTACAGTGTCGACATTCATCGCGAATGCAGTAAAACCAAAACAAGACTTTCGCCCACCAATTACTCATTAGGATGAAAAAGTATTAGCAGGAGGGGAAGAAAAATTAAAAGATGACAACTTGAAGGAGGAGGAAGAACAAATTACCGGACCCTTTTCGCTAACAACGAGTAAATCATCGGAATCTTCTTCTTCTTCTCCTCCCCCTTTGTCTTTCTGAATTGAGAGAGGCTTGTCCGGGTCCCCATCTAATACGACACAATCATCATCATCACCATCGTCTTCTTTATCATCAAGAACCTTGTTCCCACATTTGACTAAAGTCTTGGAAACCCTCAATTTAGGCTTGACAATAACCTCACCCACCACCACCACATCATCGGAATCATCATCATCTTTGCCTTTATCAACCTCACCTAAGAGCTCCGATATCCAATCGCCGTCGTCCCGACAACCAACAATTCCGCCGTCACCGCCGGAAGCAGTCACCCCGCCGCCGCCCCAACCCGCATCATCATCGGAGCTAATATCCAGCACAACCGTCTTGTCCTCCTCAGCCATCCCAATTTCATCAATAACTCCCTCCCCAGCCTCTCTACCCTTTATCTCTATCTCTTCAAGAACACACCCCAGTTTGTATAAGATTTCAGGTGAATTATGGGAAAAAAGAAGGACAAAAGCAGCGAAATTTGAAAAGGTTTCGAGTCGTACTTTTCCAGGTAGGGTTTACAAGAGGGGAAAAGGGAAAAACCATAGAGAACAGAGTGACAGTGGGGGATGAATAGCAAACCCAAATGTAACGGTGCAAACCTGAAAGGGACAAGAGAGAAGACTGAAAAATTGGGAAAAGGGAAAACTAAGGTCTAATTTACACCCGTTACTAAGGTCTAAAAGGCCGAGCTTAATCGAGGTTCCCCATAAAATTTAGTCGGCTCGAATTCGGATTAATCGAAACAATTAATACGAAATAAAAACGTATAAAAAAAACTAAAAGGAAAAACAAATAAAAGGCCGGACTCGAGTCCGGTCTGAGTTTGCGTCACCGAGTGACAGGCATTGAGTCATGACTCGTGTATGACGTATTCTCCCCTCGTGGGCGGATTATACATGTGTACGCAAAATTAAAAAATACTACTTCATTTCTTATTATAAGAGATCTTGGACATGGTTTTTCTATTATATTTTATTTTTTCAAAACAACATTAAAATTTTTTTTCTCATTTTATCCCTTCAGTAGTAAATTGATAAAAAAAAATTTAATGCCATTACATCTCCTGTAAATATTAAAGAACGGCAATAATTAGTCAACACCTACTATTGACTTGGTTGGAAAAGAGAAAAAATGTTTGATCTTCTTCTTTGTTCTGGAAAAGAGAATATGACATTAGTAATTAAGGGTATGTTTGGATTGTTTTTTTAATGTGTTTTTATGTATTTTTTGTATTAGAAATGTAAAAAGATGCATTGAAAATGTAAATAATAATAATAATAATAATAATAATAATAATAATAAAATATGAAAAATCATCAAAAAAACCAATCAAACCGAGCCTAAGAGTGAGGGTAATTTGGAAATTTCACATGAAATTTATAACAAAAGCCTCTTGTGATGTTAGTTAAAAGCCTCTTGTAACGAGGGTAACGGAGGTAAGGGAAGACTTAAGAGTTGATTATGTTGCAAGACTTTGTAAGTTGCTTGGATGACGCGGTCACTTCGCAGGGTGATTTACGTGGGCCATTTGGATTCTTGACCACGGAGTTGCCGGTTGTCGGTTGCCGCTGTTCTTTTGTTGGTTTTTCTTCTTAAAGATATTATTAGTAGTTTAATTTAATGGCGTTTTGACATATTAAAGGGACGTAGTGGATTTTATTTATTTATTAGTCCTTTTATTTGTTTTATTACATTGACTTAGTGATAAATATGTGAATTCGCGAAACGGTGGATTCGGGATAATTGTGCTTGAAACAGTCGGACACCCAATGCATTTATTTAGTAGTATTTTTTTTACTTTGGAAACAAGACTATATTATTCTTAGTGGATACAAGAAGCAGCTTTGACTGAACTTGTCCCCGCCATCAATGGAAAATAGAGTTGTTGGTGGAACATCGATACTCCTTTGGTATCAAATAAGGAAAAATTAAAGTACTTCTTTCAATCATTTTTGTGGATTCCTTCTCTTTTGGTATAGTTGTAAATTGTGTTACTAAAGTGTTTGGTATAAATGGTGTCACCATTTTTAAGAAAATTAAAAATGTCCGGCTCTGGGCATCACACCCAGAATCTCTTCCAAAAATGTGTGCTGTGGGAATTAATCAGCCTACTAAGGTCCAATTACACTCAGGCATGTAGTAATTGGGCCTAAATTAAGAGCCTCAGGCCCACTTTGATTATCCTAAATCCTAATTCCCGGCACTACGGGATTCGTGTCCTGCACCGATGTAACCAACTTTTTTTTCCATTCGATTGACGCAGCATGCCGCTGTTTCACACACACACACACACACACACAGACATTGCGGTGCAAATTGCAAAACGACGTTTGATCGTGTCTCCTAATTTTGCTTAAGAATGACAAACCTTACCATCATCATGTCGAAAATGGAAAGAAGGATTAAGGTTTGAGGAGTTGTTGCTTCGCAGAATATGCTGATCACGTTGTTTCATCAATTTCGTTCGTTGTTCCGGGGGATCAATCAATTTCTGGTTCCGAAATGCTTGTCATATACTCAAAGTTGCTTCGTGATTTTCCATTATCTGAATCGCACACAGTCGTTCGCATTGAAGTCAATGCATTTGAAATTTGATCAATCGTCGGGGGACAACGATGAATGATGATGCTTCACGCGCGAAATCTGTAATGTTCTTTCATCTCTGTTGCGTTTTCAATTAGACTTTATTATTAAGGAATAATTGTAGCATTAATTGTGCTGTTATTTGAATTCTGACGCCTAATTTTGTTCATATCTTTCTGCCAGTGTTTTCGTTTTCGTGAACGATGAGTTTCGGACGAAATATCTTCAATGCTGTCTGAGCATGTGAAGCGAATTGGTATCTGAAATGGAGACTAGAAGATTTTAGAGTATTGATTGACTCCAATTTGATGATAACATATTGTATTCTCGTGAATTTATTCCATGTAGCCAATAGGTTTGGGTACTAAATGAAGTCAATTGATTAAGATTAGCTTGCTTAGTTGCGTTTAATGGTCAACTAGTACAATTGGAATGTAAGCCACTAGTATTAGGCTGCTGCAATGGAGAGCATAGATGACGATAGTGATGGCGAGTGGCCGACATCACCAATGCAAGTTTTGGAGGATGCTGTAAGAGCTGCTGGTGAGGCACTGCACAATGTCTACTCTAGAAGTTTACCCCCCTCAAGTCCAGAGAGTTTCGGGCATAGACGTACTCGTAGTGATGTGGTTGGTAATCCACTTCATAAGAGGAGCAACAGCATCCAGCGTTTCAAGTCTCATATGCAAAGGGCACTTCGATGGGGCGGGAATTCTAGTGAACATAGTCGCTCCACGTCTTTTAATCCTGAGATTTTGGCTGATCAAAAACGGCAATGGTATGAGTGTCACTCAAAAACCTTGGTAAGCTCCTCATCATACAAGAGAGTAGGGTTGTCATCCTCTCTTGCACTAATTTATTTTGATCTGAAAATTTAGTGCCACTTCTGTTTCAATGAAGCTAAACATATAACTGGATGAATGTAGGATTATTCCAGATATAAGGAGCCAACATCCCTGTTTGAACACTTTGTTATTGTGGGTCTTCATCCAGATGCTAACCTCGAAGTGTTTGAGGAAGCATTTGCCAGGAGGAGGAAATGGGAATTAGATATGGCAAAATCTGATCATTTTGATTTTAGAACCCTGGAGAATCAGGGACCTTCTCTTCCCAAGCTGGAACCTCAGGTTTGGACCCTAAACATAAATAACCACATTTTTCATGTAAGACTGAGTTCTATACACTTCCAAGTTGTAAAAAGTTTATTGTTCTTCAACTACTAGATCAAAATTTCTTGTACATCTGATTTTGGCCTTTTAAAAATTTTTAAAAAAATTGAACTTCGAGAAGACGTCAAACATTAGAATAAGTTATTATCAAACCTTACAGTGCATGATGAAGTCTCCACCACTCTTTAAGTTTTATATTTATCATGGAGTATTCAGTTGGCATGCATTATTTAAATCATGCTTGCAGTGAAGCTTGTTGGATCAATTTACATTGTGCTGTGTTTTTCTTTCCTTTCTACAGATACTTTTTGGTTATCCTCCTGGAAAGAAATTAGCTATGCGGCCTAAAGATTTGGCTTCTTTCTGCTTTCCAAGTGGTGTTAAGGTGTTGTCATTTCTGATGATTTACTTAAGTCATCTCAAATTTGAACTACAAAAAAAATGCATACTTGATACATTGACCATTTGCGAAAGCCAATTCACAGAGACATCATTTGTGGTAAAAGTTGGGCTTCTTATATGTCTAAATCGATATTCATCAACATATATTGGCGGTTCAGTATAGAAACTTTTGTTATAAATATTTGTTGGTAGAAGGTTATGGGGGCTACATTGTATTAGAAAGCATAAAACTACAAGTCCTTTTTTATTCATTTGTAGTTTTATGCAAAAAGTGATGAGGAGTTGCCTTGTGAATTCAGGCTCGTGTAGTCCAGAAGACTCCATCATTAAGTGACCTGAATGAAGTTGTTTACGGACAGGTAATTTTCCTTCTTTTCCTGCCTCTGTATTCTTTGCCCTTACCTTTTTTTCCTTCTGCCAATATGCTGTTGCCTGAATAGTAATAGGAAAAGTACATAATTTTTGGGGGTGTTAAAGGTAAAACACATTTATCACTGGAGGAATGTGGTTGTATGAGAGAGTGAAAAAGAAAACCATTTCATATACATTTCAATTGCGTTATTTTTCCCCCATTTTGGCTGCTGTTTCAGTTAACCAATATACTAGTCCGTGGATTAATCAGGTACTAGTTAAATAAAGTGAATGATGAATAGAAGAAAAACGAATTGCTTGTTTCTGGTTTAAGATAGATAACTCTTAGTTATGTCTTTTACAGGAGCATTTAATCAGGGATGACTTGTCCTTCATATTTTCGTTGAAGGTGAGGTTTTTGCACCCTTGATAAACATCCTTCATATGATCATTTTCTTATAAATTTTGTCGTGAAACATTCCAAAATTTGTCATGCATCTCCTTTTTCTTCTTTTTTCTTGTTGTCTTGTGATATTCTCTGTTCCTTTATCACATCCGAGATCATCTGATGCCTAGACATGTACCGGTTGCCCAATATGCAGTCATCTTAATGGTTGTTGTACATCAATCACAACCAATAGTATTGCAAAAGAAATTTAATGATTTTTAATCGCAGTGTGGATGCTTTTTACATGATCCTGAAAGTTATCTTGTCTGAAATATTCAAGGTTTTCATCCTTCTTATGGTTGCAAAAATATTTGTCTTCACCAGAGAACTTCCAGTCACTTGAAAAAAGCATTGTTTATTTAGCATGGTTGCAGTTGCTAGATTAGATTAGCATGGAAGTCTGCTTCTTTTTAATTTCTACATATGTTTGTTCTCACACAGTAGCCATTGTTAGTTGATCAGCATAATCCCATTTTACGCTTTTCTAAGTTCTTTAAATCAGATGGATGTTTTTTTCGGCTGTTATGTAATTTTCTTCCCCCTCAACATCCAATGCACCTTGTTACACTTCTAATTAAAAGGAAAAAAGAAATCTCAAGAATGCTCTCCAAAAAGTTTTGACTTTTATCATGCTCCATGTTGTGTTCGATAGACTGGTAGACATGATTAGCTTATCCAGTGCAGCACTATTGAAATGTTAAGAAAGGCTTACTGGGGATGCATGATATCATAAGCAAAACCTGTTCCGAAGGAAGGTGGTGAACAAAGGAAGTTCTTGTGTATTGGAAAAATTTGCCTTGATGTTTCCATTAGCAGATAATGTTTTGAGATGATATTCTGGATCTTAATCCCAGATCACTTCTGTAACTGAATTAAAATGCACATATGGTGTATCAAGTGAACTAAAATGCTTGTATGATATGAAATGTTTTGAGTGGTTGAATCATGATCTTTATATTTGAGATCCCCTCATATTGCATTTGCATGACTTTTACCAACTTAAACTTTGAAAGGTACTTCAACAATATTATCTTGCCATACTACCCTGGTATCCTTTGTTTTCTCTTTATTTTTATTTGGAAAACTAAGATGGACTGTTGAAAACAGCAATTGTCCTTTTTACTGCCACTCTAGGTTTGCTTTTTCCTCCTTGAAATATCCATATGTTCGCTTCCACATGAGATAATGTGGTGGCTGAAGATGTCTATGTGCTCTCAAGTAGGTGGCTGACAATGCAACACTATATGGAGTTTGCTTACTTGTACAAGAATTTGTCCAGAGAGCACCTGCCATTTGTCGTGTTTCATCATCGGTTTCCCAGTCGTCATTAGGTCTTAGTCGGTATTTGGTCTCTGCTCCCCGCTGTTACTGTGTTTTAACGAGAGTTCCGTTTTTTGAGCTGCATTATGAGATGCTAAACAGGTTAGTTGCAATTTGTGAAAATTGTTTGATGAGAAGATTGGTTGTCGTGATTTATGTTACACTCTCATATCACCTTAAAGATTTACTCAGTTATTTCCTTGAATGCAGCATCATCATGCAAGGGCGTCTGAATAGAATAAATTATTGTATCTCTGAATTAGCAGTGACTGATCATTCACTCTCCACGTCCAAATCCTGTAATGAGAGTGAAAACACAGATTCTCTTCCTTGGGTGGCTGAGGGAGAATGGAAGGCTTCTGATGTACCCATTGACAGTGCTATAGCTCTCGCTTCTGTCGATGGATTAGACCATGAGGTAACTTCATTGTCATCTAGGTGGGAAACTCTTTCTCCTGGAAGAGACACTTCTAGTGAATTATCTGATCACATTCAAATGAGAGCATCAGATAAAGGTGGGGGAAATGATGTGCAGCATCTGGATAATGGTAGGTGTGAGCTCTTTGAATTAGTGATGACTGATCATTCACCTTCCACCTCAAAATCCTCAAATGAGAGTGAAGGAGTAGATCCTCCTCATAGGGTGACTGCAGGAGAATTGAAGACTTCTGACATACCCATTGACTGTGACGTAGCTATCACTACTGGAATCGGATTAGACAATGAGGTAACTTCATTGTCATCTAGGTGGGAATCTCTTTCCCCTGGAAGAGATACTTCTAGTGAAGTATCTGATCACATTCAAATGAGGACATTACATCAGGATTGCGGAAATGATATGCACCATCTGAATAATGCTAGCTGTGAGCTCTCTGAAAATCATTCCGTAATGGAGGAGAAGATACATGAAGATTATGAAAGCGAACCAGCTTCTCATGTTGTTGACTCATGTGCTTGCCTGGAGAATGAAAACTTGGAGCGTCTTGAAAGTTTTGAGTCATTCAGGTGGTAGAATTTGTATATATATTTTGATTTCTTTTGCCATGACGCTTATGATGGTTTTCAGCATTCATTCTGTTGTTTACTTTGTCTTCCAAAACCAACGACCTAAAATTTGGAATGTGCTAATTCTTGCATGGCAAATGAACCACCTATTATTGATATTATTCTTATTTATAAATCAGTTTCCGCAAATTTGTTCATTTTTCTTTTCTGGCAGTTCAGCGACAAGTATGGTTGTATTAGAGGATAATGATGACATTTTCTTGGACAATGGTACATATGTTGGGAATGATATGACGTTAGAATGGGCTAAGGTCAGCCACTTACATCTTCGTAGCCATCAAGTTCCTTATTTTGTCAACCACTTGTCCAGTTCCTTTTCTTTTTTATTCATACAATGGCCTTTCAGCAGGAGAATAAGAATGATTTGCTTCAGATAGTTGGTAACTATTACTCAATATCTCTTCCTCCACGAGGAAGTGAGATTATTTTTCAGCCGCTTGAGCACCTACAGGCTATTCATTACACTAGGCTTCCACTTTCTGCTCTTCAAAGTAGTGGTGAACAGTCAGATCCTGAAATACAGGATCCAAATAAAGCTTCTCAGGTGAGACTGCATTAGTTTTTCATGTTATGTGATGGTGGAAAATGATATGATGGGCCCTGCTAATGTCATAAAGTTAGGCAGGTCATTTTGCAATTTGCGGTTGCTGAAGAAGCTGCTGCTTTGTCGCTGTGGACAACCGTGACACTTTGTCGAATGCTTTCTCTGGAAAAGGTACATTTTCTTTGACTTATTGGACTTTGATGTGGTTCTATTCATCATTTACATTGACAACCAATTGAAAATACTGTAGTACAAAATAGTACAATACTTTATGTGAGAAATTCGATTCTAAATGATTGCATTCTCTGATTTCGAGTGAGGAATTTTCATGATTACAGTTTGACAAGTACTTTGTGTTGCCAATGATCAGCCAGCTGTTATAATTTCTTTCCTTTGATGTTGGATGATGGCCAAGAACTGGAGTTTACCCCTTTTTATTTAAACTATTATGATTCTTTATTAGTGCTTTTACTTTTCCAGATTTTGGCCCTAATTACTGGAGTTTTGCTGGAGAAGCAAGTAATAATGCTGTGCCCAAATTTGGTATGTGAAGCTTTACTCAATGTCTCCATGGTGCATTTTAATGTCCTGTTTGTTGTTCATAATTACAGTTGCATATTTGCAATCAATGCAGGGTGTTCTGAGTGCCATGGTATTGTCTATTATTCCCATCATTCGTCCGTTTGAGTGGCAAAGTCTTTTCCTTCCAGTAAGTTCTATAAGTGATCACATGTTGCGCAAGATCTCTTAAGTCAATTGTAATCCTTGGCCAATAGAAATTTGGCGTTATTGATGTTTAATGTTCTAAGCACGGTGTTTTCTTTGGTAGTTTTTTCACGACCAGTTTAGCATGATTAAATCTACTTAACTTGTTTTAGAACCAAGGTTGAACATAATTTGTGTAAAACTTATATGCTATGAATTTTAAAGCCCCTTTAGTGCACTTCTTTACTTAAAACTCTCTGTTCCGTGAAATCAGGATCTTCATTAATGTGCCCTGGAGAAAATGTTTTTCTATCTGCACACTTGTATCATTCTTCCTTTTAATTTTATGTTTTGTGGGTGAATTTTCACAGATTTTACCAGAGAAGATGCTTGACTTCTTAGATGCACCAGTTCCCTTCATTGTGAGTAACTGGTTTTTAAGTGAATCGAATAATTCATCGCTGAGTTCTGATTAAACACTCTTGACAGTTAATTTTGCAGTAATTTTAGGGTTTCTTTTGCTGTTTGATTGTTCGGCATCTTAGTGGTGTTTGGTAGGATCCGGAATTTGCACAAATTAAATCTGAACATAAGTTTTCTCCTTTTCTAAGTGCATTTTGGCATTCATATAATATTTATCAACTTGCTGATCAAATTCTAAGTTTGCGTGTCCGTAGTATCGTGAATTTAATGCTGCCGAGTGAAAGGGTACAAAATTTGAGATTCCTGTGCATTCTTTTCTTTATCTATAAGCTCAGTATATTTATTTTAGCAGTGATTAAGATGCATAAGTGAGTTTGTCAACCTGTTTGATGGTGAGATTGTGAGATGATGTAGAAAATTTCTCATGCCAGAGTTACTTTTGGTGGCATGTAACTTGATGTATCTGTTCCCCTGGAAAATTTTGAAACAGAAAACCTAAAAAAGTTCTCTAGAAGTTTGAATTTCTGCAGGAATTATATGAACTGGTTAAATCAATGAATAATTTAATGTGGAAGATGGAGAACATAATTTTTAGAAAGTAGATCCTTATATGAAACTGATTTTCGGAATGGTAAATCTCTATATTATTTTCTGTCTGTGATGTACTACTTTGTTTGCAGCTTTGTGAAATCCCTCAAACTACGATTTTGTTGAATAATAATCTTGGAGAAGCGAACTTCAATAGTAGCTCAGTTATAGTCTGTACTATCAAACACAGTACATTGCAATCATAGCTTGCTCATTCTTTGTCCGTTTTGTGGCAATTTGAGTGCAGGTTGGCATTCAACATAAACTGGCAAATTTGAAGATGAAAAGTTCAAATATTGTGATCGTGAATGTAGTTAAAGATCAGGTTTGCTTTGTGTGGATGATATTTTAGTTGTTATCAAGGTTTATGTATATAGTATTCACAAGTAGGACTTGTTCGAAAACTTTCAGCACAGACCTTTTACGTGTTATATTAGTTTCAAAAACAATATAGAGAAATCCTGGTTTGGACAGTACTTGCATTTCTGTTTGTAGATAGAACATATACCGGCTTGTGTTACTCTCTAAGATCTCCTATGATTACTATTGTACAGGTTAAGATGTCTAACTTGCCTGTTCTTCCTCGGTACAAGGAACTCATATCTAAGCTTGAGCCATATCATGCCAGATTATCAAGCAGAAGTTCTAATGCTCAGAAACATCCCATTTACAGGTGCAATGAAGTGCAGGTATTTAGGCATACATGATTTTGTCATCCTCTACTGTGTATCTGGATTCTGGAAAATATGGTCATGTTGAATTATTTCATACTTTTGAAAGTGCGACTGTAACTTCTGTTTTTTTTTTTTTCACTTGTAAACTACTTCTTGTCTTGGAGGTTTTAAATCCCCTTGTTGTCGACATCAAATTATAGCCAATCAGACTTCTCTTGTTTCTTTTAGCATATCAAAAATGTATCTGCAAGTGACCTAATACTTCCACTTTCATAGTTGCAATAGAGAACTGTTTAAAAAATTGAATTGATACTTCGCTCTTTGCTCCCTTGCTAGGTGATAAATTATGCTCTTTTCTCCCTTGTTTTAATCATTTGCATCATTACTGATTAACTGATTACTTTTGATTGTTACCCGAGCTATGGTATTTGTAGCCCCTAACAGTGTCCGTTTGAATTTTCATTGTTCTTGCAGGCAGAAGCAGCTACGCATTTTTTGCACGTCATGAAACACTACTTCGAATCTCTTTGTTCAGATTTGAGATCTTATTCAATAACTTACGTGCAATCAAATAATGATCGGGTTGGCCAATAAACCTCTGATTTGTTCTACTTCGGGTCTTGGGGCAGAAACAACCCTGAAACTAACTTGTTATTTCCTTGCAGGTCTCTGTTCTTCTGAAAGATAGTTTTATTGAATCCTTTGAAAGAAAAGACCAACCTTTTATTAAGGTACATTCATTTCGATTCAAGTATATATGCATTTTTTAAAAGTCTTCTGGGATATCGATCTTTGGATTCATCATGGTGTTGCAAAATACCAGAAATTTTTTTCGATAAAGAAAAATACCAGAAATGAAACTTGTATAAACTTAGAGATTCTGAAGAGATGCACTGCTGGAAAATTATGAATCTTCTAACATTCATAATTTGTGCACATAAGATTGATAAAAGCTGCCTAATATACCATTTCATAACGAAGCCTTCTGTCTTGTACTATGCAGTTATTTGTAGATACGCAATTGTTCAGTGTTTTGTCAGACTCCCGATTGTGAATATGTGGGGAGTAACAAGCTTTATCATTCCAGTTCAAGATGCAAGAAGTAGCAGCTACCTTCTGGTTGTAACTTTTATTTGGATGGCTAGATAAGTTCAGTTGATATATAGATACGAAGCATTCCCATAAAATTAAATGTAAACAGTACTTGGAACATGACGATGAGTCAAAGAACAGGAAACTTATTTCTGATTGAGAAAATGAAAGAGTGCTTTTTTGTTTTCTTAGATTTAGTCGAACTTAAAATTTGATTCGTACGTCATATCACACATTTGAGTGTAGTTTCTCCCCATAGAAAATGATACAGGAGTCAAACATGTCGAGTTACTAATGTTGTCAAGCTGTAGCCATAACGATCTCGGGAAAAAAACTGTACAAAATGAGAGAGAGATTTCATATCAAGGCACAGAATACCAAGTTTTGAGGATTCAGAAACTTCTAATACATTTGGTTACTGAATATTGGAGCGAATAAAATCATTGCTCTCACCGGGCAAGAAAGCCCAGTATCATTTTTCTGGCCCCGAAAGACACACATCTTAAGGATAAGCATTTAATCTTTCATCCTTGTAGGTCGCTTGAGATGCGGCCCAGGTGATCACCGGCTACCCATTCACCCCGGCTAACATGTTGAAGGCTATTGATCAGTTTTTAGATGAACAGAGAACATAGACAGTAGCGTACTATTTCTCTTCCTCGGAATCTGATTCTTGAAAGACCGGTTCGGGCTGCGTCTGTGCATATGCAGGAGCAATATACTTTGGATCATTCTGAGCAACATCGGCAAACTTGAGGATTGCTTCTCTTGGATCTTCTTCCATCCATGTCTCCTTGATCAAGCCACCTTGCTGCACTCAGTTCAGAACATTAGTTACCCTTTGAGCAGGCATCGAATCACATTAATTAGATAAATGGAAAATGATGTGATTACCTTAAGAAGATACTGAGTTAACAAACTTCCTTTAGTTGAGCCAACTCTACCACCATGACCAGGCCCTGTGATTGGAAGTTCTGGCTTATGAGACTTAAGTGGGTCCTTCAATATCTTCTCACGCTGACGTTTACGGCTAGGCTGATCTCTGAATAAAGGTAATGCATGAGGATTGTGAATCACAGGTTCTATTTGGAAATCATCAATGGACTTCTTCCTTGGGGCACGTGTAACACAAGCAAGAGCTCCTCTTTCACTTATGGTGGGATCATAAAGGATGTGAGTTCCTCCATCGTGTTTATCACCAGCGGTGCCAAAAATCTGTACAATAAAAAACTTCATTAAACTTCCATTCAGGATCCTCTAAAACTTAATGTCTCCTATGAACTCGGTATAGAGAAGGAAGTTTGTGAAGAGGACAAGACAAGTAACAGAAGGCAGAACCTAATTCTTTACTGATTGAGTCACAGTAATGTCTCGACAAAGCAGAATAAATATTAGAATTTAACCTACAAAGGTGACATTCACCCCTGGATCCATGCAATCTCAACCTTAACCATGCTGTTCTACTTGATTTTTTTAATTTATTTTATTAGTGTGTATCTGGAAAAGGGTCTTCTGGTAATAGTTGTTCAGCAACATACATAAATTACAAGCCCCAAAATGACTCCAACTGATCAAATCTCAAATCATCAACAACAATTATACCTGATTCAGCCTTGGGTGCCAAGCACACCGGACGACACTGGAGGTCGGAGATATTCCAACTCTTGATACCAATTCCAGTTTCACTCTATCGTAAAAGCATAGCAAGCCGCCAGTTGTACTATCTCTTTCAACTGATGTCCCAGTCAAGAAGAGCTGCTCATCAGGGCTGAAAGCGATGTTTGTCTGGGCATAATTATTGGGGAGATCATCAAATACTCGAACAGGTTCTTTAACTTGGCGCACATCCCAGACCTGAGACAAAATCAATATGTCAACATCATAATAATAACTGGCTTAGAAAACTGACGAGCATGATCGAACATGAAAATATTCTAAGACTCTATACCTTCAATGAACCATCAAAACTTCTGGAAAGCAATGTTCTTCCATCACTTGAGAACTTAAATCCAGTAATATCATCTGAGTGGCCATGGGCTATATAAATATCTGGTCTACTACCCCATCCAGGCTTTATGCTCCATATCTGTAAGAAAGAACCCATGAAAAAAATTCATAGACAGAAATGGCAAATGTGATAGTAAGAAAAGCGTTGAAGAATGATACCGCAGATTTTATGCAGCACGCAACCTACGTAGTTTACTTTCTAATTCAAAAACTACCCCCAAAAGAAAGAAGAAAAGAGGGGATTTACCTGTATAGAACCATCTCCAATACCACCTACAATGCATTTGCCTTCACGATCCCAAGCACAAGTGGTAACAGGAACTCTTCCAGGCCGTGAAAGTTTTGGTTTAATGACCTAAAAATGGCAGAGCGAGCTCGTCAACTATCCGGTTAATAACTCAAAAGTAGAATGCTCTCTTCCAAATTTCAGATGTCAAATTAGTAACAAGGTCTACGAAGTAAACCATGACAAACCGCAAATTACGCTAAGAGAAAATAAAAGGCACATGCTGTATGAATTTTCAGAAAATACTCTTTCAGAGAGGGCCTATTTAGGCTCTTTTGAGGAAAACCAACAGAGACATTAACACTGTCCTATAGATAAGATATCTCTCGAAATGTTAAGCTTTTAGGATTAACAGACTAATCTCTAGCTGCAACGTTAGCATTTTTCTTGGAAGGTTCTCCAAAACTATAACAAATTAAAATGACCTTCAATTGGCACAAATCTACAGTATCATACTTAACACATTATATGGACATGCCAATATCAAAATACAAATCAAACTCAGACAGTAAAAAAACAGAATGTCACAGTTAAGTACAGTAGGCAGAGTCTAGCAAAATCTGAATTGGCACCTGCTTTTGACTTTTAAGGTCATTAACATCCCATATCCGTAGTGAACCATCTTCAGAAGATGTTAATATTGTCTCCTTTGTCTTAGGGTGCCACTCTCCACAGGTCAATCCAGATATGTGGCCCTTAGTGTTCTTAAGATCACGTATATACATGTCCCCCTTCACAAACTCCCCCAGAGTAAGTCCATCACGGTCATAAATCTGAAACACAAAAGAGCAGAATATTACAGTCTTATAGAGCCCAAAAAAAATCCAACTCATCTACCAGAAGAACCAAAATGCATGCTCAGCATACACACCTTAGCCTGAGCTGAGCCAGTCACACAAAGAAAGCGATCAGAAGTAGGACTCCAACTCAAACTGCGAACTTGATGACCTTCAAATGGCTCTAGTTGTCTAAATGATTGCAAACGGGCATTCATTCCTTGGAAGTCATACATGCGAACTGTGTAATCGTAGCTGCCAGATAAAACACGGGAGCCTGAATTATCCACTGCAAGAGCAGCAACAACCTGCAGAGGATACAGAGGAAAATCAGAAAGAAAATCGATAAACAAAAATATCAATTGCATAATGGCTCAGAAGAAGTACTGAACCATCAAATAATTAACACTTAAAAAATATGCCAACATGCTTTTGTAACAGGATTCAATGATTAAAGAACCAGAGAGCATCAGAAGAACAAAACCTCCCCAAAAAGTTCAATCATACAAGATCAATAACATATACTACAGCTTCTCTTTTTCACTCCCAGTATAAAATAGTTGTTCTACTTGCAACTATTCGACAAGTAGGATAAAGTTCAATCATACAAGATCAATAACATATACTACAGCTTCTCTTTTTCACTCCCAGTATAAAATAGTTGTTCTACTTGCAACTATTCGACAAGTAGGATAACAGAAATAGCTCCCAAGTGCAAGGATTGAACAGCTAATTTTCTTTAATCTCTTTTGGAGATCATAATCTACAAAATATAGGTCAAAAAGCAAACTGCTCACACAAAGTAGCACGAACTCTTAAATTAACAATCTCATCCCCCCAAACATTTTCTGCTAGTAAACAATGCTGAAACAAAACATACAAACATACATCAAATCATAATACCAAAACGAAACAAATTTTAATTAAAATACCTTAGTATGACCCTTCAAGACAATCTCATTACTTAAAGGTATCCGATACTGATTGGTTTCGTCTTCGTCGTCCATCTCTTCATCCTCAGATTCCGACCCCGCGGCACTGGTTGGAGGTCTAGGAGGTCCAATAACTGGCTCATCATCATCCTCATCCTCACCCGCCGGCGGGGGAGGGGGAGGTCCAATCATGGCATCCTCGTCCTCATCTACTTCTTGCCCCATTAGTGGGGGAGGCGGTGGCCCAATCGGAGCATCTTCGTCCTCATCTACTTCTTGCCCCATTGGCGGGGGAGGAGTTGGCCCAATCGAAGCATCGTCATCTGAATGCCTCGCACTGGGTCGTGGCGGCCCAAGTACCGCAGACCTATTCTCAATAGATTCAGCATCACCGCCATTGGTGCTCCGGCGATTAGGTCTCCTGACGGACTGGAGCCAGGCATTGGAGGAAGAAGAGAGGGAACGGAAAGGGTTGTCGTTCTTCTGGGTTTTCGACGACGACGGTGATTCCTTTGGTTTGGGAGCCGGAGCCGGCGCCGGAGTACGACGAGTGGAGTTGTGGATGAGCTCCAGCGGAGTCTCGGATTTCGTCTGCTTACCAAAACTCAAAGGGAACTGAGCTCGAACGCCGTCGTATATCTCCGCTTCGTCTTCCATCTCAATCAGTTCCTCTTCTTCTTCGTTGCTCGGTTTCTCTTCTTCGTCGCCCTTCATCATCCAGTATTCCTCAATCGATCTTGATTCCAATTTTCAGCTTTTTTTTTTTTTGAAATTTTATGGAATTTATAGGATTTTGGTTCTAGTTAGCTTCTTCAAACCGCCTTTACCGCCCGAGAGAGAATATGCCCAGAGGGAGTTTTTTTTTTTTTTTTTTTTTTTCATATTTGTAGGGTGTTCACCGTCGGCAACAGTGATTAATCTCCTCGCTGAATTGTAAGTACTTTAATGGGTGGGACAGCTGGCCAAACTATTTAAAGTTACTCCATGTTCATGGCGAGATTCAAACCACTCCACTGCAACCACTTTGGTTATGTCCACAAGGAGATAAATATATTGGACTTGATCTATACGAGTCATTCTCCTGAAATCCAAACTTTTATTCTAGACAAATCAATAAAATTCTTTGGACCTGAATTTTCATTTTGATAAGAGGATTAGCCCATACCAACACGTATATACGTATACTTATTAAACAAATAAAAAATGATTAACGGCCAATTAATACATGCTTTATGATAGAAAATAATACCCCTCCAATTGGACTTGATGTGTATACAAAGGTCTACTTTAATCTATACGAGTCATTCTCCTGAAGCCCAAAGTTTTATCCTAGACAAATCAATAAAACTCTTTACGCCTGAATACCTATTTTAATGAGAGGATTAGCCCATATCAACACATATATACGTATACTTATTAAACAAACAAAAAATGATTATGGCCAATTAATATATGCTTTGCATAAGAACTCAAGTTCTGCCCCCAAACTAGCAAACTCTTACCGACGTTAAGTCTTTAGTCCACCATGGACACGGAGATGTCCGATACCTCTCGAATCACCCACGAAAATGAAAACCCAACTACCAAAAGGGTCAAAAACAGAGACCAAATCCCAGAAATTACTGAAAACGACCACCCATCCTCAGAGCAATCAGATCCCCCGATTGCCACCACCTCGAATCCAATGTTCTCCACTCTTTCACAGTTGACATCCCCAGCAGTTGAGGGCATCCCATCTTTTAAAGACAGACTCCTCCAAGGCCAATCGAGCCACTTCTCAAATGGTTACCACATGATGAATGTTACAGTTGAAGAAGGGGATGTCACATACGGGGACGAAGACGGCGTCCCCTCAACTAATTTCTCAAAAAGAGTCAAAACACATATGAAAATTGTGATGACCTACTCTATTGTTGTGAAACCGCTGAGCAGAGACTTTCGCTGGAATCGTCTCCACAAAAGGTTAAAAGGATTATGGAAAATAAAGGGAGAATTGAAACCGATGGATACCATAGAAGGATACCACTTTTTCAGACTCACTACAGAGGAGGATTACTACTTCATCTTACTAAATGGGCCTTGGTCTCTTGATGACCATTATATTCTAGTTTTGCCGTGGACAAAGCAGTTTAGTACCAAAGACGACAACATAAGCGCGGTGGCAATATGGATTTGCATTCTGGATCTTCCAATCGAGTATTTCCATGAAGATTTACTACGGAGTGTGGCCAAACCCATTGGAAGATATCTCAAAGATGACAAGAATACCATTACTGTGGAAAGGGGCCAATTCGCCAGATTAGCGGTAGAATTGGATTTAACTAAACCACTTATCGGTAAAACCAAGGTGGATGAAAAATTCTACAACATCGAGTATGAGGACCTCCAACAAATCTGCTACACATGTGGAAGATACGGCCACCACAAAGAAGTTTGTCCCAAAAAACCGAACGGAAATTCAAATCTGACAACCGGAGAAACTCCGAGTACTACACCGGTGCTCCCACAACCGAGTGGCAACGGTAGCAACATGGGCCCCAAAGATTGCAACGGTATAACATATCCTCAAATAAATAATATACAGATCTTAGAGACCCCACAGCGGACACCCACAATTTGGGAATGGAGCCATGCTGTTAAGAAAGGGAGGAGATACCAAAGTAACCAAGGATCTCCATTCAGGTACTCAAACCAAACCAAAACAAATAACACATCTAATCCCTTTGCTGTCTTAGTAGGTTTGGAAAAAGAATTACAGGAGTCGACTTTCAAAACCAGAGAACCCCCAGTAATTGAATCCATGTGGAACATCAACCTTTATGACAAGTCATACACTTTCAATGCAGGAGGGAGCACAACAAATCGATCCAAGCACCAGGCCCAAAAGAAAAGTAACCCTAAGCCCACTCAACCCTCAGAAAATAACCTGCCTGCAAAAAGAAAATCAGATCCATTGGGCCGTGAAAAGGCCTGGATTAAAAAATCCAACAAAAGTAACCCAAACCCAAAAACCCCCCAACCCGTTTCTCCTATTATACAAGACCAAACAAATAGAACACCCCAAATGTCAACCCCCCCCCTTCAACAGTTAGCTCCCCAAGCTCTTCACAAACAACGGTCTTAAAAGGGGGTGGTTAGAACCACACCGCTATAATAATAGCACATCCCAATCCACCCCCTCCCCCTCAAACAAGCCACCACCGACGACATGCAAGGAAACAAAGCCCCACCGATGGCCGGCAAACCCCCCGACCCCTCCAAAGCCTTTCACCTAAAACCGAAATTGAAAATCCACCACCCAAGTTCCCCTAACGAAGAAACCTCATGTGATGAGGAGAAGCTAAATGCATAAGAGGAAGCTCAACCAGGGGACTCCATGGGGCATGATTTTGACCCGGATCTAGGACCCATACAACAATGGGAATTCCCGTCGGAATTCGACAAGTAATTTCAAATCCTAAATCCTTATAATTATGAATAATCGCATTATATCGTGGAATACTCCGTGGAATAGCAAATGCTACAACTATCTTTGTATTGAAAGATATGATTAATATCATAATTCACATATTTTGATTGTATTAGAACCTAGAATTAGTGGTATAGAAGCAAATCGAATCATTAGTAGCCTAGGTTTCCCGAACTCGCATAGAGTAGAATCGGTAGGTTTTTCGGGAGGTATATGGATCCTGTGGAATAATTATGTAACAATTCAAATTGTGCAAAATAAGTGGCAACATATTCACTGTAAGGTTGTTTTTTAAGATAACTCTACCTATTATGTTACCACAGTGTACGGTAGCCCGCAAAGGCTAACGAGGCGTACACTGTGGGACGATCTTGATTCTCTTGCAGATATGGTTTCTGGACCTTGTATAGTTTTAGGTGACTTTAATGCAATTACTGTAGAGACAGATAAGATCGGTGGAAGACGTTCCCAGTGATGCAAATACTTTATTAACTGGATTAACTCATCGGACATGTATGATTTGGGTTTCTCTGGCACACGATATACTTGGAAAGGAGGTCTAATCCACGAGAGACTGGATCGTGCCTTAGTCAACAATAAGTGGGACGAAGCTTTCTCCAACACTACTATTCAACAACACCTTCCCCGACTCGCCTCTGATCACTCCCCACTGTTGGTACAATTCACAAATTTGGATGCACCACCATCTCTGCCAAAAATTTTTCAGATATCTCATAACACGGGAAACACATGATTGCTGGAAAGTTTGGCTTGAAAAGAATTGGGTTAGGACGTTAATCTTCCAACAGCTCTAAAAGTCCTCATAGCAAATCTAAATGATTGGAGATTCAATGTATTCAGCAATATCTATCAACGGAAAAGACGAACACTAGCAAGACTGGCTAGTATCCAAAAAGCTCTGGCTTCCCATCACTCGAACAACCTGCTGGAAATCGAAAAAGAGCTACGAGAAGAGTATGAGAGGATGACCATGCAAGAAGAAATGCTCAAAATGCAGAACCGCAGATCTCTATGGCTTGAGCATGGGGATCGAAATACTAGGATCTTCCACTCGGCCCATAAAAACAAATCTACGAAAGGGAAAATTTCAGAAATGCAATTGGAAGACGGAACTTGGAGCTCTGACCAAACAGTCCTAATCAAAGAAGCAACAGACTTTTTCAGAAATCTGTACACAGGCTCACACACTGACAACAGTCTTTCTTATCAGGTTAAAGTAGCTTCTCTGAGCTCTCGTCGAAACAAACTACTCGATTAAGCTCCCCAGTTCAGGATGAGGAAATTAAAGAGGCAGTCTACGAGATGGATCCATCAAAGGCAGGAGGAATCGACGGTTATAATGCAGCCTTTTATAGGAATAATTGGGATATTATAGGCGCTGATGTGATCAAAATGGTAAAGGAGGTTTTTGATTCTACGGAAATTGATCCGGGAATAAACCATGCCATGATAATCCTTATTCCGAAAGTATACCCGCCTGAAAGGTTCCACAATCTTCGTCCCATCAGTCTCATCAATGTTTCTGCAACGATTGTGTCAAAGGTGGTAGCGAATCAAATCAAGAAAATCATGCCTTCTCTCATCTCACCGGCTCAATCAAGCTTTATCAAGGGTCGGAGCATTATAGATAACATACTTGTAGCCCATGAAGCCATTCATTCATTGAATATGGCAAAAGGCCCAAGAGGTTGGCTTGCTATAAAAATTGTTTTAGCAAAGGCTTTCGATCGGGTTCGATGGGACTTTATAGATGACACTCTGAAGGAGTTAAAAATTCCCCCTATTCTGTGTAGAATCATCATGAGCGCCCTCAAGACTGGCACGAACAGAGTCATTTGGAATGGTATTCTGGGATCTACCTTCAAACCGAACAGAGGTGTCCGCCAAGGAGACCCCTTGTCGCCATATGTTTTTCGTTCTATGTATGGTACGCCTCTCGCACGCCATAAACATAGAAGTTAATGAAGGGCGCTGGAAGCCACTCACCTTCGGTAACAATCACACCCACCTTTCCCATTTATTTTTCGCTGATAACCTTATTCTTTTTGCAGAAGCAGATATAAATCAGGTAGAAAATATTTGCACAACTCTACAGAGTTTCTGTCAGGCTTTTCGCCAAATGTTGACGTAAACTCAGCGACAACCCTCAGCAACTCTCTCAATGTCCAACTCATTGACAATATTGGAAAGTACCATGGTGTCCCAATTATTCATGGCAGAATCAAAAAGCAATCCTTCCAGCCTCTTATTTGTAAAGTCAAACAAAGAACTACAAGTTGGAACCCTCACAAAATCAGTATGGTTGGACGTTTAACTCTTTGCCAGTCAGTACTTACTGCTCTTCATATCTATGTTGTGCGATCACAAGTAATCTCGAAAGGAGTTAGTGACAAAATTGATAAATTGAGAAGAAACTTCTTATGGGGGGTGTAAACCGGGCGAAAGGCGCATGGATTTGGTTAATTGGCATTCTGTTTGTCAACCAAAAAGCCGAGGAGGCCTGGGATTGAGGAAACTCCGGGATGTCAATATTTCTTTCATGTTAAAACTGGCATGGGAGTTGCTGTTTGGCAGGAAGTCCCTCAGGACGTCTATCTTCACGGCGAAGTACGCCAATACTGTTTCGAACTCTGTTCAATGCTCAAGAGGTTTTTCTCACTTGGGAAAGCAACTAACAACATTCTGGTACGTAGCTATAAATAGCATAAAATGGGTAGTTGGTCATGGCGAAACCATTTCATTTTTGGAGGATCTCTGGCTCGAAACTGATAGACCTTTGAAATACCTAGCAGTTACCCCAATCCTTGACAATATGCTTTACCTCAAGATTAAGGACTACACAGATCAGCATGGCAATTGGGACTGGAGCTCTATTCGACAATGGATTGACCCTCAACAATAGGAACTGATAATGGCAACCCCCCTCCTCCACCTGATCCACTTCTAGGGCCAGGTAAACCTATTTGGAAATGGTCCAAAACAGGAGTTTTCACGATGTCATAAGCTTTCAAGGCCCTATATGAATCTTCCTGGGGTCCAAAAGAGAGAAAGTGGAAAGCTGTTTGGAATTGGAAAGGGCCAGAGAAAGTTAAACTATTTCTATGGTCCCTTCTAAAAGGAACTTTGTTGACGAACTCGGAAAGGCGGCGTAGACATATCTCTGACTCTGATTCTTGCCATTTCTGTTCGCATCCTGAAACACTTTTCCATTTATTCAGAGACTGTCTGAAATCCACACAGACATGGACTTATGTTAATAATACTCTAGATGTTAGTTTTTGGTCTGAGTCTTGTTGGTCTACTTGGATTCTTTCTAACCTAACTTCTTCTGCCTCACAGGTGTCCTGTTGGTCGACATCTTTTGCGATGGGATGCTGGAATATCCGGAAAGTATAGAACGAAGAAATATTTGCCGATAATTATACCAATTCTAGAAGTCTGGCCTACTATATCATGGCTGCAACAAAAGAAGTGGAAAGAATCTTCCACAGAAAAGCCAAAGAGCTCCAAACACGATCATGGTCAACCCAATATGGAGACAACCACCATGACCCTGGATGGGGCAATCTGCTCAGCATAAAAAATGGCGGCTGCTGGTGGCATCCTAAGTAACCATAAAGGCCTCTGGTTATCAGGCTTTACAGCCAAAATTGGATCATGTTCGCCCTTAGAAGCTGAATATTGGGGAGTTTTCTTTGGATTGAAAATAGCTTGGCAGTTTGGTTTCAGGAGAATCCAGTTACAGCTTGACAGCTCCAACGCGTATAAGAAAATATCGGAGGAAAATCCATCTTTTGACGCAGGTAATGTTCTCCGAAAAATCTGCCTCCAGCTAGATTACCAATGGCAGGTGGAAACCTCACACATAAACGTGAGGGCAACGAAGTAGCTGATTCTTTAGCGAAATTAGGCTTTTCTTGTAATCCCGGGGTACACATTGTGTCATCCCCTCCTAGTATAGTGTTGGATGCACTATCTTTTGATTGTCCGCCTCCGGCTCGAGGCGTTGACCTTTTGTTCTAAGGGATAGCTTCCGCAATATATATAAAAAAATTAATATATACTTTGTGATAGAAAATAATACCCCTCCAATTGGACTTGATGTGTGTACAAAGGCCTACTTTAATGTCATTCTCCTTAAACCCAAACTTTTATTCTGGACAAATCAATATAAATCTTTGGGCCTGAATACTCATTTTGATGAGAGGACTAGCCCATACCAACACGCATATACATATACTTATTAAACAAGCGAAAAATGATCATCGGTCAATTAATATATGCTTTGTGATAGAAAATAATACCCCTCTAATCCTTATTATAAAGCTTCTTGATTTGTCTTAAATCTTATTTATTTCATTTTTTCAATTGAAAACAAAATCTTAAAAATACATTTTCACGACTATTTTGCTCTCCCAATTATTATAAAGTATTCCTAAGGTTTCATTTTCAATTATAAAAATATACTAAATGAAATCTAAGATAAATCAAAATGGTTTATAATAAGGACCGGAAGAAGTAGTGATGTAATAGTGGTAATATTTATGCATTCGTGAAGACATAGTTAATTTGGTATGGCAATTGATTTTCATCTCACTAGTTTGTTGTTGTTATGTACATTTCGATAACTGTAGTAATTTTGTAAAATTCTATTTCTCCCGTTCCAAGATGTGTTCATTTTTTTTTAATCTAGTTCAAATTATATTCAAATAAAAAATTCAAACTGGAAAATCATTCTGATAAAAGAAAGTAGATAGAAAAAATAAATACTATGGCATTAGTGACTTGTCAAAAAGAGAAAGTCTATACTGTGCCACGTGGGGGTCTCATTGATTAAAAAAATTGAAAATGAATGATTGCACTTGATACATAACCAACAAATTTTGTTAATAGAAGAAGACCATCCATAAAATCTATATACTATACTAACACAAACTCAAGAGAGAGAAAGTCTAAATCAATTTCCCTATGTCATGTGGGATTTAATCCTATGTAATTTTTTTCTACATTTTGCTATTTAAAAAAAATACTAAAATAAAAATTTTAAACTAGACAATTATTTCAATAACGAGGAAGTATTAAAATATAAGATAGAAAAAGAAAATACTATGGCATCAGTGACTTAATAAAAAGAGAAACTTTCTATTGTGCTACGTGGGGGGTCATTGATTTTAAAAAACTATGAAATGAATGATTTCATCAATAAATACAGATATATACATGAATACAACAAATTTTGTTGATATAGAAGAAGACCATCCAGAAAATATATTACTACACGATAACGAACATATAAAGGGAAAAAAAATTCTTTTAGCTAATTTCAACAATCCAGTAGTAAATAATTAATTATAATTATAAATTCAAATTATCTATTTTTAGTATACGTGATAATTTATCATTAATAGTAGTAGTAGTATTTGTATTTTCTAGTATTTTGGTTTGCTATAATATCACGTCGACCCGTTCATAATCAAAGCTCCGAACATCATTGTCGGAGTATCCAATTCCCAGTTTGCCGATGCGACATTTTCTTGCCGGCTGCGTTTGCCGTCCGAGCTTCTTTCCTAAAAGGAGGCAAAATTAAAACCCTAAAAAACCGGGAGAGGGAGTAAAGTCGCAATTATAATATAGAGTTCCTAGGTGCAAGTTGTACCTAGTTTGAAATTCACGCGCCCAAAAAAAGGGAGAAAAAAAGGGAGATTTTCAAATTTTCAATTTTCGGATATTCCTCCTAATTTTCAGCCATCATTAATCATATCCAACTTCCTATTCCAATCCAAAGACATCTCAAACAAAAAAAAAATCCAAAAAATCAAATATTTTCTGCGGCGATTTGGCATCAAACGTCTCGTCGGCGGTATTTTTGAAGACGGAATTCGATCGTGCATCAAACCTTGTGAGTTTGGTTGCAATATACGCTGTTGAATATGAGAATTATAGTAAGATTTGAGATTATTTATTTATTTTGTGTTTTGTCCGGTGAATTTTGTTTGAAATTCTCAAAATCTTTCATGTAGAGAATCAGTTTTATGTGTTTACTCTATGGATCCAGTTATAAGAATTTTTTTTTAATACCGAATCATCCATGTAGATAGCAACGATTAAAAATCCTGGTTCAAATAGAAGCAGTTCAGAAAATAAAGATGAAGGAAGGTAACACTATTAATCTATTCAACGATTGATGCATTTTTTTGGATGGATTTTGTTGATCTAGGGTATATGCATTCGATTATAGATCTTTGTTCATCAATTTTTAAGTTTTCTTCATCGTATTTGCTGTGTTTGTGGAAGATACTAATAGATCTGGGGTTATTCATTAGTTCATATTCAATATTCATCCTTGAAATACGTAGATCTAAGGTTCCTGTATTCGTTTATAGATGGTTGTACACCAACTTGTTAGATTTGTTCATCCATTAGTTGCTGAGTTTGAAGGGTTTTTCTATTATTTCACTAGTCATCAGTTACCCAGCCATTATTCATCGATATTAAAGGGTTATCATTATAATGACTGCGTTACGCGATTATTATTCATGATTATAGTTGTTGTTATTCATTATTTTAGTTGTTGTTCATCAACTACAGTCTAACTGTTCATCAACTATCCTTTGTTATTGAAATGGTTAGGTCATATCTGTCAATTATTCATCATTGTTGTCTTGATTACTCATCGTTATAATGTATAATTAGGAGTGAAAATATAATTTTTATAAACAAATTTCTATATATTCATCATTGTATTGTGCTCATTCTTTTTTTTAGCTTTTGTTATTCATCGTTACTGCAATAGTATTGCATATGTAAGGGCTGAATATTCATATATTTGTTCATTAATATTGGTATTATTATTCATTAGTTGGTGTTCATCACATATATATGGTTATTCGTCAAGTGAATTTTAGTTATTCATTACATACAAATGTGTTATTCATTTGTTTATTAATGTTGTCCTTTCTTGACATAATGCATCAGTAAGGATAGAGGGAAACAATCGGCTGTTGAAGCAAGTAGAACCATTGAAACTGAAAAAATCCCATAACTAGCTGAAATGATCATCAAGATGAACTCGATCGGTTGAGAATCAAATATTTTGGTAGAGTTGCTGAAATCAAACAATCAACATAAAAGTATCGAGCATCACAGAATCATTCAACACCTTATATGTTAAAAACAATGACTAATTTTTTTGTTCATTTTTTGTCTAGTATAATGCATAATTAGAAATTTGTTAGCTTAGTTGCTTCATTGTAAAATATATTCTCGTTAGTGTTTTAAATCAAAGTTATTCATTCTACTGCGCATTATTCACATACAACCGACATTTTATACATTCATTAATTTATAATTATTCATTTAACAAAACTATATCTATTCTTCATTCTAGTGTTGTTATTCATCTAGGATGGGATCATTATTCATCAAAATTTGTTTCGTTATTCATCTTTGTAAATACTGTTATCCATTTCAAAATTTAAATTTATTTATCCATAACTTTATCACTATAAAAATACCATTATTCATTAACTATATTATCATTATTCATCGATAAGTATATCATTATTCATCCAAACAAATATCGTTATTCCTTAAAATCTTTCAAATTTGACCCTTAATTCTCCAGATTTCATTGTTAATCAGTTAAAATTTTTTGCTGCAATTGATTCTCTAGATTCATAAGTCTCGATGATGAATAATATTCAATTCTACTAAAATAAAATTCATCGTTATACAAAAAGTTTTCTCATAAAATAAAATAAATAAAAAAGCTAATAGGATAAGATATGGAGGTTTGAAACGTGTGCTAAAAAAATGGATAAAATCAAGTGATTTTAATACAGTTTTAATGCGCGTAAGATATGGACTACCAACTCCATTTTCTTTTGCCAATTTTATAATACACACAACTCCTAAATACACATTTGCCATATAGTCGTACGCCATGATGAACACTGTTACTTTGCTGTCCATAAGCTTTCCCGCTAATTCCCACCACCCGTATAATAAAAGCCAAAAGGTGGGAGAAAGAAAAATAATACCAATAAAATAACATGAAAGTATTCACTTTTAACGTGAGCGCATTTTATGGGTGGTTGTACAGTTCACTCCTCACTTCAAATCCAGTCAAGAAGTTCTTTAGGATTCTTGTTTTGATACTACTTTGATTCATTTCATTTGCAGTATTCAACTGAATTCATTGAAACCATGTAAGTTTGCTCATTTTCTGGAATTCTCAATGTGGATAATTTTCTTCCAGAATTGTTATTTGCATGGGTTTTTTGCAGTTCTTTTTTGTTGTGTGATTTTCTGATGATTTTAGGCTTAAATTTTTGTGGGTTTTCTAGGGAGGGTGGATTAAAGCCAATGGATTCAGAGCAATTGAGGGAGTATGCTCACCAGATGGTTGACTTCATCGCTGATTACTACAAGAACATTGAGAACCACCCTGTTCTCAGCCAAGTTCAGGTTTTTAAACTCTGGATTCTTCAACATTAGACAAATTTTACCTGTTATTTTCTCAGAATTTTGGGTTTTTTGGTGACAAGAACTTGATTATAATCTATATGCTGTATTCTTTGCTCTTCAAATCCAAGGAGAGTGCTACTTGTTTATGTTGTTTGATAAAGTAAATTTGTGTTTATGTTCATTTCAATTACTCCCGAGAAAGTCAATAGGTGTGGATAGAGATAAGTGATTTGCATGTGTGGTTCTTGAATTCCTGAGGTTTACTTTTCTTTTCCTCTAATTAGCAAAGTGAAAGTTTTTTCGCCGAATTTGTTCCTAATTGATGTCTAATCTTGCACATCTCTTTGCAGCCTGGTTACCTGCGTGAACTTTTGCCTGAAACTGCTCCAATTCATCCTGAAGCCTTGGAAGATGTTCTTAGTGGTGATTTTTCCGCTTTCTGTGTAAATTTATCCTGGTTGTGTGTTATCACCTGGGTTTGTATTTAACTTGTGGTACATGTCAGGAGGATGACTTTATTTTCAAGTACAGCAATTGATACTATTAAGTATAGAACAGTTGGCAAGTAGCACTAAACTGTTCTATACTATTTAAGTATAGAACAGTTGGCAAGTAGAGATGATATAAGTGGGAGTAGCATTGATTTTTTACCAATTCATGTAACAAATAAATTTCTCTGATAAGTTGATTATAGTAGTTTCTTACTTACTACTTATTCATATGTAGTGCACATGCAGAATCATATTGACACAAGTGAAACATTCTGTATCTGCAGATGTTCAGTCAAAAATATTTCCAGGAGTTACCCATTGGCAAAGCCCAAACTTTTTTGCATATTACCCTTCCAATAGCAGCATTGCTGGATTCCTTGGAGAAATGCTCAGTGCAGGAATCAACATGGTAGGGTTTAGTTGGATAACTTCTCCTGCAGCCACAGAACTGGAGATGATTGTCCTGGACTGGCTTGCCAAAGCACTTAACCTGCCTGATGATTTTCTATCAACAGGTAAAAATTTCAATAATAATCATGTGGAGATAGCCCAATGTTTTTTCATTCAGGCTCTCTAATTTTAATGATTGAAATGTGATCTCCCCAAATTATGGGAGCTTCTTCATTGTTTGTCCAAGGCTCATCAAGTTAGATGCATTCTCAAGTAATTTAGCTTGAGAATGCATTAGTTGATCCAAGTGATAAGCTTTTCTTTGTCATTCAAACTGTCTTGGTTCGTTGAGATGATTTCTCTAACCAAGTCTTGATTTCAGGTTTAGGTGGTGGTGTGATACAGGGCACAGCAAGTGAAGCTGTTTTAGTAGTCCTTTTGGCTGCTCGTGATAAAGTTCTTAGAAGTATTGGAAAGGATGCCCTTGGAAAGCTTGTAGTTTATTCTTCTGATCAAACTCATTCAGCCCTACAGAAAGCCTGCCAGGTTGGGTACATACATATATTGTAAAAAATAAAGAGCTCCCCCGTCACAATAAAAAAATAAATAAATAAATAAATAAATGTTAAATACAAGCTGCTTGCTAGGCCTAAATTGTTATGAATGTTGATATTTCTTGACTTTCTTTTGCCCGTATATTTTGTGACAGATAGCAGGAATTCACCCGGAGAACTGTAGGGTGCTGAAAACAGACTCCTGCGATGATTATGCTCTCTCTCCTAAGGCACTTAGTGAAGCAATAACGCATGATCTATCAGTTGGCTTAGTACCTTTCTTCTTATGTGCCACTGTAAGGAAGTACAAGAAGAATTTTATGCCATATTTTCAATAGTTTGATTTTATTGGTTGCTTTATTATTAGATTTTTTTTCTATTCTCAATAATGTTGTTGGTGATAATGGTACTCTATATATTGAAAAAAGTAATGGAACATAATATAGGTTTTTTTTTTTCTATTTTCAGTCATTTGAAAAGGAAATTCAGAGCTTTTGGTTAGATATGGATTCTGTTAGTTGGTTTGATTGAGTGCTTTGATGTCGTAATTCTGTTTCTTGTTTTCTATGTCCTATGTTGATGAAGCATTGGTTTTTTCCCAAGCTTTAAAGTTCGGGTCATTGAGTGAAATAGTGAGACATATTTCAATTCTGCTTGCATGTATCAAACAACTTCAATTGTGGAAAATTTTGATGAACTGAAGGAGTTTCGGTGTACTTCCAACAGGTCGGTACAACATCATCAACGGCTGTTGACCCATTGCTTGCATTGGCAAAGATTGCAAAGGTAAACCACTGAACTCGAAGAGATGTTGCAAACAGTGAAGTTAGGCACTTGTTCTCTCTTTCTTCTCTTTTTCTTCTTTAATGATTTACTAGGGATTGGTTTGTATAGATATCATTACTTTTATCTTGATTGAATATTAGTAGTGCAAAATTTTCTGATTAACCTGTACCAATTGGTGCCTTTAGCTTACTTATTGAGTAAATAATAATGAGTTTTTAAAATTCAATCTATTAAAACGAGAATTTCTACTTTCAGATATTTATCACTATACCCCAACTTTTGTACCGCAGCAAAATTTCTTTCTGACAGTCTGTTATGTGTGTTTTTCCGCTTTAAAGGACAATGGAATATGGCTTCATGTGGATGCTGCCTATGCTGGCAGTTCGTGCATATGTCCAGAATTTCGGCACTATCTTGATGGTGTTGAAGAAGCTGACTCCTTCAATATGAATGCACATAAGTGGTTCCTGACTAACTTTGATTGTTCGGCCCTTTGGGTTAAGGTATGTGTTTCTGTTGGCATCCCTGCTCTGTATTTCAGTGCGAGCAATATCACTCTTAGTCTAGGAAATTTCACTATTATTCACGTCAAAACTGTGTTTGACCATACTCTCCTTTTCACAGGATCGAAGTGCTCTAATTCTGTCACTGTCAACAAATCCAGAGTTTCTCAAAAATAAAGTGGGTACTTTCACTTGTGCTCTATATCTACCTTCATAAATATTACTGGTGTGAATTTTGTAAGAGCAAACTTCAAAGGAGTTTTGTGTTTGTGACAGATGTCTAGTATTATCACTACTAAGAAGAAGGAATGCTATTGATCTGAAGCTGAAAACTATATCATGCTATTTATAGAAGCCTCTATGACATGATGTCTGATAATTAAAATTTAGCAGCTTAAAAGGTATCGTGTCAGGGGAGATAATGGGGGAAAACTAAAGGTAACATGTCAGGAATCTTGCGGAATTTGCAAGCTGACATTAAGCAACAAATTAATTTTGGGCTCATTTCTTTTTCGCGTTATCTGTTTGAAAGTTTCTGCCTATTTTGCATGTGGTTGGGATACGAAAGGACTTGCTAACCTCAATCTTTTGTTTTATCAGAATTTATTACCATTAGTACACCGTATTGGACTTTTATGTGCTGTCTGCAACTCTTAGCTAAATGATATGATGTTGCATGTCTTTTCTATCAAAGTTTTAGTTATTTCTTTGAGTAAATCGATGGTTCTTTGACACATCATAACTTCACTCGTCGAATGATTTTTCAGGCTTCAGAGAGAAATCTGGTTGTGGATTACAAAGACTGGCAAATTCCTCTTGGGCGCAGGTTTAGGTAGGAAACCAATCATTTCCGAAATATCTGATTGTTGAAAATTGTAGAAGTCCGACAACCAGCACCCCTTGTTTCTGGGTTATGATGTTCTTTTCTAATAGTTACATGGACTTAGAAGTTTTTTATAGAAAGATTCAAGGGGAGCCCAACTGTATCTATAATAGATGTAGTCAGAGGATTTAGAATCCAGACAAGTTGATACACCCAATTACTTGGGTCTAGTATGGTATGTGGACGGTTTTCAGCAGCCATCGAGTGCCAGCTGCTAGTGAACAAATAAATTTTTTTCAAATTTATTACCTTGTTTCTATCTCAAAGCATGGTGATAATGCTTTCCCTGATTAATCTCTTATCTTGCATTCATGGTAAAGTTCCTGTCGTACAGATCGCTGAAATTGTGGATGGTGTTGAGACTTTATGGACTGGAAAACCTTCAAGCTTACATTAGAAATCACATCAAATTGGCTGGACTCTTTGAAGAACTTGTCAATCAAGACTCCAGATTTGAGGTAACTACACAGATTTCTGATACATGTTCCTTTTATGTCAATTAATCTTCTATTATATTGAATTATTTTCTTTTGGAAATATGACACAGTAATTAGCCAGAACTCTTGTGCTTTAGGCTTTAGCAATGCTTTCTGTAACAAAGTTGTTTGTCTTCCATTTCTTTTTATTCTGTGCAGATAGTAGCCCCACGGAAATTTTCTCTTGTTTGCTTTCGGCTTCTGCATCAGCAAGACGATGATTCTGCTAACAAAGTGAATCATGACCTCCTGGATGCTGTCAATGCAACAGGAAGGATATATATATCTCACACAGTATGCTCAAGTCCACCTTTTATGTTTGCATCAAGACATTTCTGATATGGAATTTCCTTTACTTAAAACACTTTTTTTACTTAGGGCCCTTCTTCTATATTTGGTGATCATTAATGCACATTTGCACAAATATTGTAGGTTTTGTCAAATAAATACACGTTGAGGTTTGCTGTTGGAGCTCCACTGACTGAAGAAAAACATGTTGTTGATGCTTGGAAGATTTTACAGGATGAGGCTTCAACTCTGTTAAGGTCTCTCTAAAGTATAATAAGCTCCTCCCCCCAGTTAATCCAATGCAAGGGATATGATTTATCCTCTTCCCTCTCTATATTCAAATGCAAATTTTTAAGGATGGTAACGAAGAAATCGGGGGCAGTACTCATTTTATTGGTCTGATTGGTCACTGCATTAAGAATGCGGGGAAACTCTAAGAACATTTTTGTTTCTATATCCAGCTGCTCCGCTTGTAGCCACATTGTGACACTTTTATACTCTGTTACTGCATTTGGGTTTTTGCTTTCTCTGTAACTCGATACATATGATACTTGTGGGATAACTCTCGTGTGCATTGGGCATCTTAGGTAGAATAATTTGGGAAAGAATGAATCTCTAGTAAGGATATTCAGCGGAAGATGCTGTCCTTTTTTCTTTTTTTTTTCTCCCTATCAGCAAGGCCTAAAAGGTTGTCTGGTTTATAGTTATAGCACAAAACCTACCTATATATCCTATTCTCCAATAGCCTAAAAGTTGGCTGGTTATGTGTGAGATGAGTACTAGTACGTGGCAATATCTTTATATTCTTAATATATGGTATTTTGATTTGTCTTAAGTTTAACCTAATACATATTTTTAATCGACGAAAAATCTTAAAAATATTTCATAACAATCAAGAGAACTAAACGAATGTGAAAATATATTTTTAAGATTTTTTTGTCAATAAAAAATATGTACTAGGTTAAACCTAGATAAAATTAAAATGATTTATATTAAGAATCGGAGGGAGTACTAGTAAATGCTAATTCCAGTAAATGCTGATTGCAGAATCCAACAGAAAAACGACATTAAAGATTGGGTTTCTTATCTTTCATCAATCCTGCTCTGGAGAGTTTTCCGCATTCCAAGTTTTATGGATCCCAAAAGCCTTGAGATTTCTCTTTCACTCTTTTCCCCCCTTTGTGTCAGTTGTGTGTCATACTGCAAGTTGTACTGTAAATGGTGAATAAAACTGCAACATCCTCTTGGATTGTGATTGTGTTGGTGGTGGGAGAAAAAGCTCCAACAAGAAACATGTTTACTAAAAAAGATTGCAGGATTGGGAATGAATGCTCCTGAAAGGGGATTTTCAGGAATATGATCAGAAGTATTTCTTCTGTCTCAAAATTATTGTCTAATTTAAGATTTCACTTTTAGTACAATTTGAATTAAAAATGGAAACCCAAATTGGACAATAATTATGGGATGGAGGGAGTATAAGATAGGACAATCAACAAATTGAACGGCTACTACTCCCTTCAGTCCTTAATATAAGGTATTTTGATTTGTCCTAAATTTAATCTAATATATATTTTTAATTGAGAAAAAAATATTAAATATATTTCATAATAATCAAGACAATACAACGAATGTGAAAATATATTTTTTTAAGATTTTTCGTTAATTAAAAATACGTATTAGGTGAAACCAGGACAAAATAAAAAATGTCTTATATTAAGTATCGGGAGGGAGTACTTTTTATTTCCCACCTACATTTTTCTTTCTTCACTCTTTTTTTTTTTTGGCTGAAAGAATGCCCGATTCGAGAGGGAAGGAACTACGAAACAGATCTTTAAAGTGGTCCAAAACTCCAAACTTCAAAAGTAAACGTCGTACGGAACTTTTGTTGTTGTTCCGCAGTGGCATTATGGACTACTAGTATCACTATCAACAATTATAAAAACTCGTAGTAGTATTTCTTTTCTTTTTCTTTTCATCATACAGTATAGTATATGGCGGTGAGACTCGAATATTAACCTCATATTTGAGTCGTGTATCAAAAAAAAAAAAAAAACCTCATATTTGAACTGTTTGTTCTTGTGGTTTTGAGTTATTTGTTCGTTATTGATTATATATTGCTTCTGTTCCAAAATAATTATTCAGTTTGGATTTTTATTTTTAATTCAAATCACGCTAAAAATAAAAATCTAAAATACACAATGATTTTGGGACAAAGATAATAATTAAGACAAATTACTAGGAGTAACGACCACAATTAAATCAGACGTACTAGTTAACCTTTCATTTTCTTTTCTTCTTCCTGTTGGTCTTCTATCCTGTGGATTACATCGTTAGGATTAGCCGTACGTAGTATTATGGTTGTGTTTCATTGTGAATGGCAAAAAGATGGCAATTTGAAGTAAAGGTTTATTTTAGCATTACTGGATTTGAGATTTGAGAGCAAACAGCAAATGGATAGACTGATAAGGTAGTACCTATATGCCAATTTTAGGTGTCCTTTGCATCTCAACATGATGTTATTATTATTAGCTGGAATCCACTGTAAAAAACAAGTTTGATCTCTAAGCCGACCAAAAAATGTGTTCTTGACGTGTAAAGGGATTTGCAAAAAGGAGTAGTTTTCAGAAGTTTTTGGTGTACTTCTTTTTCGCCTTCTCTTTCTCTTTGCTGAGCCTCAATTCATCCATGGGTGCATTATCACCTAACAGAAGTGATCTAATGCGATGGACATTTGGCCATCGTTGAGCTAGTGTTGTGGTCATGATTTTGATTAAAAAAAAAATAATTAAAAAAAAAATGTTGAAAGAATTCTATAACAATTGACGTGTCATTTATAATGGTGAAAAAAAACAACATCAAATTAGAAATTTGTCATATTATATTGTTTGCTTTTTCAACAACTTACTATTTTAAGACAGTTTTTTTGTTTTTTTTTTTTATTTGTAATGTTAATCGATGTTGCTGAGTTAGGCAAAGTCGAAAGTGTAACTTCGAGTTCTAATTAGGCTTTGCTTTTTCTTCTTCTTCCTTTTTTTTTTTTCTTTCCATTTAATGGTTTTCTGAATCAGAATTCAGAGATAGAAAAAAGGAAAATAAAGGGTATTTTGCATTTAGTGGTTTCACTAAAACCTTTTCTTGTGTCTTTACTGTGGACTTTACTGCATTAGTTTAATAAATCCAGCAAATTGTGTTACTCTAAAAGAAACCTTTTTTGCTCTCATACGAATGAAATTTTATGGGACAATGTCAAGCATGTAAACTGCAAATTTCGTATCAATAATTAACAATGTGATCTTTATGAAAAATTGCGCTTTTTTCTTTTTACCTGTTTCGATTAGATGATTTTACATTACTTTTTTTTATGACGGACATTTTGAACAAATACATAAATATACAGTAGTATGAGTATTTTTTAAATTTATTATTATTATTATTATTATTATTATTATTCGTTTGGTGCCATTAGGTGCAGTAAATAAATACACAAACCATGCAAACTTTATGCAATACCTTCTTTTTTCCAATTTTCATTCTGGCTCGAGGTTTTTTTTTTTTTTTACATATTACTACTAATTATAATAAAAATGGGAAAATACAAAGAAAAAGAGATGGGAGAATTTTCTGTATGTGAGTATGTTTTTATATTAATTCCCATATATGTCATTGTCACATGCAGTAGTCACTGTCCAAAATTGTTATGTTGCTGTATTCGAAATGATTATTTTTTTAAAAAAAATTTGTCGAAGTTACCAACTTCGACTGTTAATGAAATTAAATAGTGCGATGATAACTTGATAAGAGCCGAAAGCTTATCAGCATATCGTATTCACGCTAAGGCCTTCGTGTCATTTTCTCACCTCCAATTGCAATAAACAGCAATTAAAGAAGTTTATTCCCCGTAGTTTGAACTTATATTTTTTCCATAACTTAAATTAAAAATTAAATCAAAACTGAACAATAATTTTGGACGAATAATAATATATATAAAGAATTATTTCTTAATGTAATCATTATTATTATTTTCAAGTATTAATGTCTTGTTTTTTTACTATTATGGTCTCTTTATTCAGAATTCACAATATCAAAGCCCGTTATATTAATCATATCATCATAAAAGAAATTTTTAGCGAATCTCGCGATTCATCGATAAATTACCATTTCTTAGAAAATCTTACTCTAAGAATGTATGCACCTTAAAATCTTTATACTAACAAACATCAAAAGTTTCCGAAATTTTCAGTAATTGCTTAAGTGTGTACACACACTAACATAGTAAGTATTTCCTTAACAAAGAAAAAACTACATCCTGGTGTAATTGCTGTAACAGTTTCCGGATTGATGGCTTGATGCTAACAAACCAAATCTTGATTCCTTTAATAAGAGGACAATTACGCTAAAATCACGAAACGTATTCTCAATAAAATTAGGTCTAATGATGGTTAACTTTCTAACGATAATGCATACACTCTTTAGACTTCTCCAAGGCTGGTAATTGAATAAACACATTCTCAAAAATATACAAATATTTATACGAGTGAAGGGTCAAGAGAAAATGACTAGTTTGGAAAAATGTACTTTAATCATACAGTCAAGAGAAAACGACTATTCGTATTCTTTTGGTTCTCTGAATTACATGTGGTACTTGCAAATCTAACAATTTACTATCATCATTACTTTCAGGAAGGCGCTTATATCATCCGGCTAAGTTTTGTTCCTTGTTCACAGTATTATAATCAGACATTGTGTGTGTGTGTGTGTTTTTTTTTTTTTTTTTTTTTAGAAGAGGTTTATTATACTTTTTGATCTGTGATTAATTAACTTATTTACCCCTTCAATCAATTACTACTACTCAAGAAGGAAAATATATTAGTTCCCTTAATTCCATAGAGCAGATGACAAATCGGGAGAGAGTAAAGAGTAAGGACTTTGTATTTCTTTTTTTAGCCTAAAAAAGAACACTTAAGATAAAACTTCCTAAAAATGGTAATGCCACAAATAAATAAAAGTTACCATGATGTAAAACACACACACACACACACCAGATTTCGATGATAACAATGAAATTCCTTTATTTGGTTCTTTACTTCAAATAACTCCATGCAGACAAAAAAAAAAATAAAAAATAAAAAACTTCCTCTTAAATAATTCGACCTAGTTCTACAATATTATTCTAATAATTTTTCATGTTACCCTAAATCATCAATCAATAATAAATAAGGTACTACCATAATTGCAGCAGTGATCTCATCTTAAATGAACAAAAATTCCGACACATTAAATTAGTTTAATTCGATCCCTTGGCCACCCAAAAAAGGAAAAAATTTCTTCCGGTTTTGTGTGATTTTTGATCTCCGAGTGAGAACAAAAAAAAAAAAAAAAAGAAAACCCCACCTCCGCCCACCACCACCACCTGTCCTTTCTTCAACCTTCAAACGTCAGCCAAAAACTCTCTGTTTCGTCGAAGTCCTAATCCATCACGGCAGTGTCCTTTTTTGCCATTTACATTAAAAAGAAAAGAAAATTTTCTTTTGGAAGAAAAACACAGGCCACAGGTAATTACAGAACGTGGAAATCCCAAATCAATTACAACCAGTTTTGACGACAAGAGTTCAGCACTATAGTTTTTTTTTTTTAAGCTTATAATATTATAAAACTAGAATTATTTATTGTAGTATAAAAGATTGATTCTTTTTAAAGCCCAATGCATATAATGATAATGTTTGTTAATAATTAGTATAAACAAGGTATATATAAGCCGCATGATGATGGATTCTAATATGGATCGCTCTTCTTTGTGTCGTCAGCCGTCATCTCACCACCTCATGAGATGGGTCGGTGTGATTCTGTCTTCTTCTTCTTCTTTCCAGTTTCCTTCATGTTATTAAGCAAGCAAGCTTCCCCTTTTGAGCTGCTGATTATAATAAATTTTTTTTTTCCAATTTATGGGTTTTGGGGATAATAATAATAGAGATTTTTCCGAAGAGTTGTTTCTTCTTCCTATTCGAGTAGTAGTATTAGTAAAAATTGTTATATCCTTCTTTGTTACTGTTGTTTGTGCTGCATTCACAATAAACATTCGTTTTGAGGCTTTTTTTTTTTTTTTTGGTGTGTGTATTGCGCTTTGCAGAATTGCCTCGGGGCAATCTCCACCGGGCTCGCTAACCAATTTTCCGAGGAAACTAACAAAGACCCAGGTCATATCTTTGGATTTTATTGAAGAGATTTTTGGTTTCCTATTCGATTTTTTCCTCTTCTCTCTTTCCCTTCTCTTTCTTTCTTCCCCCACCCCTTTTTTTGTCTATTTGCAAAAATGTATTAGCTTTTTGCAGAGAGATAACATAGAGAGAGAGAGAGAGAGAGAGGGAGAAAGAAAGATGGTATTGTACTTGTTTTGTTGTGTGCATTTTTGGGTTATCCTGTATTATTATTATTTTTTTTCCCTTTTGCTCCCAATTTTTTTTTGGCTGTTTTCTGCGTGATGGTTTGTTGTGAATGATGAAATCCTGTTTTTGTGTTTATTTGCATTTCTTTTGGTACAGATTCTCCTCTTTGCTTGACCCGTCATCACTTCCACCGTTCGCTCGCCTTACACTCGGCAGCCATCACCGCTGCACTCCTCAGATGCCGAAATACTGAAATGCCCTTCTCAAGATTTGATCTTTATCTTTCCCCTTCCTTGCTCTATTTGTTCTTCAGCAGTGATTTAGTGAGGCGGCTTTCAGTACTTTCTTTTTCACTTCTTTTCTCCAATCAACGGAAACATTGGTTTTATCATCACCACCACCCTCAGAGGCTGCTGCGGCTGTGACAATGGCTACTTTCAGTCATTATTTCAGCTCTGCTAGCAGTATTATCCCTTCTTCTAATCCCCTGCCATTTGAATTCCTCGGCACTACTTTCCAAAGCTTCCCTACATTGGAACTGTCATCGGTTTGCATCAACCTTACACTCGTCCTTTTGCTGCTCTTCATTGTGTCTGCCAGGCAGATTTATCTCTGTGTTGGCCGGGAAAGAGCTCGCAAGGATGAGTCCAGTGGCGGCCCTGTTCAGGTTGGTGGCCGGGGGGAGGATGTGGATGATCAGAGCATTGTGATTTCTGGAAGCTACAAGGCTGCTTTCTTGTCTTGCTTCTATGTGTTATTCATCAATGTTGTGGTTTTGGGTTTTGATGTGATTCGTTCCATAAGGGCTGCTGCCCAGGATCATCCTGCCCATTTGTCCCTCTTGATCTTCCCTGCAGCTCAAGCTGTGGCCTGGTTTGTTCTGAGTTTTTCAACCATTTACTGCAAGTATAAAGCCACTGAGAAATTCCCTTTGCTCTTGAGGATTTGGTGGGTTCTGTCTTTCGCCATTTGCTTGTTCTCTCTGTATGTTGATGTGACTGGTCTTGTTCGAGAAGGCTCGAAACACTTGAACAATTCTCATGTTTTGGCTAACATCGCTTCGACCCCTGCTCTTGCTTTCCTCTGCTATGTGGCAATCAAAGGGGCAACTGGTATTCTGGTGTGTAGGAATTCCGATCTCCAAGAGCCATTGCTCTTTGAAGAAGAAGAAGCTGCTGTTCCAAAAGTTAGTCCTTACAGTGAAGCTGGTCTTTTTAGCTTGGCCACTCTTTCCTGGCTGAATCCTCTTCTTTCCATTGGTGCTAAGAGGCCACTGGAAATGAGAGACATCCCCAATCTTTCACCAAGAGATCGTGCAAAGGTCAATTACAAACTACTGAATTCAAACTGGAAAAAGATGAGAGCTGAAAATCCTTCAAGGGAACCATCCTTAGCTTGGGCCATTCTCAAGACCTACTGGAAGGAGGCGGCTTGGAATGCAATTTTTGCGGCAATCAACACCCTGGTGTCATATGTCGGTCCATACTTGATCAGCTACTTTGTGGATTACTTGGGAGGGAAAGGCACTTTCCCACATGAAGGATACATTCTTACTGGTATTTTCTTTGCAGCAAAGTTGGTGGAGACATTAACAACCCGTCAATGGTATCTGGGGGTAGACATTATGGGAATGCATGTGAGATCAGCTCTAACAGCAATGGTGTATCGCAAAGGCCTCAAGATATCAAGCTTGGCCAAGCAGAACCACACAAGCGGAGAGATTGTTAACTACATGGCGGTTGATGTTCAAAGAGTAGGGGACTACTCTTGGTATCTTCATGACATCTGGATGCTACCTCTCCAGATTATTCTTGCCCTTGCAATATTGTATAAAAATGTAGGGATTGCATCCGTTGCGACATTGATTGCCACCATTATATCCATCGTGGCAACAGTACCGCTGGCAAGGCTTCAGGAAGAGTATCAAGACAATTTAATGGCTGCAAAGGATAACAGAATGAGAAAGACATCTGAATGCCTCAAGAACATGAGAATTCTCAAGTTGCAAGCGTGGGAGGATAGATACAGATCAATTTTGGAGGAAATGCGAAGCGTGGAATTCAAATATCTCCGGAAAGCTCTTTACTCCCAAGCTTTTATCACATTTATTTTCTGGAGCTCTCCCATATTCGTTGCAGCTGTCACATTCGGCACTTGCATACTGTTGGGTGGACAGCTCACCGCAGGAAGTGTGCTGTCTGCTCTGGCAACTTTCAGAATTTTGCAGGACCCGCTGAGGAATTTCCCTGACTTGGTGTCTATGATGGCTCAGACAAAAGTATCACTTGACAGGATAGCTGGATATTTGTTGGATGAAGATTTACGAGAAGATGCAACAATTGTTTTACCCCAAGGCGTGACAAATGTGGCTATTGAAATCACTGATGGTGAATTCTCCTGGGATCCAGCTGCCTCAAGGCCAACATTGTCAAATATACAATTGAAAGCAGAGAAAGGGATGCGTATCGCTGTCTGTGGCGTGGTTGGTTCGGGGAAGTCTAGCTTTCTTTCCTGCATACTTGGGGAGATCCCGAAAAGATCAGGAGAAGTAAGTCATAATATATGAAGTTTTTTCCTTTTTGGTTTTGCTTACTTTTTTTGTTGTTAGCTCTGAGATTTTATTTATTTTTTTTCTTTCTCACTTTTGATCATAAATCTGTTGCCAGGTTAAAATTTGTGGCTCTGCCGCTTATGTGCCTCAATCAGCATGGATACAGTCCGGGACGATCGAGGACAACGTACTTTTCGGTAATCCCATGGATAAACCACGATACAAGAGGGTCGTTAATGCATGTTCTCTTAAAAAGGATTTTGAACTATTTTCTCATGGAGATCAGACAATAATTGGTGATAGAGGCATAAATCTTAGTGGTGGTCAAAAGCAAAGGATACAGCTTGCTAGGGCGCTCTATCAAGATGCGGATATTTATTTACTTGATGATCCCTTTAGTGCTGTAGATGCACACACGGGGTCAGAGTTATTTAGGGTTAGACTCTTTACTCAATATTTGATCTTTGCCTGCCAATTTTATATGCTTTGGCTGAAGATGTCATTCTGTTTCTGCAGGAGTATATAGTGTCAGCATTATATTCGAAGACCGTTGTGTATGTCACTCATCAAGTGGAATTTTTACCAGCTGCTGATTTGATACTGGTATGGCATTTTCTTATTACTCACATTCTTATATTTTCATTCCTTAACTGTCATAGTTATCTGGCAGTTGAGTTCGATTAATGCATGGAGTTATAGTTGGTTTTCAGATGAACAGTTATCCTTTACTATTAGTGGCTTGAAGTGCATCGGATGACTTTAATTCTGTTGCCAAATCCACCCTGTTTTTGTCCTAAAATCTTTGAGCTTACCAGTTTAGACTTGCTGTTTGTTGACTGGACAATGTTGGAGATTATTTTTCTGGAAACATAAACCTTTAAATTTGAGCAAGTACTGATTGTGAGTGGAGAGAAGCATTTCTCTGTTTGTTTGCTGGTTCAAAATGGTTATGAACAGAAATTATTCTGTCGTTGATGAAAACAACTAGAATACCAAATCATTTGAGTGGTTTTTTCGTGAGAGGTCTAATCACAGGGGGAGCGGTTTGTCGTTTAGTTTATTGTCAATATATTGCCGAATGGCGGCTGCTAATGCTTTCCGCACTTGATAATTGGTATGATAAGAAAATACACGTAGGCAGAGCATATTACATGCTTTTTGATAGTTATAAAATGGCAACTTGCGGACAGATGAGGTTGACGTCAATTAAACCGACAATGTAAAATGACTTAAATTCTCCTTCCGTATATTTTCTTCCTATTTTCCTGTAGTGTAATTAATGTTGTTTGGTTGCAGCTCCATGCATTCACTAAATGATCAAAAAGGAGGTGGACTCCTTAGTCAAACATTTGATACTTTATCAGAAATTGCATGAGTCTGCAGAAGACTAATCTTATTAATTGCAGGTCCTTAAGGATGGTCATATCACTGAAGCTGGTAAATACGATCAGCTTTTGCAAGCTGGAACAGATTTTGAAACTTTGGTTTCAGCGCACCATGAAGCAATTGAAGCTATGGATTTTTCGAGTCAGTCATCTGAAGAATCAGATAAACACCAACATCTTGAAGGATCTGTGTTGATGAGTAAAAAATGTGAATCGATTGGAAATAATATGGACACTCTAGCAAAGGAAGTTGAAGAAGGAGCGTCAACTTCAGAAAAGAAGCAGATAAAGGAGAAAAAGAAAAATAAACGTTCCAAGAAAAAGCAGCTTGTCCAGGAAGAGGAGAGAGAAAGAGGGAAAATTAGCATGAAAGTGTATTTATCATATATGGCAGCTGCCTATAAGGGCTTGTTAATTCCGCTCATTGTTCTTGCACAGACCTTATTTCAGGTGCTTCAAATTGCAAGTAGCTGGTGGATGGCTTGGGCTAATCCACAGACCTCAGGAGATCAGCCTAGAACTAGTAATGTTGTACTCATTGGTGTTTACATGGCCCTTGCATTTGGCAGCACGTGGTTTATATTTGTTAGGTCTGTCCTGGTTGCGACGTTTGGTCTTGCAGCTTCACAGAAATTGTTCCTTAAGATGCTCAGATCCATATTTCGAGCACCAATGTCTTTCTTTGACTCCACACCTGCTGGTCGGATACTGAATCGAGTAAGTTGATAAGTTTACTGAATCTTATAAGTTGATAAGTTTCAGTGTCCAGATTTATCCTGTCCAGATACTTTGTGGAAAAAAAGCACCATTCCTACATTATTTTATGCTGTTTGCACTAATAGGATCTATGCTTCTGCCAGGTCTCAGTTGATCAAAGTGTTGTTGATCTTGATATCCCTTTTAGGCTCGGTGGCTTTGCTTCTACAACAATTCAACTTATTGGCATTGTTGGTGTCATGACCGACGTTACCTGGCAAGTTTTGCTCCTTGTGGTCCCCATGGCGATATCATGTTTGTGGATGCAGGTGGAGTTTGCTTTTAACACCTCAAATCTTCTATTGCCTCTTGATAGATTTCTTTCTGCTCTTTGATTGAGTGCATTTATTATGGTTGAGTCATTGAGGGATGATTTAATATCAGCTGACATAAAGTTTTACTTAAAATAAAGAGAGATAAAATTACTTTGGATTGGAGTTATTTGAAAATTTTCCTGATGATTCAGAAGAAACTGCCACTTGTCTTGCTTGCATATAGGGCTATCCGAACTCCATGTTTAACTGTACTATCATTAGTTTTCTTGTCGACGGTTGCGAATCAATGGCTTTGTTTAAATATGTGTTTGATTGTTACGGCAATAAAAAGTGCAACTCCAAAATCAGTCAAGAAACTTCTGTGTAAATAATATTGTCTTTCCTAAAATGGTAACATGTGAGATATTTGGTGATGATTGAAATTTTCTTCAGGACATATATTACCATCCATCTTCTTAGGGCATGAGCTCCTGTTTGGGACTCATTCTTGATTGGTAAGAGTTATCTTCTGAAAAGGTGAACAAGTCCTTGCTGTCAAATCTTTTTCTGTTGACTAGTTAGATGATTCTGAAGAAATTTCAAATCATTACGTTACTACTGTTCCCAGCTTTATGAGCATCTTGTCTGTTATATGCAACTTCTTTAATGTTAATCTGAATTTTACGACTAAGTCATATAGATGTCATCCAAGAGAACGAAAATCTCTGCAAATTGGCTTTGAAATGGAATTGCTTATACTGAACCTATGAAACCATAATCTTCAGAGGTTTTTTTTGGAAATTATTAATTTCATTGGTTTGATAAAGTAATTTTCATAAACATAGTACGTCATCCAAGCCATATTTAACAGCTGAATTAAATACAACTTGAAATGGAAATTAGAAAATATTTTAGGACTGACTTGAACTAGAAATCTTTAACTTGTGCTGATCGTAAATATCCTCAAATAAGTGCAGAAGTATTATATGGCTTCGTCAAGGGAGTTGGTCCGAATTGTTAGCATCCAGAAGTCTCCAATTATTCATCTCTTTTCTGAGACCATTGCTGGGGCCGCTACAATCAGAGGTTTTGGACAAGAAAAGAGATTCATGAAGCGGAACCTTCAACTTCTTGATAGTTTTGCTCGCCCATTTTTCTGCAGTCTTGCTGCAATTGAGTGGCTCTGCCTGCGAATGGAGTTGCTCTCAACATTCGTGTTTTCTTTTTGCATGGTTCTACTTGTGAGCTTCCCCCATGGAAGTATAGATCCCAGTATGTTCTTTACACTTAAAATTTTCGATGAAAATTATGATTAAATTAATGCTGAAAAGTTATCTTGCTACTGAAAATTTTCTGATAATAAACCTTTGGTGAACAGCCATGGCAGGACTTGCTGTTACATACGGCCTCAATTTGAATGCTCGATTGTCCCGGTGGATACTCAGCTTCTGCAAGCTTGAAAATAAAATTATCTCCATTGAAAGAATTCATCAGTACTGTGACATTCCTAGTGAAGCACCCGCATATATTGAGGATTCTCGTCCACCTTCTGCATGGCCACAAACGGGAACAATTGAACTCGTTGATCTGAAGGTGTGTAGTTTATCTCAAAGAACTTGTTTATTTCATTTTACTGCTACAGTTGTCAAACTCAATTTGTCGTGAATTTTCTGGAAAAATTTAAGTATCTGAAAACATTATTTATGCATCCTATTCTTCATTATCTATTTTGTTCAGATGTTACCATAACTAAATGACAAATAGGAACCATCTTTTGACTGTTACAGTTAAAGAGTATCATAGTGTTCTTGTACACCACAGATATCATTGAACAAAAAGTAAGATCCTGAATATTGTTTTTCTTTCTCCTTAGGTACGCTATAAAGAGAGTCTTCCAGTTGTGCTTCATGGTGTTTCCTGCATGTTTCCTGGGGGTTGTAAAATTGGAATTGTTGGTCGTACTGGAAGTGGCAAGTCAACGTTAATCCAGGCACTCTTTCGACTGGTGGAACCAGCTGGCGGTCGAATTATAATAGACAACATTGACATATCAACAATCGGGCTTCATGATCTTCGTAGCCGGCTAAGCATAATACCCCAAGATCCTACACTGTTTGAAGGGACAATTAGATGTAACCTTGACCCCCTTGAAGAGCATTCTGATCATGAAATATGGCAGGTACATCTGAATATTCTTCTTTTTCTGGTTTCCCCTGACCCAATGATTAGACATCGTAAGGAAGGAAAACTGGTTACTTTAACCAGAGCGCTTTTAGAGTTCACTTGCCATGAAGATGAGATGTATACTGTCATTATAACATACTCTCTCTTAAACTTAATTTTACCTCCCTTCCTGTGAATGCTTGACTATTCATATAAGACAATTTGGATTAGCATGTGTATTTAATGCCTCAATCTATGAACATCATATACTTCACAAATAAATGTATAAAGCCGCGCGTAGTTAATGCATGAGTTGGCTTCTATTTGTTTTTTCTCGAAAAGTACTTATTTTAAATCTTCACAGGCGCTGGATAAATCTCAGCTTGGAGATATAGTTCGTCAAAAAGATCAGAAACTTGATACACCTGGTATGTATAACCTTCTATGAATGAAGTACGGAGTAAGGATCCTTTCTTTGCATGAGACTAATACCTAGTATCTATGGGACAGTTATTGAAAATGGAGATAATTGGAGTGTTGGCCAACGGCAACTTGTGTCCCTTGGACGGGCGTTGCTTAAACAGGCAAGGATTTTGGTGCTTGATGAAGCCACGGCTTCAGTGGATTCAGCAACTGATAACCTTATTCAGAAGATCATTAGGACTGAGTTCAAGGATTGCACAGTTTGCACTATAGCCCATCGTATTCCTACAGTTATTGATAGCGATCTTGTTCTGGTCCTCAGTGATGGTAAGTTTTATTTGCCCAGTTCGGGATTTTCCATGGACATTTCTGCTCAAGAGTTTTGCCCCAAAAATCAATACTGGATGACAATTTATGAACTCAAGAGTTGAAAGCAATTTGATGAGGTTTGCATGCTCTGGTCTTAATATGACCAATTCATGGGGTGGAGTGTTATTCAAAAGATAATTTAGCCAATTCGTTGATGTTTGATTTGTTTCTATCCTTCATGTCAACCTTTTTTTAACTTGCAAACCTGTTTACTTGTTTGAACAAGGTTTTAATGGGGATATATATGGCAATACTGATATCACGATCAACATTCTTTGGGAAACTTTAGAATATCCGTAAAAGATAGTTCTGACATTTTTTACTTTACGATCAATTGTTGCTCAGGCCGAGTTGCAGAATTCGATACCCCAGCTCGGCTACTAGAGGACAAGTCATCCATGTTTCTGAGGTTGGTGTCAGAGTATTCAACAAGGTCCAGCAGCTTTTCTGATTACTGATTTGAATTGGCATGCCGAAGAACTTTTGACCTGGAACGTATGGAACCAGAAGTGTTGTAGTACCTTGAACATTGAGATGGCAAAGTCCTACTCTCATTGATGCTGGCCCATTGCTTTAGCAAAATGAGAAATCTGGTCTCAACCGAAGGTGATATCGCCGATGACTTTCCCTTCAGGTATCGGAATCCCCATGGGATTCAGGGGTAGGCCTAAAGGTGTAGAATAAATAAGACAGGCAAAATAGGGAGCAGAGAAAGATGACAAGTAGACAGAAACAAAAAAGAAGGCAGTTTGTAAGTGCTATGTGCAATAAAATTAGTCTTTGTTAGGAGAAACAATTTTGGCAAACTGTAATTCCTGTAAAATGCATCATTTAGACAGTGAAACTTTCTTTTTCTTTTCCCTTGATGTGTTATTAATTTAGGTGTTGTTTTTTTCCTTCCAAAATTGGCTGCACAGCAAAAACTTTTCAGCCCCAAAGAAAACCGGGAGCCTTTTATGTTCTCAAATTTTTTTGAAAAAAAAAATAAAAATTACAGGCTTTTGATACCGATACTTTTGATTTTACCTCGGATCCTTTTACCTTGATTTCAAACCTATGACTATAAAAACTTCACTCGATTATGTCGTTTCTTTAGCATAATAATGGTAAATAAGTAATCTACTTTTCATTAATCTTTCAAAATTAATCAACGGCCTTTTAATTTCCATTTCTGTGTGTACTTTGACGCATTGTCTTATTTTTCATTTTGAGTTCTACGTAACATTCGAATTTTCAATAAATGATTCTTGGAGACATAACTCTATTATTATTCAAATTTTTAATAAACGATTGATACAAAACGTTCACGGAATAATTCTTACAAACATACTTGTATAATTTATAAAATATAATAGTTTTTCGAGAATCTTTTATGTAAATTTCATAATTTCATAAATTAATAAATACCTAAAATAAAAAATTCAATGTGAAGATTTGAAGATTAAATTTTACTTAAGTATTTTCTGTGATTGCAGGCATCATCTTTTTGTACCATTTGAAGTATTATAATACTATAAATAAATACCACTGCAACTGATTTTTATTATTGTGAAAAAATAAGATTTCAAATAATATGATTAAAAAAACTTTAAATGAACAAATTAAATTAATAGAATTTTAGAGACCTAAGTGCATTAATTTATAGAGGTTTTACCGTACAACATTCCCTCAAATTTTCAGATTGGTATAAATGAATTTATTAACATGTAAAAGAAAATATTTGGGAGAGTTTAAATCAGAATTCAGAACCTAAACGTCGTCGTCCGGAGGAGTGACGGAAGAAAAAATTTTGTCAAGGCGGAAGAAGCGTAAGCAAGACAAAACGATTAAATCAGTCACCAGCGTTTCTTGAGCAATCTCTTTCCCTTCCTTCTCCCCCCGGAAACACACAGTCACGCAGTCACTCTCCGACCAGGAGGAAAGATGCAGGCCGTTTCGAGACGATTCGGGCAACAGTCCTTTAAGCCTTCCGCAGCTGCTGGCATTTCATCATTTCGTTCGTCTCTCAATCCTTGCTCTGATCACTGTATGTAATGTACCTTCCTCACCATTTCTAGGGCTCAAAATGTATTCTGGGCTGTTTATGATCCAGTTAATTGACTTAAACGCTTCGATTTTTAGAGGTTATCCTGATTTAAAAGATAGGGTTTCTTTGTTAGCTTATGATCTTGAATTGCAGATTATGGTGCTGATAATCCGAGGTATGCATCCACCATTACCGCCCGAGGCACGGGACACATAATTCGCAAGGGCACTGGTGGAAGATCATCTGTTAGGTTAATTTTCCCACATTTCTAATCAATCAATTATCTCAGTTTTAATGTCGTGAAATTTTGTGTTCTTCTGGGGCCTGAATTTTGAATCATTTTAGTAATGCATTTTTTAATTCAATAAATTTTTTATGCATAGATGGATGTGTTGTTTAGACATTCTACTGTTTTAATTTAGCTCAACTTCAATCGTGTTCAGTTAGATTTGGAATGCACTTCCCGAGCATTTCAATTTGATTATCATCAAACTCAATACTGACAAATAGATTTTGCTTAATTTTATCAAGTTCTAAAGGAAGTTGGAAATTGTATCTTTTGCAGTGGGATTATTGCTACAGTGTTCGGAGCTACTGGGTTTCTTGGGCGTTACTTAGTACAGCAGCTAGGTGAGTGAGCTGCAAACAGCTTGTGGTGCTGGATTTCTTTTCGCTTGACTTCGATTTCTTTTTACTTTTTGCTGCGTACAAGTTGTTGGTTTTTAAGGAACATGTTTCTTGTTCTGGTATCAGCTAAAATGGGTTCTCAAGTGCTGGTTCCTTTCCGAGGATCTGAAGATTCTCATCGTCATCTCAAGTTGATGGGTGATTTAGGACAGGTTGGGATTTTCCACTTTTCTATGAGTTGTGGGTTCTCTGTTTGTTCATTTACACGGTTGCATCATTTTGTTTTATTAGCTGGTAGTTTGTTAATTGTTGACACATTTGCAGATTGTTCCAATGAAGTACAACCCTAGAGATGAAGACTCGATTAAGGCTGTGATGGCAAAGGCGAATGTTGTTATAAATCTTATTGGTAGGTTTTCAGGAATTGATCTCACACTTTTGATAGTTTTGGTAACGTCTTTAGTTGTTTTTAATGTCTTATTTTTCAACAGGAAGAGAGTATGAGACTAGAAATTACAGCTTTGATGAGGTGAACCGTAATATGGTTGAACAGCTTGCAGTGGTAAGGTTCCTGCTTCTCCTACATTTTTTCCCTTTCTTTAACCAACTTAATCAAGGCACTTTGTGATGAGTAGCTACATCAGCGATGAACTTCTATCCTCCATCATGTTTCTATTGTCAGGATATGCTGCAAATTTAATAGGAACTTAGTAAGGCATGTGAGATGAGAACCCATTTCAATAATAAATTAAAAGGCACAGATTATTAGTGTAGCACATTTTTCAGTTTGCTTATGCTCCATGCTCTTGCCTTTTTCTCTTTCTTGGAAAATATGGTGCTCCGTGCATGTTATTTTCTCTTGTGTATTAATTGTGATCTCTTATTGGTTAATATTTTCTTGGGCTTTTTCTTCCCTGACGGATCACTTATGCATGGGGTGGCATTTTATACCTTTGTGTGCAGATTGCTAAGGAACATGGTGGAATCATGAGATTCATACAAGTTTCTTGCCTAGGGGCATCTCCATCATCTCCTTCACGATTTCTGAAAGCCAAAGCTGCGGGCGAGGAAGCTTTATTGCGAGAATTTTCTGAGGTCACTAGCTTTGCATCAGTATTTAGTTTTGACTGCATGCTATATCATAGGACCTTCCATTTCTCTTTTGCTCCATTGAAGTTTTGGTGCTACTTACTATTTTGCTTGGGAGAATGATGGTAACTTCTTTACTTTGCAAAATGTGAAATTACAGTTACTTTTCTGATAGCTTAATAAGTAACAGTTCAAAATAATACTTTGTCTACTGGTTTGTATATTTGGACGGAAAAGCTTGAGTTTGTCTGTTTGCTGATTGCTGCAGTTTTGAAATAGTTGGTTTTCCTTTTGTAGTTCCCCCTGCGTTTCCCCCTTGTCGAAAAGTAAACTGAGCACGGTCATTTATATGGCTTCTTTGATAATGCTTATTATTTAGATTATGCCTAACCTTAGTTTATGAAGACAGTCGATGATTGATTATATGTAAATTTTTAGTGAATCTTTGATATCAAGTGCTGTCTTCTATATCACTATCAAGCTTACGGTGGCATTTGTTATTTTTTATTGTTTGTCATTGTTCCTGATCATGTTTCCACTGTTTGCTATTCTGGCCCGAAATAAGACTATTGTTTGCATTGGTTTGTGAAGATGGATATAGTAAATTCAGTTATTGTGAGGACTAATGTGCTATATTGTTTTCAGGCGACAATAATGCGACCTGCTGCAATGATTGGTACAGAGGATCGGGTGTTGAATCCGTGGGCACATTTTGTTAAAAATTATGGTTTCCTTCCACTAATTGGAGATGGAACTACCAAGTATGACTCTAACTTATGTGGTGGGAAAATTTTTTGGGACTTCTTTTCTAATAATTCTGACAGCAACTTGTGGTAGGAAAATTTTTTGGGACTTCTTTTCTCATAATTCTGACAGCAACTTGTTCACAGAATTCAGCCCGTGTATGTCGTGGATGTTGCTTCTGCAATTATTGCAGCTTTGAAAGATGATGGTAGCTGCATGGGGAAAGTTTATGAACTTGGTGGACCAGATGTTTACACTATCCATGACTTGGTAGTATTCTTTTCCTTGCTCTCTTTTCTGGTTCCATTCTTTCAATTATAACCTTCTCCGTACATAGGTGGTGGAAATTTTGCTGAATAATGATGTTTAATCCAGGCAGAGCTTATGTTTGACATGATTCGTGAATACCCTCGCTACGTGAAGATTCCTTTCCCTATTGCTAAGGCAAGTTTAAATATTTTTATCATTAACTTTGTGGTCGGCTAATCTGTGCTCTCCTTTTTCCTTCTTTTTTCTTTTTTTTTCTTCAAAGGATAATTTCTTGGCTTTTCTGAACCAATGATCCAGATAATTTTCAGTTTCTATTCAATTGAACATGTTCAGTCCAACATTTTGTGAATTCATAAATCGTCTCTGGGTTAATTCACGTTGTAGTATATGTCTAGTTGTGTCTTTGAATTGATTATTAATTCCTAATTGAGTTTCTTTGAGTTGATTTCAGGCAATTGCAACACCTCGAGAAATACTGCTGAACAAAGTTCCAGTTCCCATGCCCACTCCAACTATATTTAACTTGGATACAATTGAAAGCCTTGCCACTGACACACTGGTGTCGAAAGATGGTAAGTCTTGTAAAATTGTGGACAATTTCTTATCTCATTTTTCTCACTATCATTCATACTTCTGATTGTTTTACTACACTTTTTTACTACACTTCTGGTACTATGCATTCCCCAATAGTAATTCTTTTGCTCCTTTTTTTCTGTTTTTTTTTGGCAGCTTTAACTTTTGATGACCTCGGCCTTGCTCCACATAAATTGAAGGGATATCCTGTTGAATATCTTATTCAGTATCGTAAAGGTGGTCCACAATATGGTTCTACAGTCAGTGAGAAAATGTCTCCTAATCCTGAATATTGGCGTTAAGCTTCATCAAATCTTTTGGTTTAAACCTCTGAACAGCTTTGTCTGAAGCTGTTAGATAGATAGGCATGGGCCTCATTCCTTGAGGATGTGAGATATGAATGCTGTTGTTGGAGAAATTGTTCACGATTTTGGCATCCATGTTCAATAATACACCTGATATGTTGGATAATTTTTGTAAGCTTTCGAAACTGCTCAACTTTAGTTTTGGAAGCAAAAGTTTTCAAATTATTCATTCCCTCTTTTTATTTCTGGAAAAGCTGAAACTAACTTGGTGGAATAAGTGTATGGAAAAAATATCGGGTGGCTGTAACATTGAAATGAATAGTTACATATTTCTTCTTCTGCGGTTTGTCAGACGTTTCTTTTACATGGAGGTCCGGGGTATTGTCTGTTTCATTAGTTCTGAACTTTTCTGTTGCAATAATCCCTATCATCTGTATGTATACAACTTATATGCAAGATACTGTTCTCAGTTTAAATCTCCCTAACCCTTCTGTACTACATTATATACACGTAGTGTCATATTATATAGGTACAGGATATATGTTCAAGTTCAAAGAGTCCCTAAATCATGTTTTGGTTTTGGATTGAAAATGATAAATATTGCATGGTAATTGTGCAAAACACAAAGTGCATAACCGAAGCAATCGAAACAAGGGCCCTAGAACTTATGATCGGTTTGTAAGCCCTCTGAAAGGAGGAAAAGACTTTCCAAAAGCCTTGTTGCCCCTCTTGCCTTTTTGTTTATGGGTGGGAATGAAATGCTTGATACTGGGAGTTGGTGCGTCAAGTTACCTATTAGATGCAGAGTGTGTGAAGATCGAGTGCAGATGAAGTTATTCCAAAGAGTATCTAGTTTACTTGGAGCTGCAGAAAAGACCATGAAAACTACTCCTTTAAGAAAGCTATCCCGTCTCCCCCAGCCCTGTTTTCAGTATATCTTGCCATGAAAAATATCTCCCCTCATAGAGGTAAAGCAGATCCTGGCAACATCTTCCACCTCAAACGGGAGGAAGAAACTGCTGTTTTCAGCATAGATAATCATCTAATGTCCTCGCAAGGCACCCATGGATGCTTTGAAGGAGTCAAATTGGAAGGAAGGAATGCTGGTGCAACGTTGATCGCAAGGCAAAGTGGTCGTTCTGGAGGATCACAAGATTGTTGCAGTATAAACATATACATATGCAACAATGTGCAAGGAGTGAACAACTCCGTGCTGATTGGGAGCAAGGTGAAACAGGGTGACCCGGGTGTCCGCTTAACTTTGAAGGGACTCAAACTGGACAAAGGGTTTAAGAAAAAACAAAGAAGGCAGACCAGAGAATTAGTTGCTGGAATTTGCTGGATCACTTTGTTATTTGCTCTCCTCGCTATGATCTTCTTGTTTTGACAAACCCCCCCCCCCGTTTTTTTTTTTTTGGACCATGCAGTCAGTAGGGGTTAGAGACAGTGAATGCTACATTTCTGAAGTTACTAGATCCTCTTCTTGTTTGTGTCTCTTGGCACAGAATGAGTAATATTTTTTGTACTTCAAAATGATTGTCACTAAATATGAAAGGAGAGAATACGTACTAGGTTTCTAGCCACTTCGAGGCAGAAATGTGATGGCAATCAAGCTGACAACTCTTTGGTTTCTCCTACACCTGTCAATATGTACAAACTACGAAGGAGGTGAAAAATGTTGGCGTGTTCCTACTTCCATCAAAGTTTCAATCAAATCAAATGGTATGAAAACTTGACAAGTTTGAAACTAATAACATTGTCCCACCAAAAGGGTCGGTCTCACATGGTGATTTTCTGTGTTTGAGTTTCAATCATTTGTTTTTTCCTGGGTTGGCAATGCTTCCTTAGTTGTGTCAGTTAGAACTTGCAATTAATTCCATCCGGCAAGGATGGCTGTGATTCAGATCAGCAAACTACGTGTTCGCCACATTGTTTTTTCACACACACATTTGACATCAGATGTTTTAAGGATGCTAGGACCTGTTGTGGTTATGATGGGTCCACCCATGTCTAATTAAAAACAAAACTCCCAATCAATTTCCTTGTCCACACAAAAAAGCCAACACCCATAATTTAACTGATGCGAAACTACAATGTAATAATGTAAGTATTTCGAATTAGTATACAAATACTGTTTCAGGAAAAAAAAAAATGCTAAGACCCATTGTTGTCGTATTAATTCTCGTGTTTCCGAACTTATTTATAAAAAAAACACAAATTTTATGTAATTTGAATGAATAAAAGAAAACTAAAGAACATCTCTCCTTGCTCTGAAGTCTGAATTGTCACGAACCCAAAACAAAGAAGTACGTGACATGTCGGTTATTTATGACTCTCGATCCAAAAACTTCCAGACACGAAGACAAGCCACTGTTGCCCTTTACATTCATGATGTATATTAAGCTGAATTTCATGACCAAAGATCATTCTTGAAATGATAGTCTAATTTGTATTCTTATTTTCAGCACAAATAGTATTATAAGTGAGAATATAAATGAGATAATTATTTTAAAATAGAGGGAACATTTTGTTTATAACAAAAAAATCACAATAAAAAAAATAACTACTAATAGTTTTCCTATTAGTTAAATGACAATCAGTTTACGACCGAAATTGCACGCTAAATCCGCGAGGTACGACGACTTGTTAAAAAATATTCTACATTTTGCCACATGACGCATGATACTCAGACAAGTGCCATATGAGTGTCAAATCGTAACGTCATGTCGTTTCCTGAAAAAGAAAATAAATTAAGGATATGTTTATTTCGTTTTTTTAATTTGAGTTTTTAAGTTTTTTTTTTACATTGAGAATGTAAAAAGGTGTAATGAAAATGTAAAATAGTATACTTTGATGAAATAGATATTATTATATTATTCTAAAAAAATTACTAGAAAAAAGAAACAAACTGAATATTAGTGGTTGCAGTCAATTGGATGTTAGCTAACATATACGATGTTTGATGAGACGGAAAGATGGTGAATTCTGTAATAAGTTAAAGGACAACGAACAGCAACCTCTTTTTAAAAGGAATATCATAATAAAGCTTTCAAAAACTCAAATTGATTCGTGTACTTTCCAGTTATTAATCCAATGATCAATTTGCTAAACAACAAATTACCTCAACTCAGACCATGTTGTCGTAAACTCTACGGTTGTTGGGTTATATGGTTCTGGAAGTTCGGACAGCTGTTAATAATAATAGTAAACCTTTAGTTAAAAGGATTAAGACATACCATACTCCTTCAATCAATTAAAATGGCCAGCTTTCTTGTAAGAAATCTGCCATTGTCCCAATAAATAAAACTCCAGTAAATCTCATCCCTCTGCATTACCGTTTTGCAGTGAAGTCCAATATCATGTAAAGCAAATCAACTATCTTTGCAAATCATCATTAATGATTTATGAAAAATTCTTTGCACACATTCATTTATGCAAAAGTGGGGGAAATTACCGGTCCAAAAAGTTGACAAACACAATGATGAAAAAATCAAAAACTAGAGGGATGGAAAAGTCTGAGAAGGCATAGGCGGCTAATTCCCCAAAATCACTGAATCAGATCAACCTTACCGACACACCAATTTAGCAATCAAAGAACCCAAAAAAAAAAAAAAAAGGATTAAATTAAAACAATAATGTTCACTTTTCTAATAAAGTAGAACCTTTCCCCCCGCATTTGCGCCCCTCCCTCGTCATCATAGATCATGCGGTCTTTTGTCTCCTCCTTTCCTTGAATTTACCTGAATAAATACAACTTCAGAATTTCTGTCCCTGCCATTCTTTTCTTCCCCCTTCCCTATTCTCTCAGTCCTCACACCCCACATTTTGTGTTGCCTTTGTAATTTGTGTTGTTCCCTTTGCCACTTCCATTGTTGCCGGGGTAAGTTTTCTTTAATCGCTTCATTGTCTCTCTGTTTTGCTAATTTGTGATCAGCCTGAACATTTGCTACCTGGGTCTGCAGTTTTTTTTTTCTTCCTTTCCATTTTTGGCTGTACAAACGTATTTTGGTCATTGTTGGGGGGTTTAATCTGCCTGTTCATTTCATGGTTCTTCAATGATCATTTCCGTTTCTGTTCTTAGTATTTGGCGTCTTCTTCCAGTTTGATGGTTACAATATCACATACGGCTCAGGATTGTTCCTTTTTCCTGCTTGTATTGATTGGTTTCTGAGTTAATTCTCGGTGCATGTGGGGTTATATTGGCACCCAGAGCCCTAATTTTGATTGGGTTTTGGGTTTTGCAATTTGATGATGAGTGAGATGCTGAGCTGTTGGTAAATTGTTGTAAAGTTGGAAACTTTTTTTCTGTCGGTTGAATTATTTCTCTCTGGAGGGGAAGAGGAGAAGAGGGTGTTGGAGAATTTGATTACATTTGATGAGACGCCAACAAGCGGCGGCAGATACCTTGGCAGCAAACATGGAGAAGGAACAAGGAAAGAGTCGGCATTCTCGGATATGTTTATTAGTTACATTGACAGCTTTTTTCTGGGTTGGTTTATTTTATTTCCACTTTGAATTCATTGGAGGCAATAGTGTTGTTGTGCAGTCTATCCAGCAGCAACTCACCCCTGTTTCTGAATCTAGTAGTAATAGAAATACAGTTCATGCCTTACAGAATCCCCGTCCTTTACTGGTTACTAGTCCTCCCAAGGTTGATGATCCCCAACCAGTTCCTGTGGTTGCTCCGATTTTGAGAAATGGTTCGAGAAATTCAGATAAGCGTGTATCTGTTAATTCAGAGATTGATAATGATAATGCTAGTCCTCCAAAGGTTGATGCTAGTCCTTCGAAGGTAGATGCTAGTTCTCAGTCAATAAGTAATGGCTCGAGCTATGCTCAATCAGTTCAGGTAGTTGCTCCAACTTTAAGTAATAGTTCGAGCAATGCTCAATCAGTTCCGGTTGTTGCTCCAACTTTAAGTAATAGTTCGAGCAATTCGGCTGAACAGCAATCTGTTAATATTTCGGTGGTTGATAATGCTGGTAATAAGGTGGAGGATTACCCCTTTATGAAGGCTTTGAGAACTGCAGATAATAAGAGTGATCCCTGTGGTGGAAGGTATATTTATGTGCATGACCTTCCTCCCAGGTTCAACGTGGATATGCTTAAGGAGTGTAAGAGCCTAAGTCTATGGACTAACATGTGTAAGTTCATTAGTAATGCTGGACTAGGTCCCCCACTGGAGAATGTTGAAGGGGTGTTCTCAAACACTGGATTCTATGCCACAAATCAATTTGCGGTGGATGTGATCTTCAATAATCGTATGAAGCAGTATGATTGCTTGACTACTGATTCTTCCCTTGCTGCTGCCATTTTCGTGCCCTTTTATGCCGGATTTGATATAGCTCGTTACCTCTGGGGTTATAACACTTCCATGAGGGATGCTGCTTCTCTTGCTTTGATTGATTGGCTGACCAAGAAGCCAGAGTGGGGTATTATGGGTGGTAAGGATCATTTCCTTGTTGCTGGCAGGATAACCTGGGATTTTAGGAGAAAAACTGATCAAGAGCGGGACTGGGGAAACAAGCTTCTTTTCCTCCCAGAGGCAAAGAACATGTCCATGCTTGTGGTGGAAGCAAGTTCATGGAATTTTAATGATTTTGGTATTCCGTACCCCACATATTTCCACCCAGCAAAGGATGAAGAGGTGTTCATTTGGCAAGATCGCATGAGGAAGACCGAAAGGAAGTGGCTTTTCTGTTTTGCTGGTGGACGTCGTCCTGGTGATCGCAAATCAATTAGGGATCAAATTATAGATCAGTGCAAGAACTCCAAGGTGTGTAAGCTGTTAGAATGCGCTAAAGGTCAGAGCAAGTGCCACTCGCCCAGCACTATAATGCAGATGTTTCAGAGTTCTGTTTTCTGCCTTCAACCTCAAGGCGACTCTTACACAAGAAGATCAGCTTTTGACTCAATTTTGGCAGGTTGCATACCTGTCTTCTTCCATCCTGCTTCTGCATACACTCAGTACATTTGGCACCTTCCAAAAAATGTTTCAAAATACTCAGTTCTCATTCCTGAGAATGACATCCGTAAGAATAATATCAGCATTGAGCAATTGCTCAGTAGATATACTGCTAAGCAAATCAAGGAAATGGGGGAGGAGGTTATAAAACTTATCCCCACTATAACATATGCCGATCCTCGCTCTAAATTGGAGACCGTCAAGGATGCTTTTGATGTAGCCGTGGAAGCTATTATCAAAAGGGTTACAAAATTGAGGAAAGATGTCATGGAAGGCTATAGAGATGATGGTCGAGATGAAACACGTGCTTGGAAATATGCTCTGATGGATGAAGGACAACATGAGTTGCTGCCTCATGAATGGGATTCACTTTTTGTTAACGAACCTGATGAGGCTGCTGATTCTAGTGGTTCAGCAGTGGAGGCTGCTAAAAATTCGTGGAAGACTGAGCATGGGCAACAGTAAATGCTTGAGTTGCTTTTATCAAAAAAAAAGAAAAAAAGTGCTGCGTGCTTTCTGCAGAGTATGGACATCTGCTTCATAGGAAGCGCTGTTCAAAGGTACGGAATCTAATTGGGTTAAATGGGTAAGCCACTCTAGGATCTAGTTGTAAAGAAATGAACTACTGTTTTACTCTTGGAATTGATATTCATAATTGCACTTTTGGTACTATGTAGTAAGACACGGTAATCTTGCTAGCCATTCTTTGTACTGAGTTTCATAATACAGATACTGTCTATAGTAAGAGTGAGATCCTGATATGTATTAGTGCTTGTAGTTTTGTGCAGTAACACGAATGAAGCATACAGCCATAAACTTTGCTATGAAATTTTCTCAAGTTCTTATTATCCATCACTAGCATTATCTTGCGATACTGAATTTGCTGTGTTACCTTATCTGCTGAGAACTAGAATGTTCTCTTATGTTACAAAAGCTTGAATAAGTAGCGTTGTTTCCTGATTTACAAGAATGCTTATTAGTCCCTAGGTATCAACTAAAAAGGAAGTTCCCGGCAGCATATGAAGCCTTAACCTAATTCAAGTAATTAGAAGGAACCGAAAGATTTCGCAGAAAGACTGAAGATCCTGTTTGTTACATATTACCTTAAGCAGAGGGCACTACTGCTGCTCATATTTCAGTATTACTAAGAGCCAAGAAGTTGACCGTGTCAGATTTCATATTTGTTTCTTATGGATGCAGACAAACTTCCTAACCCACGACCGCTTGAATCTAATTCCTTAAAGTTCATATCTATCACGGATCATCAAAATACAGTATTCTGGGATATGCTTTGGGTCTAACTTTTATGTTTGTTTTTCACTTCAACTCATTGTACAGTTCAAAGGAGCCTGCAGGGGGTTCGATTCTCCTCGTTCTTGAGCCCCAAAGGAAATTTGGAAAATCAAAACTTAAGTGCAGCGTTAGCACAAGCGGCACGTGGAGATGGAGGAGAAGGAGCAAAAGCAGAGAGCGCCACTGTAAATGCTCGAATTCAATAAATGCGGCCATTGATGCCATCCACCATTGGTACCAAGAAGCCACTAAAGAATTATCCCCTCGTACAAAGAACAAAACATAAAGAACACAATTTTGTGGTCCATTTAATCCAGACAGAGATCCTAAGATGATTTTATGTTATTTTGGATTCTAAAATGGTAGCAGTTTTTTATGGGTTTTGTTACTTTTGATAATAGAAAAAAGAAAAACCTCTGTTTGGAGTTTCAGACAGCACTAACAGTACAAATAGTAATACAATTATATTCCGACAGAAACATCTCGTGAAAGTTGGAAACACAATTGAGCTCCTCAATAAGCAAAAGGATAGAATGGGTTTATTTCTCTGAGCAAGAGATACTCGTGATGCAGAGCTCTTAAATTTCACGAGTTTCATCTCTTCTTCTCCAGAGGCTCTGACTTCCAACGGCCCAGTTTTTTTTTTGAATTCTCTGCAACACCTTCAAATACCCTTCCCCCAGAACCATGCATGCACAATTAACCAAGCCAAGACTTTTGCATATTGCATACAGATTGGTACTCTTTTCTCATGGAAATCAAAGCCCAGTTCTTGCTTTCTCTCTTCTTGTCATGTTTTCTGATGCTGGTTTATGCTCAGAATCATCTCGAAACTTACATTGTTCAACTACATCCTCAAGGACTAACGAGATCTTCCTTCAGTTCTAAGCTTCATTGGCACCTCTCCTTCATTGAAAAAGCCATTTCATCTGAAGAAGACTCTTCTTCTCGTCTTCTATACTCCTATCATTCGGCTATGGAAGGTTTTGCGGCTCGCTTGTCGAAATCTGAGCTTGAGGCTTTGCACCAGTCCCCTGATGTAGTGGCAGTAAGACCAGAGAGGAGGTTTGAACTCCAAACTACATATTCTTATAAATTTTTGGGGCTTACTCCCACTCAGAAAGGTAATGGTGCTGTGCTCAAGTTCCCTGGACTTGGCCGTGGAGCAATAGTTGGAGTACTTGACACTGGAATTTGGCCTGAAAGTCCAAGTTTCAATGATGATGGAATGCCTCCTGTTCCTAAAAGGTGGAAAGGAATTTGTCAAGAAGGACAGGACTTCAGCCCATCACTATGCAACAGGAAACTTATTGGTGCCAGATTTTTCACCAAAGGACACCTTGTGAGTGCTCCAATGTCAACTTCATCCAATGCTGAATACGCATCAGCGAGGGATGCACGGGGACATGGCACCCACACTGCATCTACTGCAGCAGGTTCTCCTGTTCCAATGGCAAGTGTGTTCGGTTATGGTGCAGGCGAGGCTCGAGGAATGGCTCCAGGGGCACATATTGCTGTGTATAAGGTTTGTTGGTTTGACGGTTGTTACAGCTCTGATATCCTGGCTGCTATGGACTTGGCTATCAAAGATGGAGTGGATGTACTCTCCCTTTCACTGGGTGGCTTTCCCATACCACTTTATGAGGACACAATCGCCATTGGCAGCTTTCGAGCTATGGAGCATGGAATATCAGTTATGTGCGCTGCAGGTAATAATGGTCCTATCGAAAGCTCAGTTTCTAATGAAGCTCCATGGATTGCTACCATAGGTGCTAGTACACTTGACCGAAGATTTCCAGCTATAGTTCAGCTTGGCAATGGGAAGTACATCTATGGAGAATCCATGTATCCCGGAAAAGGAATTCATGGTGCTGAGAGAAAACTAGAAGTAGTCTATGTAACAGGGGATAATAAGGGAAGTGAATTCTGCTTGGAAGGCTCCCTACCTCGGGAGAAAGTTCGCGGCAAGATGGTGGTTTGTGATCGAGGCGTCAATGGGAGAGGAGAGAAAGGCCAGGTTGTGAAGAAAGCTGGAGGAGCTGCAATGATCTTAACAAATACGGCACTGAACCTGGAGGAAGATTCTGTTGATGTTCATGTCCTCCCTGCCACATTGATCGGCTTTGATGAATCAGTTCAACTGAAAAGCTACCTAAACTCGACAAGAAACCCAAGTGCTCGAATTATATTTGGAGGAACAGTTATTGGGAAGTCGAGAGCGCCTGCAGTAGCGCAGTTTTCCTCCAGGGGACCTAGTTTTTCTGACCCAGCAATACTCAAACCAGATGTTATTGCTCCAGGAGTTAACATCATTGCTGCTTGGCCCCAAAATTTAGGCCCCAGTGGCCTACCAGGCGACAATAGAAGGGTGAACTTCAGTGTGATGTCTGGAACCTCCATGTCTTGTCCACATGTCAGTGGGATTGCTGCATTATTACGTGCTACTTACCCAAAATGGTCACCAGCCGCGATCAGGTCTGCACTAATGACAACTGCAGATGTAACAGACCATCTAGGGAAACCAATAATGGACGGCGATCAGCCTGCAGGACTTTTCGCCACAGGAGCAGGACAAGTGAATCCAGTTAGAGCTGCTAATCCAGGATTAGTGTATGATATCCAGCCAATGGAGTACATAATTCACCTCTGCACTCTTGGTTACACAAGATCTCAAGTGTTCAGCATTACCCACAGGAATGTGAGTTGCCATGACATTGTGCAGAAGAACAAGGGTTTCAGCCTTAATTATCCCTCAATATCTGTCATATTCAGGCCCCGAATGACCGGTAAGATCATCAAGAGACGACTCACAAATGTTGGAAGACCAAATTCAGTTTTCTCAGTCCAGGTGACGCCGCCTGAGGGCGTAAAAGTGAGAGTCAAACCCCGGCAGCTGATATTTAGACACACAAATGAAACTTTGAGCTACAAAGTTTACCTCATATCAAAGAAAAGAACCGGAAAAGAGATGCGGAGTTTTGCTCAAGGCAGTTTGACTTGGTTCAACAGCAATGGAAGATCCAACAAGGTGAAAAGCCCCATTTCAGTGACATGGAGATCAAAGTGAAGACAGAAACAAACTCTGCTCATTTAAAAGTACTATTACTAGTAGTACTCCAACAACACCTCCTAATTGAATAAAGTAGTAATATCCTAGGATTCATGATACCAAAACAACTTTCCTTATATTGTTTCTTCTCGGTTAAATTAGCAAAATTGATGACATTCAATTGTAATCCAAGTTAAAAACAGTAGTACTATTTGATAGCTAAAGATCGTCTTTTTTTTTATGCAAGATCAATAATAAGTACATCGATAATGCCTGAATACTAATGAAGTACTAAATCATTACCGATTCCAAAGCAGGAAAATGAGAATGAAGTAAACAAAACTTGAAGAAGAATATACAGCAAAAAGGGCTTTCAACTTTTAACGAACGACAAACCATTTGCATTAGCATATCTCTCCATAAACCTCATGAACCTATCCCAATCTCGAGGGGTCCGCATCACATACTTGGCTTCAATTCCGGCAGGCTTTCCGTTGACAAATTTGGCACTAACATCCACTGACTGAAGAACACCTTCCTCGTCAATCATGTAGAACCCCGTAATGTCACCGACTTCACTGGACGAATCAAACACAGAGGGTTCTTCGAATTTGAAGATGGCCATACCGTTGGTGCCGTCCCGAGATTTTGTCAGCTTTACATCGGGGATCGTCTGCTCATCAGTTCCTTGAATGAATTGAATGGTGGGCTTTATCATCATAATAGTAGTTGTCATTCTGGATACTTTACTGGAAAGAGGGGTGATTGAACGAGAATGAGTTGTGAAACTGATGGATTTGCCATTGAATTGAGATCCAAGACTATGAAGAGCTCCATTTGCCAAGCTGCCTGCACAAATAAGGAAGCATTGTTAGTTCATAAAATGGGTAAACATATTTTTGCAATGTACCCAATTAAAAATTCGGTCTTTTCTTTTTCCACTTCTCTCAAGCAGAGAAGTTGAACGACCAGAGAGAACGGATTTATCAACATTCTAACCAATCTGCTTAGTGGGTTGCCGTGAAATTCAGTATGCTATTTGACAATGCATCTTTGTCGATAATTTGTACCCAAAATTCGAGGTTAGAGGCAAACAGAGTGCTGAGTTTAGTAATCAGAAAAATGACAGGAAAACCCAGAAAGACAGAGAGTTTACCGCACCTTCAAGTGGAAGATAGCGAGGGCGAGGATGGTGTGAACAATGAGAGATTGATGTGCAGAAAGCAAGAGACTGCAGAGCTGACATTTTGCGGACAAAGTTGAAGACTTGAAGTTGAAATGAAACTCAGGGATGATGAGTAAACAGAAAAGGGGGAAACTGGTGGAAAATCAGAAATGGGAGGAGGGAATGAATAAATGTGGATTGGATTTTTTTTGGATCATGGAATTGTTGAAGGGAGCATGTGTAATTACGACAGCCATTCACTTTCATCTTGTCATAAAAGATTTGATTTGGCTCCTGCTCTGCTCTGGAAGGTGGCAAGTTTATAGAACCAAATAGGTCCTGAAGTTTGTGAAACCGTCCCAATTAGCCCGGATTGCTGCAAAGAAACGTCAATTTGGCCCTACTAAGAGCATCAACACTATTATCTATAATCTATCTCCCCTCTCTCTTGAAAAATCTCTCCCTTCTCTCGTCACAAAAAACTCCCTCCGCCGCATCTTCCCCCAACTTCCATTAACGATGGTTGGGGGAGTAAAATCTTTGTTTTCTTTCTGTCTACCGGAAAAAACACACATCCATCCACCGTCAGTGAAGCCTTCGTACCACCGTTGGTGTCATCAACATCAACTCCGACGCTTCGAAACTCTGTTGTCAGTAATTTGTTCTGATCTCCGAGAAATCAGAGTTCTAGTTAGTTCCCCGTCGATATCACAGATGCAATCTGTTGGTCTGATCTGTTTATGATATCGGAGGCTGATGTTGTGTTTTATGTTTTACTAGGTGTTAGACTCGTCCGATGGACGGGGAACACATATACATAAACATTACTACACAAGCAAATCAAAAAAAATGTTAATATTTGTATTAATTTTTGTATTTTTATAAAATATATAATGAATTTATTAAAAAATATAAAACACAAATATCGACAACACTTTACCAAACGAATACATTGGTAATTTATTTAACGCAAAAAAGATTGTTAAGAAATTTAAAAAAAAATGAACTTTGAATTGAATAATTATATATCTTGCAATATTTCTTGGTAGACTACATTGGTAGTCTGGGATGGAAAGGTTGGTTAGAGTGGCTAAGAAATTATGATAAGGAATTTTATTTTTATTTTTTTTGAAAAGGTTTATGATAAAGAATGGTTACTACAGAAACAATAACCCTAACTTGTTGTAGAGCCATCCAATTTTTTAATAAGAAAAATTAAAAAAAATAAAAAAAAAAAGTTGGATATCAGGACCTTTATTCCTTGTTTCGGAGTGACTTTTGATTTCTTAGTCCCGCTACATCAACCCATCAACATAGTATTTTAACGCAATTCCATATTTGAAACTAAATTATAGAAGTTTCAGGTTGGCCTAACTTCTTTAATTATTTTAATAAATTATTAATATAAAATTCTTTTTTAGTTGCGTTTTTTTTTAGGAGGAAGAGATCCGTCCATCGGATTTGCAGGGATTTGGTCGAATCAATATAGGGTTTGGACTTTTTCAGTTGCGTTTTTTTTTTTTTGGTTTTTATTGTTTTGTTTTGTGCATTTTTATATCTAAAAAATTAAGAAAATCCTTTGTGGCATGTGCTCCTTAACTTTAGATTTCTCTCTCTGGTTTTTGCCTTAGTACAGTAGAGAAGATTTGTTCTTATATTTTTGTTGTTTTTATCCTAGTATTTTAATTCAATTAAGTGAGATTTCTCACCCTCAGTATAGATCATGGTTCGATTCTTTACTAAGTGAATATAGTGTGCCAACATATCCAGGTCTATTGTTTGTCTTTTATAGCTCAGTGGATTCTATTCGATCTGTTGATTGTCGCACGTCGTCTTTAATGACGGCTGATTTGACCCTAGAATTTTCAGTCACAGTGAATCTATTATTTAGATTTGCTAATTGGAGCTTTAATCTGATGGTTAGTGACCTACTCGAGTTCAGATTTTTAATCTGTTTCGTTGTATGTCTAACAATAGAAGAATCATGCCGTTGGAGAATCTTTCCTCCCTGAAATAGCAACTGGTTCATGAAAGTTTTATTTTGTATTTCCAGTTGTAATAGTCTAGTGACTAGTTTAATGATTGTATTCTCCCGTCAGTCGTTGTTGGACGGTTTGTATTTGTTAGAGCTGGCTGATTTTCAGCAATCATAATGAAGTTTTGTTTCTTTCAAAAAAACAAAATCTATAATTTATAACCCCCATTTCAACAAAATCACTTTTTTCCAAAAATTCTAAGTGTCGTTTAATCCTTAAAATTAGTTTCACACCAAATCTTTCATTAAATCTTCATACTTCAGCAATTAAAATTAAAATAATCCAAAAATAATTTCTCATTGTCTTTTTTAATCGTCATCCTGCCAACTAACACTCACAATCTAATAGAGTTTTTCCCAACGATACAAGTAATCTCAATCTCAAACCATTAACCTTCACCTCCTAACCTGTCACCAATCGCGACAAAGTTTGAGAATTAAAATCTAACACAGAAAAGAGGAGTGGTGGTGCAGCATGAAAATACGAAGTTGTTGGCAAAACGAATTCAATTCCTCCCCTAAGATGCAAATGTTAGTCATTAATCCTCTCCTAAGATGCAAATGTTAGTCATTAATCTCGAAGTTTAGAACAGTAAAATTCTATTTGTTTGAACACCAATGCTTTGAGATGTAAGCACGTTTGAGATAAGAAAGCACCACAAGACTAAATATCTTTTTTTTTTCTTTTTTTTTCTTTTTTTTTTTACATATATTATACAAATACCTAATCTATTACATGTGGGTGAGGTCTATAGGGAAGGGAATAGTACTATTTTTTTTTTGACATATATTATACAAGCACTTAGTCTATTACATCTGGGTGGGGTCTATGGGGAAGGGGATACTACTACTAGGAGAATACTCCATACGCGCACGCCTCGATCTGGTACTTGGAAGGTATCCTGGCGGGTGCAAACTAAAAACCTGCACAATTCAACACTCAAGTGTTGTTAGTGGGAGTTGAACCCTGATCTCCCAAAAATGATGCCAAGACCCAAACCACCGGGGTGCTCCCTTGTTGCCAAGACTAGATATCGAATAATGTGTGTATGATCAAAGTCATTTAGGAACTTTGCATCTATTTCTTTTTTCTTTTGGCTTTGATTTTTTAGTATATTATAATTAAAATGAACCATTAGTATGAATTTGACGAAACAACATAACAAGTTTAATATTTTTGCTTTTACTAAATTCGTTATGTCCAAAGAATTTTACTTTTTGCCTAATATTTTACTCGTGCGAATGCAGGGGTTGAGAACCTAGTGGATATAATACAATTATTACATCACTATTTTACATTATTAACTTTTATTTTACCTTATCATACATTAATAATGCTAAAAAAGTATAATAAAATAAAGTCAATATCACATCATCATGGACTATTAAGTGATAATTTATTTGTTATTTATTGCTAAAGATGTTGTAACCTAATACATTCGGATACTTTAAAGCGTTCTAATACAACTAAAAAGGTTAAAGTAGAACTTCTATATAAGCATGCCCACGGTTCCGGTTCTAACTAAAACCGAACCGAAACCGAACCGATGGTTATGGTTTTATAATCAGAACTGTAAATGATGGCTTTAAGAACCATAATTGAACCACATGATGAAGGTTTGGTTATGGTTCTAGTGTTTAGGAAACCGAGAACCGACGGTTCTAATCGGTGGTTATAAACGACGGTTCTAATCGTACTAAACCGTCGATTAATACTAATTTTATATTAAAAGAAATTAAAAATTGTCATGACATGTAGGTGTTTGACATATACCGTGTCTAATTATAGAAACAATGATTAATTATTATTTTTAATTAAAAGAATAAGTTTATCTAAGAAAAGAACTAGTGTCATTGGTATTTGATACTATAATGTAGGTTGATAAGTGTTCCCTAAAAGATTTTTCTTACATTTTATAATTTAATTTAATTCATTATGTTCTATAGGATATTTATTAACAAAAATGTCTTGCAATATAAAATTATAAAAGACTTCATACCGATAAAAAATTGAATTTAATTGAAAATCTAAACTTTTGGTTTCAAAACTTAACATAAAACTCACATGAAAAATCGTCACATGTCAAAACCGAAATCGAATCATAACCAAACCGAAACCTGCGGTTCCAAAATCGAAACCAGAACCGCATTCTCAAGGTTCGGTTTCTGTTCCCATCATCGTGGTTTTAGAACCGTCGGTTCCAGAACCGAAACCGCCAGTTCTGGAACCATGGACATGCCTACTTCTATACATTAATAGTGTTGGAACTATCAAAATTTATTAATTTTGCGAATTATTAAATAATCGATAAATTAATAAATTATTAATTTAAAGAACTAATATAAGAAAATAAGAACCGTTACTAAATTACTTAATTTGCAGTTGTCTTTATATCCAAATCAATCAAGTATTAAAACTATTTTGAACACTAAAAATCCATACGTAGTTCATATGATCCCAGGGACTAAAAACAAGTATTAATAGTTCATATTTTACTACGTATTTATAATAATTATTATTACTTTTTTTGTTAGGGTATTTATTAATTTATGGTATTGGTGGGACCTATAAATATATAAGAAATTTTATGAAACACTATTATCTTATCATTTTATCGATTTTTTTTACTTTTTGTACCGGTCCAAAATTGTGATCGAAAAAAATTATTAATCGTTAAAAGTTATTAATTTATAAATTATTAATTTACTAACACTCTATATGTTATTGAGTTGGAGACTAATCAATCTTTAATCTCCAAAAAAAAATAATAATAAATAATCAATCTTTAATCATCAACTTTTGTATTTGATGAATCTCGTCGACCGCAGTGAGAATGGAACAACTTTAATACCTCAACTGTAAATTAGTTATTGTAATTAACTTTTATTATCGAGTAAATTTTAAAGTATCATAAACATATAGATCTATTCAAGACTAGTACAATCTCAACCATTTTATCTATGTACATACTCCCTTCCTATCCAATAAATTAGTTCTCCCTCTATTTTAAAATAATTAAATTAGTGTCATTCTACAACTTGCATAAAATTTAAAAAATATTTAAATAAGGTAGGTAAATTATCAAAATATTCGCCACCAATCTCATTAAATAAATTCATACCAATAATATTATTTCTTTGAGGGTAATTTTAAAAATTTAAGATAAAAAGTGCATTGGAACCAGAAAACGATATATATTTTGAAATTTCTCTTATTTGCTATAATAACACTTATTTTAGAATGGATGGAGTACTACTTTTTCTGTTTTGGGGATTACTTTGCAGGACGAGACATTAATATAACAGTTCCATTTTAGTATTACATGTAATCGAAAAAGGAAAAGAAAACTAAAATGTTTACCTTGTTTCTTAAAGATAAATTATAGTACTTTTTTATTCCATGCCAGTAAAAAATAATAATAAATGAAAAAGTAATGGCTCAATATATATTTTTTTTTGGATTATAGAATGCGGCTCAATAAATTTGAAATCAGTAATCACAGAAAATACCGATTTTTCCCTATTCGGCATGCAAGGAAAGCATCCCTCACAGACACATTTTATTCATAACATATATTCCCTCCGTCCAATAATTATTGTCCAATTTTTCAAAAAAATTTTGTCCCAAAATTATTGTCCGATTTGACATTTTATGAGTTAAGTTATATATATACCCTTTAAGTAAAAAAAAAAAAACAATTTCACCAAAACCTTCTTCTCCATCATTTTCTCTACACACCATAGAAGCAAACAACACAAAGTACCAGCAAACTTTCTCTGCACATCGTAGAAGCAAACACACAGAAGCAGCAAACGACGGTTCTCCGACAGTTCCCCGACGGTTCCAAGCAATAATAAATATGTGGTGGTGGTTCTCGGAAAGAAATATGGAAAAGAAACTCCGAAAAATTCCGACGACTCCAACCGGCGGCAACGGATTCAAGGACATTCCCGGCGAAATGCAAAAAATCATATGAATTAGAGGAGCATCTGATTCAAACACAAACTAAGAATTTTCTCCAAATTCAAATCAATACATCTAGAAATTTAATTCAGTTGGCACAAACGATGGCCTCCAGTTGAAGAACTCTGTTTAATTCAAAAACTTTTCGATGAAATAGAAAGATTGCCTTCATAAATACTAAATTGAAACTTGGATTAAGAAGATTCTCCGAATTCAAAGTTCTTCGCATTGGTTTGATGATGGCTAGATACTGACTGAAGAACAAATGAAAGTTGTACTTGTGTTTTGAAATGGATTTTTGGATTTGGGAATTGAAGTGAAAAACAGTAAAGTTCTTTTCCCGTAATGTTTGGCCGGTTAAACCATTTTAAGTAAAGTTCATCTTTCCGTTAAATACTTTTTATTGATTTCTTAATGGATTGTGGTTCCCAGAGGTCTTTGATCAAATTTTTTTTTTTAAAAAAAAACAAATTAAAGGAATGATTAAACTATTTCCAACCAACTTCCTAAACCCTAATATTCTGTTCTCCGACGTTTCACTATCACCTCCGCTGATAAAATAGCCCAGAAAAGGAATCTCATTATTGATCGTTTTCGTTGTTGAGTTTTTTTCCTTGAACTTATTTATCGGGCAATCCAATTAAATTACCAGCCCTGTTTGTTTAAATCACCCCTTTCATCGTCTTTTTCTTTTGTTTTCTTAATTTTGATTTTGTCTCAAACATTTTGTTCTTGTCGCAGTGGTCTATCTCTGAATATTCTCTATTCATTCTTGAATTTCACGGTTTTTTTTATCTTAGTTTATGTGATTTGGTAAAACAAATCCAGAAAAAAACTCTGTAATTCAAGAATGAACAGAGCATAAATAGAGTATATTCAAAGTTGTCCGAAAATACTTTCATTATTCCTTTTTTTTTTTCTAAAAAAAATTATGATCAAAGACCTGCATGACCCACAATCCATTAAGAGATTAATAAAAAAATAAAGATTTAATGGAAAATGAATTGGGTCAATTGTTTTTGAAAATTCCGTTAAAGTGACTAATATTGTTGAAATAAAAGATATTAGTGGACTGATTTTTTTATTTGAAAATACATTCCGAGTCCTGATTTAGTAAAAAAATAATAAAAATTTAAAAACTTAATGGAGTAAAGAGTTGACCGTTCATTGACCATAAATTCCGTTAAATTGACTAAAATTGGTGAATAAACGAAATGTTAGAGACCAATTTCGTCAGTCGAAAATTAATGGTGACTCGAAATTGTGAACCCCCAAAGTTTAGGGACTAAAAGTACGTTTATTCTATTTTTTTTTATATATATAACTATCTTTTCTTACTATTTTGTTTTACTTAAATTGTGTATTTGCCATTTTTCCCCTTTTTTCTTAAAATTACCTAAACTATTCACTCTGTAAACTAATACCCCTTTGGCCTAAAAAAATCCATATTTTGTTTTAATAAATTAAAAAACAGACTATTTTTTTCTGGATCGGAAGGAACATACTCCCACATTCCTTCTGGTCCTTAATAGAAAGAATTTTGATTTGTCTTAAATTTCACCTAGTACGCATTTTTAATTGACAGTAAAACTTTAAAAATATTTTCTAACAATTAAGAGAACACGAGGATCTTATATGAAAATATAGTTTTAAGGTTTTTTCGTCAATTAAAAATAAGTATTAGGTGAAACCTAGAACAAAATCAAGATGCATTATACAGTAACCTCCCTAAATTAATCATCTTTTAATTAATAATCTCTATTAAATAATTTTTTTTATGTCCCTACACGAGGCCAATACAAAAAATAAGAAAACTCGATTAATTTATAAAATAATAATTTTTTAAAAATCTCCTATATAAATATAAGTCCCCACAATTTCATAAATTGGCCTTTTGGGGACATCCGATACAATTGGAACGATACAATTTCATAAATTAATAAATACCTAAAATAATAAATTAGATTTGAAGATAAACTTAAATTTTAACTTAAGTATTATTTTCTTTTGTTTTCAATTATCATATTTTTGTTCTACTATTAAAAAAATTATAATATTATGGCTAGGATGCAACGAACTTTTCTTGACATAAAAATAATAATTTTTTTCAATTTTTAATAATTTTTTTAATTCTCTTACTAATAGGATTGAAAAACTCTTTAAATAAATATAATTATTAATTCATCAATTAATATTTTATAATTTAGCTCGATAAATTAATAACTTTATAAATTAATAAATTTTTGGAGTTCTAAGTGTACTAATTTAGAGAGGTTTTAGTGTAATAAGGATCGGAGGAGGGAATATAAAGGAGCTAGCAGCTCCTATGCATAAAAAATTTCTGAGGAAAATAGGTTACCGTGTCTCCGTGCTGATAGATCTGGTGTGCACAGATCTATTAAAAAAGCCAAAATTTCTTTATAGATCGAAGCGAAGACGTTGATTTGCAGCTAGAGCAGAATCGGGCGGTTTGAACTGGTATTGTTTTGTTAATTTATTATTTAGATTGGAGATGTGTGTGTGGTCTGTGGTTTAAGGTTGAATTTAATTGTTTTCTCCATTCATTATTGATTTTTTTGCTTTCTCGTTATTGTTTACACCTACAAATTGTTGAATAATTCAGTTAAGCTTTACTCCAGTTGCTAGTAATAAGCATAGGTCGTGTGGTGGTGAATTACTACGACGAGGTCCGGTTCAAACCTTGTTTTCGCAATCTTTTTTGTCAGGAGGCAATCCAATTTTTATTTTTATTTTTTTTTTAAAAAAACATTCTTCTTTTTCCCAGCCGATAGGACTGTTTTTTCTTGATTGACCCTCCGGCCAGAAAATTTTTGCGAGGCCCAGAGCCGGAGGCAGAGCCGATTACTGTTATTGGTTCGGCCAACCGCTTTGGAAGAAATCTCCGCCATTCGTAGTTTACGTTCATATTTGTTATGTTTGTTTTAGTCTTTAGGAAATTAGTAACCCATTAGGATCAGGATTAATCAGAATTTCTCTATAAATATGGAGAAATTCTGTAGCGTCTTAAAGCTTTTGTGACTTTCAATGACTGTTTTTCATAAATCCCCATTGCTAGAGCTTATCTATCTCGTTAAATTTTAATTTAGTCAGCCTATTGCAATCAGTTTCAAAGGTTTTCTTGCCCCCTCCCAAAAAAAAATTGTGATTGAGTTTTACATAGATTCTTATCTTTGGTTATCTATTAGCCTTATATTTTGATTATCTATTAGGCTTGAGATGTTCTTGGATGATTTGGTTTGGGAAATCTTGAGATGGATCCCAGTAAAATCCTTAATGCAATTTAAGTGTGTATCCCGAACTTGGTTATCCATCATTACGGATCCAAGGTTTGCCAAGTGTTATCGCGGTGGTAGCCGGTGTCTCTTGTCTTTCCATGATTGGATTTTTCGAGCTTCTTGGTTGCCCCTTGTGTCCTTTGATGAACATACCCGTTTCGAGTTCCTCAATCTTGATCACGATAACTTCACCATCCACATTGTGAATCATGGACACGCGCTAAAAAAAGCTTGTACAAACATTGTGGATGGTCTAATATGTTTCTATCGAGGAGAGCAATCGTGGCTGTATAACATTGCCACCAGAGAGATGGTGAAGCTTCCTGACTTGACCTTTGGGAAATGTAAGGAAGCATATCATTCTAGTGCATACCACTTGGGTTACGATCCCATCACCAAAAGATACAAGTTACTCAACACAAGTGATGATCATGCGGCTATTCTCACTATTGGAGATTCTTTGTGGAGAAACATTTCCCCTTCAGTTAAATCTATAGACATGACAAAAAGGAGAGGTGCATGTTTAGATGGTAATATCTGTTGGGAGGAGGGTCGAAGTGCCGGTCAGACTGTCATAGTATGTTTTAATTTGGCTGAAGAAAAGTTCGTTCACATTGATTCCTTAGTTTCAGGATCATTAATTAGTTTTGGACCCAGTTTAATATTAACAAGAAGTAATAATGCAAGTACTAGACACCCAGACCAGATCCTATATTACGATTACAAGAATGGGATTTGGATTAACCAGCCATTTATGCCACCACGACTTGGAGCGAGGCAGGATGTCGACATTGCTGACTTTCCTTGTATCGTCGGTGTTCTTCCTAATGGGAAACTGTTATTGATTGATTGTTTTGGAAAGTCCCCTATTTACCAACTTTATTTGTTTGATCTATTAAAGAAAGAGTGGGAACCAATTGTGACAGACACAGCAGCTGCAAGAATATGTAGGATCAAACACTGGTTTTATTTTGAGGAAAATATTATCTCACTCATTCATTTGACTTCTGGCCATGTTTAGAATTTTGGTTTTGTATTGGTGGGGGAATAAAGTGGCTCTATTTTCATCTCCTCAGTGGCTGAGGAATCAATTCCTACTCTCTACATGGTAGCTAAATAAAGTGTTGAATGGAACAATTAAGTGAAAAGCAGGCAACAGAGAAGCAGCGGGTCATCAAAACTCAAGCATGAGGCACGCGTTTGAGTCTCCTTCAAGTGATCTCCTCGATTGAATGTAGCGACTCGAAAAGAGTTCTTTTGTTGGTATGACTTCAGATATCTCGAAAGCTTTTGTGCTGGTGACTTTAGATATTTGTATTGTGATTTTTACTCAATTCGTTTTTAGTGGCAATTTATTGTTGAAGGGATGATTCATTTCTTTAAGACCCCATTATATCTTAGTATTTATTTTTTTCTCTATTTTTGTATCTGGTGTGAATAATTTTATTTTGTTTCTATTATGTTTTTAGCGCCCCCAAAAGAATAAATCAAATATCATAAACCTACAGGTCGTTATGCAGCCTAAGTTTATACAAGTTTGCAAAATACAACAATTTCATAGCACAAACGATTATTGAAAAGGTAGCACCTTTCATAGGCGCAGAGGAATGCTGTCCATCCACTTGTAATTCCCATCGACTATTTTGCCTAAAAGCCTTAGGCCCAAGATGTGTTGGTTTGAAGAACTCGTGGGCATTGAGTTTAATTCTGTTGATAGAGTATATAATGTAATATGGCAAACCTATGCAGAACCATTCGTGTGTGTAGTTCCAACGTTGTCAAAAAACAATTAGATGGTAAAAGGGCAGGAGTATATCCAGAATTGTAAGCATTAAGCACTTTTGGGCCGTCTCCTCAACGAAAGCTACTCAAAAGGATGTAAGCAAATTCTGGATCTATTTGGCCGGTGTTCAATTCAGATTTCAGACAAATGGATATAAAGCTTTTGCCATTGCCCTGTAGCTGACCTTACCAATACCAGCCTTACCAAATACATCTACTATGATATTAGACGTCACAAGCGTCCACCAGAAGGGATATTTCTGCTTGTATGCCATCACAACACTCATTTTCTCGCGGTATGTTAAAGGTCTTGAGATTTGGTTTGATCTGGAACTTGGGAACTTCTCGTCCATTATTTCAATTTGTCCACTCCCACCAGAGCCTCTCAATGTAGTAGTATTCAGCATCAGCTTCCGTGAAAAGACAAGAAAACTGCATTGTATATTAGCTCTGATGTAATCAAACAAGACAAAGGTCTCCAACAAACCAAAAATCCAGTTTCTGACCCTTAATATAACACCACATTCTTGCATATAAAGTAACACAAGAATTTATGAGGATGGACACATCAGGGGTCTGACACTTGGTAGTTGTTTTTATCTCCTCAGTGGAGAGAAAATGCTTTGTCAAAGCTCCCACTAGCAGCTGAAGCGGATGGAAGAGCAATGACAAGCATACCTGTTATAATCTGTTTCGAGGATTTGCCTGCCTTCAAGTTTCAACTTTCAACAATACTCCTCCAGATTGAAGGAGGACGAGAACCCGGTTGGGGATTCCAAAAGAGGAGCGAGTTGGAATGCAATACCATATTATTATCTTCAAATGATTAAGAACCAATGCAAAAGTGAGTACCTGTCAACTGCTCATCAGAGCGGCCCATAAACTGATACTCTACCAAAAGTATCAAACACTATCTGGACGAGCATGATAAATATACTGGAATCACTGAGCATTCATCAAATTGAGAAATCAAATATAGCTAATCAAATCCATCATTTGGTACGCAAACAACACTGCCCATTGCGAGCTTTCAATAAAGCAAAAGTATGCATATTAATATCCGATAAAAACATAGGATGATAGACCAGAAAATATATGATAAAGTGCGTAAATTGTGTAATATGCAGACCAAACCAGATTTTAACAAGGTTAACGAATTCACTACTATCTACATATCCAACTAGCCAATATTTATCACATATCCAATATATCTAACAGCAGGGCGTCTCAAGCAGACTTAGTTCTCTGTCTCTGTACAGCTTCACCCAATCCTTGCTAGTAAAGCTGGTTGCCAGGATCCAATGTTAAAGCTTGCACGTATGCCAATACCGCGTCCTCATAATCCTGCACACAAATGAATATCTAATTTCTATCAGAATCTGACTTAAAGCAAAGAAGATCTTTAACTTAAAGCGAATGTTCAAGTATTAGAGCGAATGTTCTGTTTGTAGGGTCCTAAGTATTAAAGGTAACTCCCACCAGTCTAAAATTGATCGTGATCACAAGAGTATGAGGAGTGATAAGGTGTCTATAGAATCAGGGAGAGATAAGGCTGATGATACTCAATGGTGTGAGGATGATTTTAGTCATCTTAATCCTTGACTAGTGAATCTTATGTCAAATTAGTTTTATGAGATATTTTCCATTTAGAATATTGTACTTATCACGCGTGACTATTAATAAGCCCATAAGAAGAGCCTTAACCATTGTATTCTGATTAAGTTTCGACAGAAGAAAAAATATAAAGTCCAAGTTTTACATATTCTTCACGTAATTTAGTTCTATTACAGAAACGCCAATTTTTCTATTTTTCTCTCTAAGCTCGATGAAAACACACGTGATCCAATATACAACTCCATGGCTGAACAGTACCTTTATATTTCCCAAGAAAGAAAACCGGAGCATAATATATAAATAGCATAGAGATAATTCTTACCCCTAACAGCATGCAAGCCTCGGCTTTTCTGAGATAGCCTTCAGGCCATTGAGGAGCCAAACTTAATGAAGTTTCTGCATCAATCAAAGCATCACGCCCTTCCTTCAAGTTATAGTGGCAGCTACTCCTGTTCGCCCAAGCTTCGTAATTCCTGGGATTGCAAATTACAGCCTGCAAACGCCGGATAAATTTACCACAAAAACCGTGAAAAGTTGCAGAACAATAAGATACACTAAAGGAAATTTGTGACAAAATTCATGATACAAACATTTTGTAACAAAATCCACCAAAAAGGATTTGGATTCTTACCTCACTATACCAATACATCGCAGAAGCAAAGTTACTGGCAGTAAAAGCAAGATCCCCAAGACTGGTCAGATATTCAGACTTTTGATTGAGCTTAAGCTCAATCTGTGCCATCTCATCTGTTGAATTGATATGCTTGATTAGGGCTTCTGCAGTCCACACTGGGTAAGACTCGATAGGCTCCAAATAAACCATCAAGCAGTCCAATATTTCAGAATGGCCAAAGGCAGCAGCATACTGCAATGCGGTGAGACCCTCCTAAGACAAGCAATATTATCAGCATATCTCTAATGATAAGTCTATTGGATACAATTAGTTCACAAAAAATTGCTAACCAAGATGTACACACCAACTATACTAAACAGAAAACCGGTGTCCCATGAGACCATGAAGCCAGCATAACATCTCTGAACAAACCCCATAACAAGTACTTCCAAAGAGACACACAACATTTCTTGAAGAACATGATTGCAGAGAAACAGTCAAACAGCAGAACAAAGTGTGTTGAAAGTAGCCAAAATTCCAAACGTTGGGTAAAAAGAAAAATACACTACTATGAAAAATGAACTATTCCAGTCACTGACAACTAACTCCATATTTTCCATGATGCTAAACAAGGAAAACTTCATACCAAGTACAAACTAAATCACAAAGATTGAGGAGTGCCTCTTACCATATCCTGGAGAGCGCAGTCCGCACCAGAATTGAGCAATTTCTGCACCATGCGGTTTTCATTATGAGCCACCGCCAGAAGGAGAGGAGAAAGACCGAATGATTGAGCATTCAGGTCGGCGCCAGCCTAAGAAATCGATAAAAGCCATTAACCACAAATGTAAGACGTTAAAGAATAACACAGAAATTAAGAGAGAGAGAGAGAGGAAGCATCCATACATCAATCAAGACGTAAAAACAATCGGAACATCCGCAGCCTATCGCCAGCGAGAGTGGAGAAGGAAGGAACTCTGTACCCAGATTCGGCTGCAAAATCACGAAGAACCGAGCGATTAAATTCAAATAAAAGATAAAATTAAAAAAGAAAACACCAACACTGGTTCAGGGAACAAAATAATTCAAGAACGAACACTTACATCAGCCTGCTTGTCCAACAGAGTACTGGCAGCGTCCACTTGCTTGAAAAGGACGGCAGCTTGCAATGGGGTTCCAGCTTTCGTGAGTTGGTTCACATTAGCGCCTCTGTCGATAAGTGCCTGGATAATCCGAAGGTATCCTAACCACGAAGATCAAGAAAAAGAGAGCGGGGAATTTAATCAAGCAGAACAGAGAAATTCAAATTCGAAATGTCCAAGAACAGAAAGCAAAATCCTACGATAAACTAACCTTTCATAGCAGCGCAATGGAGAGCCGACAGTCCAAACGAGTTCACCTCTGAAAATTGAGCGTCCGCCGGCGCCGTTTCGACGATCTGCAAAGCAACGTCGGTGTTCTCGCTCAGAATAGCCGAGATGAGCGGATTGGACGCATTAGGCGCAGCCATGACTTCAGAGCGATTGGAAATTTTTCCGTCAAGAAGAGAGTAAAACAAAGTAGAGAGAGAGAGAGGAAGGGGGGTTGAAAGAGAAGCGAGAAATGGAATGCAAATGAAATGAGGCTCTGAAGTTTTTAAATGCAAATTTGTTATAGTTTTAGTTTTATAGAGGAAGAGGAGGAGGAGGCGGGAGAGACAGAAGAGGATCTCAGTAAAGTTTTTACATGATGATATCATCATACTGCCCCCACAGAAACCGTTCTCATCCAATCGACGGGCCAACTTTCGCTTTAGCCCAAATTTGAAATTTCACTCACTACAAATATAGATATTCAAATTTATTTAGATTATACAATATAGCAAACCATTTCTTTATTTTTATTTTTTGTCACAGTGTAAAAACTAAAAAGACGTTTCCAAAATATCAATCCACATAAATCCTATGAAAAATATTTTAGCTCCAAAAATCCACCGCTGCAATTGAAAGGGCACTATATTAGTATATTATAGATTATAGAGTCTACTGGTTACAGCCTATGGCCCCACCCCAAGATGCATGTCACACAAGCTTGTCTTTTCTTCCTCCCGCCAAAATGAAACTACTCCCCCTACAGTCCACATTCCACACACCTCTCACATTTTTAATCTAAGTTTTCCTTTTAACCGTCCCATTTTCACTTATAGTACATATTACAAGATATACAACTTACATCCATCAGTGACCTTCCTTACAGAATCGGAGACCTAACATGGTAAGAAATGCATACAAGGGGTACTTGGATAAACAAGACTCAATAGAAGTAATAAAAAACGGAATTTTATGCCTTTTTGAATGGCAATGACGAGTCGACGACATTAATCAGTTTGTTCAAGAGAAAGGGACTTTTAGCATCAAATCCCAAAATCTACCTACAACATAATTCAATTTAGAATTTATGTACTACTAGTTAAAGCTCCTCCAGGAGATGTTGAGTATCACAAGTATGCACCTCCCAAAATTAGACGGAATTTTTCCCATCCCAATTCCCAAATATGCATTTTCCAAGTTCTATATCTTGGCAGAGAAATTTTATAAATAAATGTATCTCCCCAATTAGCTGATCAGATCTACCCCATAAAATGATCTATTTATCTATTTTTTACTTCTTTTCCATTGGCAAAATTTGTCATCTTCTGACTATATCCAAGATCACCAGGAAAGCGTGCAAGCGGAGTACGTAGTAACTCTACTCTTTTGTGTTTGCCAACATATATATAACATTTTTGAAAAAAAAAAAGAAGGAGAAACATCTGAAAATTAAATAAGTTTTAGCGTTACGATATAGAAGTATCTTAATTAAAATGACATGATTAAAAAACTTTTCTTCCCATTGAAGATCGATCAATCAATTGTCGCTAAAGGTGGCCAAGAATCTTTTCTGATAAGAAAAATGTCGCGAAAATCTACTATGAAATATCTGCCTCTGCAATATGATGTCTCTCAAATGAACATTCGATACTATGACAGTGAATTATTTAAAAGGCAATTTGTAACGCCAACAACAACAACAACAACAATTGATATATATGTTCTTATGACGTGAATTATTTAAAAGGCATGCATCATGAGGGAATAATAAGATCACGACAAAAAGTGCATTTTTGATGACGGTGGACAAAGAGCAATGATATTTGGTATTGTTGGGGGGCGGGGGCGGGGGCGGGATAAAAAATTGTTGGATATGAACAATGTGGTAGAAATGAAATATAATAGCGTACAGAAAGACATATAAGTAGTGGGAATTTGGGAGGAAGTTTGTAATGATGAGATGCATTATAATATGGAGGTAGAAGTCACGTACTGACAATGGACTTGATTTCTTTGCTTTTTATTTTGTTGGCAAAATATATATATCTTTTAGAAATTGACAACCCATTTTTGCCATGCAAAACCTCGGCTCCCACGTGTCGTAAGTTACTTTTTGCCTTTGGAATCATTTTCTAGTCGGTGTTCCCCCCTCCATTATAATTTCTGTTCATCAAGGTCCAAGTTTCTTTTGTTCCAGCTCTACTGACTAGTGAGCGACCATTTTTTTTACCATATAAAGTTAGGGGGCAAACGAAAATCCATTTTAAGGTAAAACAAATAATCCTTCCATCCCATAATTATTGTTCACTTTGTCCAAAAATAAAATTTTTCATTTTAGTAAAACTGGACAATAATTATGGGACGGAGGGAGTATAATATTTATCCATATGTAAATGTTGGCGACAAAATCCATAAGAAATTAATGAAAGTCCATTATATCAAAACTTGATTCTATCCTTGTTTGTATATGTTAAATGGATTTTATTTTTAGATTCACAACTCATAAGAAGTCAAAACTTATGAATTGAATAAATCTATTATTTATACTTTATAGTACATACGTCTCAAAAAAAAACAAACATAATTTGCATTGCAAAATACATATTAACTTTTAAAGTTTTGATTAGCTCAATCGAGGTACGAAAATTAATTATCCTCAAATTTCAAACAGTGCTCCCATTTAAATTGTTTCCAACCTCAAAAGATTCTCTTACCTCTGTTTTGGTTGCAATGAAATTTTAGTCATTTCAATTAAATTTAATTATGACTTATTTATTTGGCTACTTGTTTGGAATTAATTTTTTCATGAAACTGGATTTTTATTTTTTTTATATGTAACGAATGGAGTACATTATTAGTTGATTATTGAAAAGCACTGATTTGTTTCTTCCTTACATTTTGGGTTTGGGTTGGAAAATTCCTACATGTCACCTGAACCTGATCCATTTTCCAGGGTCCATCTTAAAATGGATAGCAAACAAGCCCAGCCCAGGGAATGAAGAGTAGAAAATTAGTACAAATGGAGTAGGACTACTTTGTTAAGGGTCCAAATTCTTCCATACATCTTCGAGTCGTGCATGTGCCACGTGTAAGTAGATCTCCAAAATGTAATGCAATTTTCAGTCTACATAAATTTCTCATTTCCTCTCCCCCCACAATCACACTACTAGAGATGGCAAAATCATGATCTAATTAATCTTCTCTCCAATCATCCAATTCAGAAATATTGCAAAGTTGTGCAAATTGATGGTAACAATTTATGCTAAAAATCGTACTAAATTCTAAAATCACCGTGCTTTAAATTGATGGTAATTTTCCAATGTGAGGCATGTAATATACTTCACTTCAATTTCTGCGCCAAACAACTACAATTGAGGTGTTTTATAACTTGGACTATTTAGAATATGTAAGTACATTTATTAGGAGGCCGTTATAAAAAAGTATAAGTAGATTTTTAGATATGAAACAATAAATAGTGACTAAAGTATCTCTTGATGATGGTAGGGAACTGGGGATGGTGTTGGCGAAATCTGAAAGGGAATTATATATATATATATATATATATATATAAATGTCGTGTATGAGCAGTGTGGTAAAAATGAAAACAATATAAAATCTTGATTTTGTTTGCTTTATAAGTAGTTGTTGGGAATGTAGCAGTCTGGTACTACATCTGTACAAATTGACTCATCCGTTACTATTTTATTTGACAATTGACAAACCTTTAGCTCAACCAATATTCGACTCTCGCTCGTCTCACGTGTCTCAAGTTACTGTTTTTGGATTTATATTTTAGATGGTGGTCCCACAACCCTTCAATTGAATTCCGCCTTGAGAAGGACTATTCTTTTTTTGAGTGCAGGCCGCCAAGTTCCCCTCGTAGCTCTGCTATGTGACTTTGTGAGAGTGTGTTAGCTCTAGTGAGCCAAACTGTACTCTTTTTTTTTTTTTTGCATGTAGTATAGTGAGTTGGTAACCAAGGGAGACTGAATTATACAAAACCGTCAAGACGTCAACCAAACATCAATAATTAGGGGTGATAACAACATGATGAAGCCAAACTTTTATTCCTATTTGGGAGATCAATCAATTATTGGCAAAGGACATTAAGAATTATTTGGGGAAAATTTTCAAAAAATTCTACAATAAAATTCGTTGCAACAATATGACACCGCTAATGATGAGATGCAGTATACTAGTATGGAGGTATATACAAGACAATGGACTTGATTTCTTTTAATTTGCTTTTTAGTTGTTGGCAAAAGTAATAATACCCCTACTATATATATCTTTACAAATTGACAACCCCATGCAGAACCTCGGCTCTCACGTGTCCCGAGTTAGTTTTTTGGAATCATTCTCTGGTAGGTGGTCCCCACGCCCCTAATTCCTCTTGATAGAGTGCAGACCAAAGTTTCTCCATTTTTAGCTGGTGAGAATCACCTGTTCACTACTTCTGTGCCAATTCCTGGTACACAGCATATAATAGTGACACGTGTTCAACTTACTTACTCTGGCTGGGCCTCCACCTCCGTCTTCTACAGAAGACAGAAAACAAAGAACTGAAAATTCCATCTCCATGTTAAATCTTTTTGATTGTTTATTAGTGCTTGTTGTTAGGTGTTTTTTTTATTAGAAATAATTAAAAATTTAATTGAAAATGTAAAAGGAATATATTAGGATAGGATAGTCACTGATAAAAAAATTGAAAAAACTATCACAAACCAAATTTAAAAAAACACAAACCATCAGAAAGTTAATTAAACAACCATTGGCGTGTATAACGAAGGCTATAATTTTAGTTCCTTGTTAATATCAAGAGAAAAAGCTACAGAGACACTGTTGAAGGACCATGCATAGATCTCACCTGAAATAAAAATTGTAAGGCAATAGTGGCTACACTTTAACCTGAAAACATACATATACAATTTGGGACTACCAAATAAATATAATCTCCTATCCATCCACAGTGCTGTCTTACCAAGAGTATTGTATGGATGACAATCTGTGAATGTTTCCTATGCCAAACAACACACTTACTTTTTGGTACTATTTTTCTTTTTGGTAAACCCAAATATTTTCATTGTGCCCAAAAGAATGATTCGCATTGAGTTGTTAATTTTGTACTATTTTTTAGAACAAATCTTAAAAGTTCAATGTCCAAATATATACGAAGGAGTAACAAAGGAAAATCAATTAAGACAAATATCTGCCCACTTTCCTTAATCCTCTAGAATCTAATTCTAAATCTGGATTTTAATCCCATCTAACGATGCTTGGGATTTCGGTTTTGGGTTGGAAAAATATGTCAACTGAGTAGCCTGGTCCACTTTCCAGGACACATCTTTAAATTGGTAGCAAACCAATGCAACCCAATAAAATGCAGACCAGGAATTTGGTACAAATGGGCAGGACTACTTTGCTAAGATGGCCCAAACGTTGGCGCTCCAAATTCTTTCGATACATCTTTGATTCGGAAAAAATGTCGTTCCTACCCAAAATTTTGCCCTCATCGTCAATTATACTCAATAAATTTTCATTTAGCCAGGTTTACCCTAATTTTTGAATTTTTCGCCAATTTCATCTAATCGACCCATTTTCCGTCCAAATTAACAGATCTCTATTAGTTTTTTAATAAAATAATAAATTTAATTACAAAAATACCCCATTAATTTTTAAAAATTTTAAAAATAATTCCTAAAATATATAAAAATAAAAAAACAGTCCCTTTTCAATTTTTTATTTTATTTTTCTCTATTTTGTTCTACTTCTCTCAAGTACTTTTAATGACCATAAAAGTCTATTATATGATTTTAAAAAAAATATTTATTTATTTTATAACTCTATCGTAAAAATTAATTTTTGTATAGTTGTGACCCATGATTGTATTATATAAGCATGTTAATTTTTTTAATAATATAGTTTAGCAATAAAGACACTATTTTTCTGATTTATTTTATTCTTCCTAACATAAAGATTAAAAACATTTAAATGAAACTAATATTCCACATAAAAATAAAATATTAGCTCAAAAAAATATTAATATATTTTAGTGTATTAAAATTTAAATTAAGAGACTATAACTTGCATTAATATAATTCATAAAAAAATAACTAAAATATAAAATAATTAAAACCTTAAAAAAAATCCTCCAAACATAAGTTTTCCTTCTTGAATCTAAAACCTATTTTCTATCACAACAACTTATTACCATATTGTTACCTCCATTCATTTATTTTAAACTAAAATTATATAGAATAAACTAGTAAGACTTCCTCTATAGTTAGATATATTAACATCTCAAATAATTATTAGAAAATGTTAAATCTTCGCATTGATAAGTATAAACATATTTTTTATAAATTATATTATGCCATGTAGTCTCTCTAGTTAAATTGAATACACTAAACTATACTAATATATTATTTTTTATTTGAGCTAATATTTTATTTTTATGTGAATTAGTTTTATTCAAATATTTTTAATCCTTATGCTAGGAAGAATAAAATAAATCAGAAAAATAGTGTCTTTATTGCTAAAATATATTATTAAAAAGATTAACATGCTTATATAAATACAATCATGTGTTACAACTATACAAAGATTAACTTTTACGGGTAGAATTTGAAAATAAATAAATACTTTTTTATAACTCATATAATATACTTTTATGGTAATTAAAAGTAGTTGAGAGAAATGGGAAAAAATAGAGAAAATGAAATAAAAAGGTGAAAAGAGACTATTTTGTTATTTTTATATATTTTAGGGGTCATTTTTAAAATTTTTACAAACTATTGGGGTGTTTTTATATTTAAATTTATTATTTTATTAAAAAACTAATAGAAGTCCGTTAATTTGAACAGAAAATGGGCCAATTGGATGAAATTGACGAAAATTTCAAATATTAGGGTAAAGTATACTAACCGAAAATCTATTGGGTATGATTGACGACGAGGGCAAAATTTTTGGTAGGAACGTTATTTTTTCGTCTTTGATTCTGTGTCAGAGCAACTGCAACGCTTCTTGGTAAAAGGTGGTCCCAATAGTTCCACTTCAGCATTTATGTCATGTAAAATAAAAGAAACTAGACGCTTGGGCCGAACAGATGCTCGGGCGCCCCTCTACTTTAATTTTGTGTTAATAGATAAATGAATTCTTGATTTAGAAAAGATAAAATAGCTACACATTTGGTTTTTTTCCCCTTTTTAGCCAAAAATAAAAATAAAAATAAAAAAAATCATTCGCCAAAGGAGAAAAAATATTGAAAAGTACAACGATGTAGAAATCATACAAAAGAATGTAGAGTAATAAAGGGGATAAGTTTATGTTATATTACTTTATAATTAAATATTAAAAATAATAAAAATTCAAAAATCAAAATTTGATTTTTTTTCCCCAAAATACAAGTTTTTTTTTAACCTGAGGGCCCCACGTATGATTTCTTCTTTACCTTATTCTTTTTTTTTCAAATTTTTGATCGGAGAGAGAAGAAAAAAATTACAGATTAAAGTAAAGAAGACATAAGACGTGGGGCCCATATGATAAAAAAGAATAACTCAGATTTTGGAAATTTTGTTTTTTTATTAAATTTTCAATTTTTAATTTTTTAAATATTTAATTATAAATTAATATAATATTTTTACATTTATTTTAATGAATTTTCATTTTTAATATTTTAAAATTTGAGAATGAAAAAGTTACTAAAAATACCCCTGTTGGTTTGACCGATAAATGGTCAAAAAAGACCAAAAACGGTAAAAAAAGAAAAAGGAAAAAAGACTAAATTAGTATAAAATGTAAAGGAGTAAATCAGTGAATTGGTAATATAAAGGACCAAAATAAGTTTTTTGGTTAAATATAAAGGACCATTTGTGCAGTTTATTCTTCTTCTTTTTCTTTTTTTTTTTGTACATATTTTTGAATCGTTCTAGCAAAATAAGAGAGTTTCTAAATTAAATCTAGTATCTTATTTAAATTAGATGGCATTGGAGTCAACAAAATTGGTTAAAAATTAAAAATAAAATTAGCTAATTAAAAAAACATTTGAGTAGAACAGCTAATTCCGGGAGCACCGTGAATAAATTGGAATGGGGTCAGAGATTTAGAGAGAGAAGGGTAGTTTTGGTAAGATAGGCAATATTTGCTAGTAACAGTGTTTTTTCAACTACCTTAACTACCATAGATTTGATGAAAGCACATATCTATTAAATCAGCCAAAATTCTTTACAGAGGGGAAGCGAATCCCCGGCGCAGCTAGAGCAAAATCGGACGGTTGGAACTGGTATTGTTTCTTCAATTTTTTTTTTTTTTTAATTTCTCGTTAATGTTTCACCTAAATTGTGGAATAATTAAATTATTGAAAAGCACTGATTTGTTTCTACCTTACATTTTGGGTTTGGGTTGGAAAATTCCTACATGTCACCTGAACCTGATCCATTTTTCAGGGTCCATCTTAAAATGGATAGCAAACAAGCCCAGCCCAGGGAATGAAAACTAGAAAATTAGTACAAATGGAGTAGGACTACTTTGTTAAGGCTCCAAATTCTGCCATACATCTTCGAGTCGTGCATGTGCTACGTGTAAGTAGATCTCCAAAATATAATGCAATTTTCAGTCTACATAAATTTCTCAATTAATGCAATTTCCAGTGTACACATTCATGATCTAATTTCTCATTTCCTCTCCCGCTCCCCTCCCCCGGCCCCCGATCACACTACTAGAGATGGCAAAATCATGATCTAATTAATCTTCTCAGTTCTCTCCAATCATATCCAATTAATCTCTTCTGAGATAGCCTTTAGGCCATTGAGGAGCCAAGCTTAATGAAGTTTCTGCATCAATCAAAGCATCACGCCCTTCCTTCAAGTTATAGTGGCAGCTATTCCTGTTAGCCCAAGCCTCGTAATTCCTGGGGTTTCAAATTACAGCCTGCAAACGCCGGATAAATTTACCACAAAAATCGTGAAAAGTTGCAGAAACTGGTATTGTTTCTTCAATTTTTTTTTTTTTTGGGATTTCTCGTTAATGTTTCACCTAAATTGTGGAATAATTCAATTAAGTTTTACTCCAGTTGCTCATAAGCATAGGCCGGGTCGCCGGGAGGTCGGGTTCCGAACCTTGTTTTCGCGATCTTCTGTTAATGAAGGCAATCCAATCTATTTTTTAACATCGTTGTTGTAAGTATTGAGATCTTCTTTTCCGGGCCGCCCCGACCAAATAGCACTGTTTTTTCTTGATTGACCGGAGCTTACAGGTCGCCTCCGGTGGTGGGGGAAGGAAATTGGTTTGCAAGGAGAACTAATCAAGTATGAGGATTTAACCTTTTTTATTTTTTTATTTTTTTAAAAAGGTGACTGGATTCCGACTAATCTTGTCTAGAATTTTCCTCTAGTTCGGTTTCCTGTTTGCTAATATTCTTTTGTTTTTAGTCTTATTAAGTGTAGGAATTAGTAAACCTAATTAGGATAAGGATTTATCGGAATTTATCTATAAATAGATTAGTTACGTAGCTACTATATTCACGTTTTTTGCTTTAATTGTTTTATAACATCAAAGCTAGCTCTTGTGGCTCTCAAAGACTCTTCCTTCCTTAAATCTCTACAGCTTGCCTATCTCCTTCACTTTGAATTCAGATTGCCTATTGGCTATTGGTATCAATCTCAAAAGTTCTCCAGTCCGCCCAAATTTGTACTAGTTTTTATTTGAGTTTGACAATTGATTCGTATCTTTTGTATTAGGCTTAAGATGGTCCCGAATGATTTGGTTTGGGAAATCTTGAGATGGATCCCAGTCAAATCTTTGATGCGCTTTAAGTGTGTATCTCGAACTTGGTTATCAATCATTAGGGATCTGAGGTTTTCCAAGATTTACAGCGGGGGTGGTGGTCCGTGTCTAATATCTTTCTACGATTGGACTTTTGAATGGTCTCGGTTTCTCCTTTGGCGTCCCCATGTGTCCTTTGATACCTATACCAGTTTCGAGATCCTCAATCTTGATAGTGAGAGCTTCGACACCCATATTGTGTATCATGGACATGTGCATGGACAAGCGCTAAAAAAAGCTTCTACAAATATTGTGGACGGTCTAATATGTTTTTATCGAGGAGAGCAGTCGTGGTTGTATAACATTGCCACCAGAGAGATGGTGAAGCTTCCTGACTTGACCTTTGGGGAATGTAAGGAAGTATGTCATTCTAGTGTTTACCACTTAGGTTACGATCCCATCACCAAACGATACAAGTTACTCAACACCGGTGACAATCATGCGGCAATTCTCACCATTGGAGTTGATTCTTTGTGGAGAAACATTTCCCCTTCAGTTACATCTGTAGACATGAGAATAAAGAGAGGTGCATGTTTAGACGGGAATATCTGTTGGGAGAGTCGAAGTGCCAGTCAAACTATCATAATATCTTTTAATTTGGCCCAAGAGAAGTTTATTCAGATTGAGTCGTTCTTAGTTTTGGGATCGTTAATAAATTTTGGACCCAGTTTAATGGTAACGAGATGTAATCAAAGTAGTGGAGGACCTGACGAGATCCTATATTACGACTATAACAATGGGATTTGGATTAAGCAGCTATTTCTGCCACCACGAACTGAACCATTAGAAGGAGTTCACATTGATGAATTTCCCTGTATCGTTGGTGTATTCCCTAATGGGAAGGTGTTAATGATAGATTGTTTTGGACGGTCCCTTATTTACCAATATTATTTGTTTGATCTATCAAAGAAAGAGTGGAAACCAATTGCGACTAGCGATTCTTTAGCAAGGAGATGTACGTCACAACCCCAGTTCTATTTTGAGGAGAATATTATCTCACTCGCCCATTTGACTTCTTGCGACGTATAGAATTGAGTTTTTGTATTGGTGGGGGGAATGAAGTGGCAGCTTTGTGGAAAATTGTTATCTCCTCAATTGATGAAGGTTCATTCCCTACTACTCTGTGGGCTGGTGCGAGCTGATTGAAAGGAAAGTAGGCAACAAAAGAGTAGCAAGAAAGTTGAGCATAAGGCATGCGTTGAGTTTCCTTCAAATATTCTCCTCAAATGAATAAAGTTGATTTCTGCAATTCAAAAAAACAAAGTTTGTGTGTTTGCCTTTTAGTTTGGACAACTTGATGATATTTACATTTTTTTTCAAGCTTCTGTAGTATCCTATTGTTGTACTTCTTTATTTATTTTTATGCGGAAAGTAATGATTTAAGTTTATTTCTGTTAAATTTTTAGCCAAGAAAATGTAGTTATTCAAATATGGTATAAACCCGAAAGTCGTTATACAATTTAATTATTGTCATGGAGCAACATTTTTTAGGCACGTGTTTGTCTTAACTTTCCATTCCCAACAACTCTTTTGCCTGGAACGCAACCGCATCATTTATCTGGAAAATATTTTTCTGTTGTGGGTAAGTTGGCTTAAAGAACTGAAGTATGACTTGAGTTTGAATATGTTAATAGAGTATATATTAGGGCTGATATCGTTGGCTTAAAGAAACTCGACTGCAAATAGAGTTTAATTATGTTAATAGAGTATGTATTATGGCAGCCTATATATACTGCCAACATTCTAGATTATTCTGCTAAACCATTTTCTATCCAAAATTTTTAGTGTCATTCAATCCTTAAAAGTTGCTCTCTTCCAAACCTCTCATTAAATCATCAATTAATTAAAAGTAACAATTCTCAAAAATAATTTCAAGTTATAATTATCACTTTAATATCCTGACAAACTAAAACTCACGATCTAGACAGTTTTTTCTAAAGATAAAAACCACCACGAGTAATCTCCATCTCAATTCTCAAACCATAAACCTCTACCATCCTCTCCTAATCCGTCACCAATTCATAGAAGATTAGAGAATTAAAACCTGACATAGAAAAGAGGCCTGGCGATGTAGAAGACAACAAGGTCTTCAGTCTTCTGACAAAAAAAATTCAACGCCGGTACAAGAACACAATTATCATGCGGAATCCATATTTTCAAAATCCTAAAACAAATTCTTATTCAGTTGTAACCTCCTTTTTCTCCCAAGATGCAAATTTATGTTTGTAAAAGTTGCAACCACTAACACCATCAATCTTGAAGTAGAGAGCATCATCACCATCAGAGGGAGGGGTTCTCCAAGACACTTGTATCTGAACATCCTAACAAATTCAATCTTTCATGGTGAATTGCATTCGGAGCAGGAAAGAAGGTCGCCATTTAATATAAGAAGTTGATTTATTTTCTTCTTCTTTTTTTTTTTTTTTTGCCATGGATTGCATTGCCGATAATAGCAAATTGCTACATAAATTTAGGTAGTAAAGATTTTTACGTTTTATCAGATAATTTTGGTTGAATAATGATTCAATCTTAGCCTACTTAATAGTTTTTTTCTTATCCAATTATGAATAAGGATCTAATCTTGGAATCGACAACAATTATTACTATGAAGTCGTTTTCCTTGGAAAATTCCAAGATTTCATTGCACAAGAAATCGAAGAAAAAAAACAACTATAGGCAAGTTTTGCAATATCAATATTATTTTTTGTGCTCGCAAAAACTATCTCTTTGTGCAGGTTACTTTGCAAATGAATTATGAGTAGTTGTAAAATTATTTTTAGATGGTTGATCTCAATGTCATTGGAAATGGCAAATGTATTGGTGGTGCATTTTTTTTTTTTTTTAGTGCCGCGCAAGCTTTTTTTTAGTTTTTTTTTCTTTACCATTCATATGTTCTTTTATTTTTTTTTCCCCTATAATCTTCTACCGATTTTCTTCTTTGCTGGCCGTTTCAATTTGTTTTTTTATGGTACTCAAGGTATGCTTCTTAAAAGAAACAAACAACACTGATGATGGATTGAATTTCAACCGTGCGCATATTTGTAATCGGGAATTCTTAACATTCTTCGAATTAAAAATTTGGACCCTTTAGTTTCTATTATAGTTGAAGTCTTGAAGATGAACAAGGCTATGTTACTCCTAATCACCTTTGAAAGTTCTCAAATTTGAAACTTTTAGTTCTTTTTAGAATTCTATTCTATATTTATTCATACTTAGTTTAATTTTTAAAATCTTATAATTAGTTTGGAAATTGTAATTTATATACTCCAAATAAAAATTATACCCCTGCGAATGCACGGGTCAAACACCTAGTATCCTATTATGGGAAAAACTACTGCAATCCCAAAAGTTTATGTGTCCTAATATCCTTCAACTCATTCCCGCTATTTTTTAATTAGTAAAATAGTAAAAATATTTAAACTTTACTCAATACAAATCCTACTCTTTAATAAATACGATTAATTTGCTAACTTGCCCCAAATCCGACTCTTTATACAAATCCTCACAACCTCTCTGTAAATCATGGTAAATGAATTAATTACATTACTTAATGATAGCCTAAAAAAACATGCGTTCATCATCAATGTGTGCTGCAGTTATAGATAAACACGGAAGTACTACTAAGAGCGACTCCTAAAACTGCTTTCTCCCACGTCTCAAAATCTTGAATAGAAACTGATGAAAATCACTATAATATTCCAAAATTCGAAATCCCACAACAAGGACTCCCAGCCTTTCCTCCTTAATTTTGGCAGTCTATTCCAAATCCTTGATGGAGTTGTGAATCAATAATTAACAAGAAATTGGTTGGGGATGATTAATCTGACCGTCTCCTTCATGCAAAGAGTTTTGGGCTGCTATAATTGTTTTCTAAGTTCGGATGCTAAATTTGAAGCACACTCCACTGGCCCTCCCACCAGACTTATTTCCGACGATTCACCTTCACCCATGGTTGTTGTGGAGTGGATCCTATTCTCTGGGAGTTTTCTATTTCTATTTACCGTTAAAGAAATAGAACGTAGATGAAAGAGGTACAATATATTACAACTTTATTCAATATTGAAGTCATGTTTGAACAATCCTTTATTCCTTTATTAATAAGTCTCTACATAAGTCTATACATAAATCTTCTCAAATCATGCTGCTATGTTTGGTGATGGTCGATCTCCAAAAACTTAATACATTATGTGTCTAAAACAGCAAAACCTCAATGGATTATATTCGTATAATTTTGAACGAATATTTATTTTTGGATTGTTGAAGGTTTCTGGAGTAGTCAACAATACATGTAGTTCATATCAAAAAATTTGTAGCTTATTTCAGTCTTATATTTTTAGAAAATAGCATGCATTATTGGCAAAATTTTCCTTGAATTGGCATTTAAAGTTTCAAACTTTTGACAAAACTAAATTCATATTTAGACAGAAAACGGAACCAGTTTTGCTAGACAAATCTCCTTATGATAGGTATTTTAGTATAATTTGACAATTTTCGGTGAAATTTAGTGGTCAAAAGATTTTGAAAGACCAAGGGGGTTTTTTTCAAATTACTGTTAGTGTATATATTATATATATTTGAGAACATTATTGTAATTATGTATCTTGTAATGTGTTATATATACACATTATCAATACAATAAATCCGCAGGAGTTTTTATCTTCATCTCTTTTTTATCATGTGATAGCATCATTTTCATTTTTTGTAGGTTAATGTGTGAAATTTTTCCAATTTCATTAATTTGTAGAGTTAAACTAATTGTGTAATTAAAAACAATTCTATGCAGATAATGAACAACGGACAATCAAAGACAGTGCACATTGCGGTAGTGAACCCTGAAAATTCATTTTCCAAGATGAGGAAAATAATAGAGAGATTTTTCCTCTAACTAAATTCATAGTTAACAAAAGAAAAAGATTGTATCGGAATGTGAAAACTTCTTTTTCCATATGTTATTCTTCGTTTTTTCTTATGATTCTCCTTTTTTTGTTTTTCTTCAAATCTACTCAATTTTTTTCACTGTCTACTTTAGTTTTCATTTTTTTAAGGAAAATAATTCATTGCCTTTTACAATTCATTGTCTCAGTATTGTTATGAAATTAAATACGGCCCTCCACTAATCACTTTGCTACGTAAAGCATAGAAGTAAATGGTGCTGGCCAGATATATTTTCACTTTGTTATGGAAAATATATAATAGTGTAGGAAATATAGACATCTATAATTACTACATAAGAATACTATTTACACCATTTTAGACAAAATAACATAACGCGCATGCTACACTTTCATTATTTATAATTGATACAAAAAGATAAATAGTCAATCGTAATATCCGTGCATTCGCACGGGTCCAGAACCTAGTAATATTTACAGTAAAACTGGTAATACATGGGACAACAGTTGGCCCATCACGGCAGGAAGGTTACCTTTCTTTTTATTTTTTGTTATTAAAAAAAAGCAAAAAAACAGAAAGGTGACCGAAAATAGTGTAGGGGTGTCCACTCTTTCTGAGAAACTCAGAAGAGAGAGAAGGTACTTCATAAACTCACGAGTTTTTTTTTTTTTATACACAATTACAAGTACCTACTTTATTACATGTAGGGTGAAGCCTATAAGGACGGGGATAGTACTACTAAGGGAGAGACTCTACGCGCGCATGCCTCGATCTAGTATTCGGAAAGTCTTTCTGGCAGGTGCAAGATAACCTGCACAACTCAACAAACAAAGGTGTTGTTAGCGGGGTTTGAACCTGGGACCTCTTGAAACTTTCAGGTTTTTATGCCATGTCCACTATCACTTGGGCAACCCCTTATTGGCTAAAATTATATACGTAGTGTAATGGCATTCGTGTACTTTGGAAGTAATTGGCACAATTCCCATTGGCCAGTTACTTACCATTGCGGTTGCTCTTATATGCATGTGCCACATGTGTAAGGAGATCTCCAAAATGTAATGCAATTTTTATAGTAGTATACATAAATTTTCTCCCTCAGTATATAAAAAATAAAAAATAAAAAAATTTCTCCTTTC